ACTGTCTATTGTCTTATCTTCTGTCCTATTTATATACTGCACCTGAGTGACTAATGAGAAAAACTTTTCATTATACTATGCACCTGTGTAAGTTTAATGACAATAAAGTTGAATTGAATTGAAATGCAATTTTCTTATTTTCTGATAAAGGAGGTGAAATGATAAACTCTGAAGCATTACTTTGCATAACCTGCAAAAAAATGAAGAAGATTTTACATTGCACATTCATACACAAATAAATCTTGACAAAGTGCGTTAGCAGGGGAAAATAATCAGTGATTGGATTTTTTTAGTCTATATTCCTTTTGGTGTTTCTGGTGGACATTTGAACAAATATTTACAGTGTTTTTTAATTTTTCTTACAATACTTTAAAAGCCACATTCTAACTTTTTACAAACTAACAATAGCTAAAGAAAAAACTTACCATTTTTGAATTTGTGAGATTTCGGGACACAAGAATAGCAACAATGCCTGTTGTTATACTCTGTAAAGAATTGTTAAAAAATAATTTTAGTTAAGGTTAAAAAGATCACTTTCTTACAAAACCTATGCAACGTTTTGAATATGTAATGTAATAAATGTTCAACCTACATCACTTATTCTTAGATATAATGAACTGAACCTATTTACAGAAGGGCATTCAAAATATTTTGAAACTCAAAGAGTTCACATCACTGAGTGGGTCATTGAGTAATGTACTATTCAAAGTTTAAGCAACATGGAAGCTTTTTTTACTGCAATTTAATTTCATTCAGCTTTAACCCTCAACAATATTTCATTATTATTATTATTATTATATAATCTGTAAAAAGTAAATTACTGAAACTCAATTTGTGTTATTAAATCTTATTTATGTGGATGTCTCAATACTTCTACTCTTGCTCCTCATGGGTTAGACAAATTAACATAGCCAATCAACCTATCAGTGTAAGGGAACAGGTAATAGGTTTATTCCATGCTGAAAAAAAGAAGAAAGAAAACAACGTTTCGGACGTGGAGCCTTCTTCAGGTGTGTACCCACCTGAACTACTACAACCTATCAGTGTGTCTTTGGGAGCAACCCAGATTACAAACTATTTACCGCAGATTAGATATTCAAACCTAAAACTAAATTACTTGGTGAATCACTTACACAGTGCAAAATGGGAATAAATCGTTAATGAGGTGCAGGATTACAGCACAAGTACATGAACAGAGAAATAACACAAAAGCAGACTAAATATAATCATGATCTTAGAGCATTAGCACAACAAAGAGCTCAACACTAAGCAGGACTGGATATGTTGTGCAGCACTGGGGACACTTTACAGCTTGCAAGGCAGAGACTGACTGACATGTACACAGCAGTTGTGTAAATAGGTGTGTTTTGAGTTTTGTTTAAAGACATCCGTTATCTACACTGTTTCTTTGTCCTTTTCTTAAAATCACTGTGATGCTTGTTCCCCCATTTTCTTTCTGACTAGTGATGAATTCTCTGCTAGCTAGAATTCATCCTCTTTTAAATTCAACAAATAGAACCATTAAAATATTTAGTATTTGTCATTGTACCTGCTTCAGATAAATTATTGTATATTAAAAGAATTTGCGCTCTGTCACTAGAATGTTAGTGTTCTGAAAATCTTTAAAATGCCATTATATTTCATGCACTAATATTATACCTTGTTATAATGAGACTGTTTTGGGGCACTTAGGCAAGAAGCTCACAATAAATAAGCACTACATATTTTTTTTAAAGCAACTGATTGGTTGATTCAACGATAAGAAAATACTGACCAGCAATCCTGACACCACAGAAATGATGTTAGCGGTGGTGTATTCCGTTGTGATCTTGTCACTGGGTTTCGATACATGACGAAGCACACTACCATGGACAATTGCTGCTAGAATAAAGTTTATATGCCCCACAAATATTAATATGATGCCTTTTCTCATCAGCTGACGAGGGCCTTTCTTTTTATCTGAAAAAAAAGAGAAGCGTTATCAGTGATGCATTAACTTGCATTTCTGCTCAAGACTCAAACCTAGAGCTTCTTTGACTGGAGACTTCAGGTCTTGTCCACAGACAAGACACCAATCTGCTAGACCAAAAGGCAACCCCCATGAGGGCCAAGGGAAGAAAGAAAGAACTTGTTATACTCCCATAATTTTAAAATGGTTACATTAAAATAATGCAAAAAAAATCCTAAGATGACAGGATGAGACAGTTAGATGGTAGGGTGTAAGCTCTTGAGAACTGAACCTATACATACATATATTTCAGTTATGTAAATCTCTTCTCTGGCAAACAAAGAACTACGGAGAACTACTGAGAAAAACAGCACTGTGAAACTCCAGGTGGGACTGAGTCAAATGTGTGTCTGGCAAAGGAATACTAATAGTGATATTAATGCATATGCTACTAAGTATAATGCTACAACTCCACACAGAAGGTAGCAATGTCAAAACTGAATTCCCAGAGACACATGGGATCTTATGACTATAACTGTCCTGCATTCCCCACTTCATCAGCATAAGTAAATTGACCCCACACCTAAAATAAACAACTAGAATTGACAATCACAAGAAGCATAAAAAGAGTCCAATTGAATAAGCAACTACAGCCCTCCCCCCAAAAAAGTTCTGATGACACCAGAAGTCACCAAGATCTTCAAGACTTGAAATCCCAGGTCCTCGATGTGAACAGAAAAGTTAAGTAAAAAGACTTTGAATTCAAGCATTCAAAGCTGTAGGGTAGAATCACATCAGACAACACAAGGAACAACAAGAAAACATTTAATTTTAAGAGTTTTAAAAAAGATGAATCCCCAGCTATGCAATAACTCTGTTACAAACATAAAATGTTGCATGTTATATTTTCTAAAATAAACTTCGCTGTTTTTTATGATTTGTGTGTACATGATTTATGAACGCTATGGTGTTGTTGGTATCATTTCAAATCTATGGACTCTTCTCTATATCAATTACTTTGTCAGAAATCAGGCATTCTATTGAACCAAGACATTGGAGCTCGAAGGCAGGTTTGATTCTTATGTTCTCCGTTCTGCTGCTTTATTAGGGTTGCGTAAGAAATCTTTATTTGAATACATCTAGCCTTTTTCATTTCCGAGCTTTCCCCATGCATCCTATTATTTTAGTTTTTTCCACTTTGGTATGCAGTTAACTAACTGTATTTTTACTACCTAGACTGAGCCACTGTGAAAAAACAGGCAATTCACTTGTTTCTTATTTCATTCTGAAGTTGTTTTGAATTTGCAAGCATAAAAACGTGCGTAAAATAGCCTTCATAAAAAACTGCAGAAACAAGGCATGTCAATTTTAACCGTTAACGTGATTAGTACATGGACAAGTTAAACACATTAAAAGAATACATAAAGATCATCTTTGCCAGCTCTTTACAATGTTACAACACAAATCATTAAACTGCGTTCAAACTGTTTAATGGCTAAGCTCACTGCTACTACCAGGAAGAGCGTTTATTAAATTAAAAAAAAATTACCACTGAGAATAAAATATCACTTACCAAATCTACACATTATTCCAATTAGGACAACCCAGATGTTATATTAGTAATGTTTATTCAAGAAAAAGAAAAACATGAGTGTTTCTTTCCTTTCTTCTCTCCCAGTTCTTCTGAAGTGACCCATTACCTACGTCACGTTTTTACCTGCGGACCGGAAGTGGGTGCTAATGAGAACAGAAAGGTTCTTTGTATGCAGACAGATCGCAAATGAGTGTTATGGAAGACAGAGATCTGCATATGTTAATGGTTTAGGTGTTAGTTGGCCTCGATGCGTTTACAGCTGGAGACTAACTGCTCAGCTCCTGCTGTTTGATAATTCCGGATGCCTGTGATCGAATTTCTTTTCGGCAAAAAGACGACATGGAGTACTAATAAAATATGTTTATGAAAAATAGTTGACCACCTCGGTAATTTTCATTTATCGTTAAAATTTTGACTTTTAACAGTTGTACACGCATTGTCCCAAAACAAACAACAAATGTTCTATAGTCATTGAGGTGTTATGATTTTTGTATTAAATTATTTTATTATATAAATTACCAATATATAAAAATATGATAACAGTGCTCATCAAATTATACTAGACCGTGTGAAGTTGTATTTTTAAATTCTAAAACTTTAAAATGCTTGAAAATACGGCGAAGCTTGTCCTTGTCATACACTGTAGCCTTGACTGAAGTATTGTATTTACCCGAGTTTACCAGCTGTATAAGTGGAGATATGATGTGCTATCCTGGCATGGACGTTATCACTGAAACCATGTGATTTGTATAAAAAGCGGTAGTACTGGTACCACTCAACTGAACCCCAAAATGGTAAGAAAGCACCCATAATATCATGATATTTTTTAAAAAAAACAGAAGTTGGAAGGGGGTGGAGTATGTAGGTGGAAGACAGCTATGCTATCAAAGTTATGTTAAACTTTTTGCTAAGCTGCAGTACCACAACATAGACAAGGTATAATATAGAACAGCAAGAAACAAGAATCCACAGTGAATGAATCTTTGGGACACAAACGCTTGTTTGGGGGACTTAACATTCAAATTCTGAGAGTACGTCATGATGTTGACCTATACAGTGCTCAAAGCAGATTGGGATGAATCACCAGGAAGTCAAGCAATTGCTTTTTGTTTTATAAATCTGGGCATATGCTAAATGTTAAACTTTTGTCTAAAACTTTGTTTAGAACAATATGGATAAGGTTTTGACTGGAATACAGAGAGAGCACAGATGCTGCACCATTGTATTAAAACAATGGAATGGAGGACTATTGTTCAAACAATAGTGCTAAACAGCAGTAGGCCAGTTAGTGTGTAACTTGTTGTTTGCTTTACGATTGATCAGTGATCATTGATCAACCTCACACACCTGAAGAATGCTCCACAGCTGAAACGTTGTGTTCTCTTTCTTCTTGTTTTCAGCATGGAATAAACCTATTACTTGTTCCTTTGCAGCCGACGCATGCTGATGCAGCTACCCACCTGAACTATTGATCAACCTCTACTTGTTTGTCAGACATCAGTACTAAAATGTAAAAATACATGAAAATTACCAATTTGTGCTGCATTTATTTTTATTTCTATATGTTCAGTTCTGTTTGAGTGTTTACTGTTTAGGTAATATTGCACAAACATTCATTGTATCATGTGTCTTTAAATGGAGGCAAGAACAAATGAGAGGAGGTCTCACCCTCTTGCTTGTAGCTTAGTGGCTAACTCATTTCAATCAGGAGTCCACAGTTTTACTGGACTGAAAACTGGTTCTTGACACCTACAACTCTTTGTGTAGAAAAGTATTTATTTTCTCATAAAATAATTCCTTATTTATTTCCAGTTACCCCTGTTCTTGTTTTATAACAGATTATGAAATGGCCACCTGGGTTGAAGATGTTTACATAACATGATTTTATATACCCCACCCAAAGAATGCTCCACAGTTGAAACGTTGTGTTTCCTTTTTTCTCTTGTCAGCGTGGAATAAACCTATTACTTTATCCTTTGCAGCCTACGCATGCTGACTCAGCTACCTGCTTGAATGATTTTATATACGTGGATAAACTGTCTTCTCAGTCTCCTATGTTCTAGAATAAAAATATTTCACATTACAATCTCCCGAGACTACACTAGTCTTTCTTCTCTTTTGTGAACTCTTTCTGGGGCTATAATATCATTTCTGAGGTATAGGGACCAGAACTAAACACAAAATATATTGGAATAATGTATTGATAGTGTGTTGTAAAGTCTGGGTATAACTTAATTGGATCTAAAGTCCACTGTTTTGTTACTGTACGTCCAAGCATTGTTTGTAATTTTTATTGCTTCTCCATGATGATAAGGAAATAAAATAATCTAAATAAGCAATCAGGTCCCTTTCATTGTAAAAAAAAAAAACATTCCTCTTCAAACCCTATGGTTTTAAAATGGGTTTTTGAAAATGGGGGGTTGCCAGCCCCCTTAACTGGTTTTAAATATTTGATATGGAATTTGGATTTAACAGCTCACCTGTGGTTGAACAAATTGTCAATCCTTTAAGAACATGAAAATTATATAGCTGTTTTAGATGTTGCAATTCTTATGATATGTCCAGTCTAGGATGCACAGCTCTAAGGGTGTAAATTTGAATACACCTGTATATTCCCTTCAGGGTTCCCATTTGTTCCTACAAAGATTGGATTTAACCATTGTACTATGCTGTACAGCTTCTGAAGCTTAAGAAAATTATGCAGGAAATATCACTGGGACACTAGATTAAGGTTCTGATTAAATTAAAGTTTTAACTCACAAACCAAATCTAAGTTCACAGACCAATACACATGTGTTGATGATAACTAGGATGTCTTTTTTCTCTGTTCTTCTGTTCCAGAGCATTCTTGGTTTATGTTCCAACTAAGAATCAACTACCTAATTGAAAAGACCATTGATCTAGCAATTTTCAAAGTAAACACCATTGTTTTCAGTGCTGAAGCTCCAGGAGAGCCCATGTTATCTGTAAAAATGTGTTACTTGAAATCTGCAATATTTTATTAAAAGAAGCCTCCGGTCAGCAGAAAGCTTCCAAATTGTAAATCAGTTGGAATTTAGATTTGCTTGGTGGGCTTACATTTTTATTCAACTGGGGCAAATAGCCAGCAGCCATATCACTCTGTAACTCACAACTGGCAACCCACTGAAGGTTGCTGCTGGAAGAGGTGTTAGTGGGGCCAGCAGGGGCGCTCACCCTGCGGTCCATGTGGGTCCCAATGCCCCAGTATAGTGATGGGGACATTATACTGTAAACAGGCGCTGTCCTTCGGATGAGACGTAAAACCGAGGTCCTGACTCTGTGGTCATTAAAAATCCCAGGGGGTTTCTTGAAAAGAGTAGAGGTGTAACCCCGCCGTCCTGGCCAAATTTCCCATTAGCCCTTACCAATCATGGCCTCCTAATATTCCCCATCTATGAACTGGCTTCATTACCCTGCTCTCCTCACTGATAGCTGAAGCGTGGTGAGTGTTCTGGCACACTATAGCTGCTGTCGCATCATCCAGGTGGGGCTGCACATTGGTGGTAGTGGAGGGGAGTCCCCGTTACCTGTAAAGCGGTTTGAGTGAAGTGTCCAGAAAAGCGCTATATAAATATTAGCAATTATAATTATTAAATACAATTTCCTGTATTAGGCATTTGTCTTTTAAAACATACATCTCCATGAGACACACAGACAGGGAGAAGGTTGGGGTCAGAGCGCAGGGTCAGTCATTTTTTAAGGCGCCCCTGGAGTAATCGGGGTTAAGGGCCTTGCTCAGGGGCCCAACAGAGTAAGATTCCTCTGCCGGCTGTGGGATTTAAACTGGCAACCTTCCAGCCACTAGTCTTAAGAGTTTTATTTAAAATTCAAAAATGACTTGAAAAGTTTTTTTGTCGTAAACTGTTTTTCAAGTTGTGCACCTGAGCAAAAGATGATTGCCGGGAGTCATTATTCGTTTTCAAAGAAAATAGAAAATTCAGAGAATGCACCTAGGCATCTCTTGAGCTTCATGACAAGAAACATCTAAACACACCAGGATCTTAGGTCTTACTATTCTGTTCTGGATTTCAACCATGATACAGTAACATCTGAATTGCGTGCGTCCCCACGATGTCAGTGTACTTACCAGATTAACTTTCTTTCTCACATAGATTGGTATTTCAGGACTGTCTGTTGAGACCGTCTTCTATTTAGCACAGGGCATCAGCATGAATTCTAAATACCAAGAATTACTGTTTCAAATGCAAGGTACTTCAAAGACATCAATTTCTTGTACTTTTGTACACAGCAATTGTATTGATTAGTATATCCTCACACTTTTATCGGCCACTTTCTGATTTGATTCATTATTCACACTTATAAAAGTGTTTAGACCATACATCTTTTTAGTTCCTACGCCATCAAATGTTGCAGAATACTGAAAACTCATTGGGAATTATGGAATACCAGTCAAACCTCTGGGGCCAAAAGTAACGATCTAACGTGGCGAACAAAAGCAATAAATAAAGCTATTGAAAATGATTCATTAACTCATTAACACTGATCTACTGTATATAACTGGCACATATTAAAACACATAGTACCTGATGGAACTAATCTTGTCAGGGGAACACTGCATGATGCTCTGCTTACCTACAGTAATTACCTAGCATTTATACTAATAAAGTGTCCTCAAAAGACAAGCAAACCTACGTAATGCTGTATTAGTTGCAGATAACACTTCAAAGGATTCACGCTCACTGTACTGTTGCAATATGGACACACTTGTTTAGTGACAGTATTCAACTTTTGTCAATTTGACATTATCACAAAGTTTATTGTATTCAAGTGCTGTTAAGTTTTTTTGAACAGATTTTGTTCAAATACAGAAATCCATGCTATTCGGTTCAACATTCTGAGATTGGGGGAATAAAAGCACACAAAAAAAGAAATACGAAAAGTTAGAAGCTGTTACACATTTCATATTTAATTTGTAAAATAAAAGACTCCGATCTGTATGGCAAAAGTTCTTACAAGGTATGCCCAATAAACCATACAACATGGAAACAACAAGCTCCTGAGAAGGCTTTACAAATCTGCCAACCACACCCCCTTATTTGTTAGGCAGCCAGTTTCTCTACTGAAAATGATTTTTGGTGGGTTCAGAGTTGGAACAAACAATAACTAGGATATGAATTAGCAGCAAGTCGGTCCTGTCACAATACAATTTTTAGCAAGTAAACAATAATGATCTCCGAATTACCAGTTTTTTTTCTGTCAGTTGGATAAGTATCTGTATAGAGGATCCCAATAAACTTCAGCCAAAAATGGCAGGATATATGGAAATAGGCCTATACCATTACTGCCCTTTTGACTTTCTATACCTGCTTTGAAAGACATGCCCCACCATCTATCCTACTGTGAAAATGTTTAATGTTCAATAAAGAAAATGGCTGATGTTCCTTATTGGAGCCACTGAACTTAAGGCTTTTCCAACCCACTTCAAGGCAGCACAAATGTTACAATGATCCATTATCTACCTATTAGTTATGTACTTAAGGAGCTGGCTGGAGCAAAATTCTGCCGTGGAGATGATCGGATGGGCTGCAGATGAAGAGCCTTGTTCTTGTTCATTAATTTGAGCATTGTTCATCAGCTCTCGCCATTGAGGGTCCCGCTGGATCACTTTAATTCACCTGCTTTATCCCTGGGAAACAATGAATCTGGCTCAAGTAAGTAATACAAACTGTCAAACATAAATAGAACTGTTCTGTACCTTCACCTTTAATAAACTGCAATTTACTGGATTTCCCAATTCAGAGAATAATTTGTTGAACTGTTTCAGGTTGAAGTAAAACACAAAAGAACCTTTGGCCCTAGAAGACCCGAGTTTAGGAACACTATATTAGCATACATTCATAAAAGAACCAGTTTTAAATCACACCACCTGCACCTGAAGAGGAGTGTGTTTGTAACAGACAAACTGAGTCTGGCATGGCCAACTTCGCCTTGTCTAATTTAATACCAGTGTCAGCTCAGACTCACTGGGATATGTGATTATTGTTTGCAAACACCGCAGATTTGTTTTCTGCTTAAATATAATGAATTCTTTATTACAGGATGACACTCAAGGAAAAAAAATATCTCAATGTAGGCAAGACTTGTCAGTGAAGGAATTAAGAATAAACCCCAGATGAGGAAAAATAAAGACCTCAAAACCAAATCACACTCCTGATACCTTTCTTAAGGAAAAAAAAAATAATGCAGCGCAAACATCATGCACAGTTGGCAGAAATAAAAAAAGAGCAAAAGAATGTGCTCATGTAGAAGCGCCTTATGTACAGCATAATGCTGTAATACAGGTAAAATAAAAAGACTCAATACAGGTGGTAATACTGACAATTGTTTTAAAAAACATACAAGCAGGTGCTACACTGAAAAATGAGCAATGACCTTTGCTCCCAACAAATCGCTTGGAGTGTAAACCTCCTTCCATGTCATGTCTGCTTTCTCGTGATCCTTATTTTGATGATTGAAAGTCCTGTGTTAGGAAGCAGGGACACAGGAGGATTTCTTATCCACGGAGTCTCGCTGACGGGGTTGCTACGATGAAACGGTGACAGGATTGAGAGAGCCGTTGCGACTGTAGAACTTGGAAAAGGCCTCTTCAAGAACAGAAGCAAGTCGAATCTGATCTGCCTGGAGCGGGAGTGGGGGAGATAACAGTCAGTCACATTAAGAAGCGAAACGATGTCACAGCCACCCAAGGAGAAAGGCTGGACGCTCTCCGCTGGAAAGGCCTATCTCAGTTCCTGCACTCCTTGCGTGCCATATGAAACTCATCTCAGAATTTAACCAGCTGCATTCACGTGGCATGACATAGCTTCATGCAAAGCACAAATCAGATGAAATTTCAACTTGAGCGCAGAGGTTTTTCTATATTTCTTTTAAGTTCCATCAAACTACTCAACAAACAGATCATATTCTTGGCATTAACCTGGCAAATTCCTGACCTCGAAGCCCATGAATGTTTTATGAACATACATAGCTGCACGCATTCCAATGTCTGTTCTAATGTCTTGGGTAGGCAGGACATTTCCAAGACAATTCATCAATAATTAACAATTTCCTCATCATTTTACTAGATTAATGGTTGAGACAAATTTACAGAAGATGTTTTTCCTAAGAAGTAGCATATGTTTATTAAAATTGTAAACAAGAAAACTATGACAGAAAAGTAATACATATTCACTGTTCAAATTGACTGCAGCTATTAACTGAGACAGAAATTAAGTACAATCATTAACAGTCAAATTTTACACCAGACTATATTTGGTAGTATTGGCTTTCCATTAAATATTGTCATTGAAATAAACAGAACATCTGTCATATTGCCACAGCAGGACACTGATGCAAAAACCCACAAATTTCTATTGGTATAAGATACTGTTATGACTTGGTATAGACCAGGTGCCTTGTAGCATAGTATTAAATTATTTTTAACTTAGACTCAAGTTATCTGAAGTTTTTCTCACTTAGCAACAGTGGTAATTTATCAACATTACATACACAAGAACATCCCAAATAAATTACTCAAAACATTGAATAAGAATAGGACTCCTTCTAGATTATATCCCTCACTGCTTCACTTTATTCTTGGATACTTATCAGGGAATCCCAGAATGGATGTCCTAGGATTTACTTTGTTGTGTAGCCAACGTTTCCCAGTCTCTGCCTGCATGCTCATCAAAGAATAAATCTTTTGCCGATATCATTCCTCCAGCAATCTTCAAGATATGTCAAACAAAAGCTGGGATTTTGCACAAAGGAGCAATATTCTCCCTAAATATGCCGCAAAAGTACAGAGCTCTTCCAATTTAACAAGCTTGATCTCCACCTTAATGGTCATGAGCCTCTAAATGAAAGCCACTACTCGTTTTACAAAACCAGTGCTCAAAGATTTGTAGCTTTTTCATTGAATACCATTTGTAACTTGGCAGCACCTCTGGAAGTTTGTCACTTGTGGACAATGCTTAGGGGCCCATGTGGTACAATCCTCATTTGGAGTTCTCATCTTGATAACCCCAGCCAATGGGGACCGGTGGATACCCCATACCTGCTGGCTGATTTTTGGTTAACTCCACATCTGCTATTTACGATAGGTGGAGTATATATCCATTGTTTACAGGAGGACTGCAAAAACCTGGGTGCAATCCCATCTGTTGCATATGGCCACCTGCTTACAACTAAATCTTGACAACATTGACATTCCTCCCACCGAAAGTAAAACAAGCAACTGAAAGAAATTCCAAGTCTTAATTCTGAAATTAAAAGAGTATGACAGTAAAAGCCGGTCTTACCTCACAAATGAATCCTAGTTGAACCAGCTCCACAGCCAGCTCCTGAACATTCTCACCTGGGAAAGAGATTTAGAAACACAATCACACAAGTCGAACAACACAACTGAAATAAATGTCATGTCATTTGCCAAACTGCTTTTATACCATACAGTGTCGCAGGAAGCCGGAGCCTACTCAGCAAGCAATGAGCGCAAGACAGGGTACACGCTGGACAGGGCGCCAGTCCATCACAGGGCAAGTGCAAGCCACACATGGGGACAATTTGGAGGCCACGATAAAGGCCAAGGAGGGAAATTTGGCCCAGACACCGGGACAACTACCTACTCTTATCGAGAAATGCCCGGGGATCTTTAATGACCACTGAGAGTCAGGACCTCGGTTTAACGTTTCATCCAAAAGACGGTGAAATAAAAGTAAAAAACAAAAAGGTTTATAAAACCAACTAAATAAAAGCAAAACATTTAAACTGAAAGGAAACATGAAATGTACGTATACATCCGGCTCTTTCAATTATTCTCATTACCTATAAGATCTTCTAGATACCAAACTGTCTTAAGTGCTTTGCAATGTTTTGTTGTGGAACATCTCAGTGTTTGGTCACCGGGGCCTAAAGAAACTGGATATTGTGCACAACATTGTCTGAATATTCCTGACAAAACCTACTTTTAACTTCAAGCTATGGGTATAAATTTGAATGTGACACCTAAGGTGATGGAAAGAATTTCTTATTCAAATTACACTGCGAAGCCAGTAAATGAGATAAGTACCTGTCATGAGAGGGAGCAAAATCTTTAACTGAAACTCCAAACTCCTACACCAGAACAGTAGGTCTAGTTCATTTTATAATCATGTGTAAATTGTACAAAATCTTTAAAAGTTTCTTGATCTGTGCACAATGGGAAAATGTGCCTGTAGAAAGAACAATTAGTGCTGTGGTTGTCAACAGAATAAAGTCTGTAACAGGTACAAAGTCTTCAGATAACCCCTACACCACATTCTAAAAGAATACTATTAAAAATGTATACTCAGTTTGTAGCTCTTCCAAACTGCTCAACTGTTGTACTTCAATACAACCAGTTCCTTAGCTGCTCTATTGATCTATTATTATTTAATTTAGGAGCTGGCTGTAGCAAAACTGTGTAATGGAGCAGATTGGATAGGCTGAAAACTGGTCTACAGTATTAATGTCATTGTAGTTTCAATAACTCAGTCTGAACAAATATCCACTGGAACTACAGTGTAGATCACAGAGTACAATGACAAATTGTGTTTAACATTACATAAAGTTTTGTTTGCATAGTTAATGCATTCAGACAGTGAGCTCACTGAACTGTGTGTCATCACTGATGGGTGTGCACTAATAAAGATTATCTTGACTGATATCTTATGGTGACCTACATGGATCAGCTAATGCAAACATTTAATGTTTAATGATGCAGGCAAAATACTTTCAACAAGTGAAACAGTTTCAGCTGTTTAAAACATTTAAAATTTAATCGTATTACATAAAGTGAATATGTAGACTACCTGTGCATGGGAATAGAAAGTATTGTTTATGTATTTATTCTCTTTGGATAATAAAAGTAGCACTCTTCTGCAGTTATTTGTATTAAACCGACACTTACGTTTAAAAGCACGACAATAAGTTCCTAGATTCTTGATAAAACTGACTGTACCAAAGCATCTATAAACTTATGAACTTTATGTGAAACTACCAGATGACAAAAAGCATTAGGGAATGAAGTAAAGATTTCAACAGATTTACAGGGTCTGAATAAAGCTAAACTAAGTTAAGAAATACATGTACTGCAGTTAATATTTATAGTTATTCTACCAATACATTCAACACTCCAATACTCCTACTCCAGTCTTTATCATAATTTTAATGAATCCACACAATTTTCTAACTGCTTCTTCCAATTCAGGGTGGTAGGGAAGCCAGAGGCTATCCCAGCAAGCAATGGGCACAAGGCAGGGTTCACCCTGGATGGCCCGCAGGTCCATCAAAGGGCAGATGTACACAGAGACATGCACATAATAACACCAGGGCCAATCTTTCCAGAAGCCAATTAACCTACCAGTATGTTTTTGGACTGTGGGAGGGAATTGGGGCACCTGGAAGAAACCCATTCAAACATGGGGAGAACACCCAGATAGCAACCCAGGTCTAGGATTTAACCCAGGACCCCAGCACTGTGAGGCAGCGATGTTAACCACTGCAACACCATGCCACCCACAGTTTAACTCATAAATATATTCAAATATACATCCATACCAAACCTGACACTGATGTGGCTGTCTCTATTCTATCTAATGGATCTCTGACATAAAACCTTGGATGACTCAAAATTTCATTAATCTGACAAGACTGAAGTCATGCTTACTGGCACCCCAATAAACTTTGTAAAGCCAATCCTGTAACCCTATCTGTAGATGGTTCCATAGTTGAGCTTTAGTCTAAATTGAAAAACCCTGGGGTGATATTCGATTCTGGCTTAACATTCGACTCACATGTGCAGAATATTGTCAAAACATCTTTTTTTTCACCTCAGAAATATCGCTAGACTACACCCTATGTTATCAGTAACTGTGGCTGAAATGCTGATCAACACATTTGTTTTCTCCTGACTTGACTACTGTAATACTCTACTCTCGGGAGTATCTAAATCTACATTGAACAAACTCCAGTATGTCCAAAATTCGGCAGCCAGAATCATTCCCGGCTGGAGTCCTTGAGTCCTTGAATCCTGGAGTGCTTGCTCTGGCTTTCTGTCAAATTCCGTGTGGACATTAAAATCCTCATGCTCATCTATAAGACTGCATTGCTTGGCACCTCAGTACCTTTCTGAACTATTATCGCCCTACTCCCCACCTCGCAACCTTCGCTCTTCTAATTCTGGTCTCCTAACTGTCCCCCAAGCCCATCTACATTGTATTGGTAACAGGGCCTTCTCCTGTTATGCCCCAGGTTCTGGAACTCTCTCCCCAAGGATATCAGAGAGTCACCATCTCTAAAATCGTTCAAATCCAGACTCAAAACCTTCTTCTTTAGAAGAGCCTTTACTTTACTGGTTCCAATCTTTACCCCTCTGCTCCTACTACACTGTATTCTTTTTATTGTTGTCATTCTGCAAAGCGCTTTGAAAAGCCACCTTTAAAGGCGCTATATAAATAAAGTTTGTTTATTTATTATTATAAATATTAAAGAAAATTAGATACACATGCATTTCCTAAACTAAATTAACTCTGAGTTAGTCCATGAAGCATATGAATAAATTTAGCAGCTGATGTACTGTACATACACTCATTGAAACATGCCTTGATGTTTCTGCATTTTTACACCCAGTAAGTTATGGACACAAAACTAAGCCATATGACAGAGGACCAAAGAAACTCTCACTGATAATACCGCAAATGCTCAAACAATAACTTTGGAGTACAGAGTTAAAACTAAAACTATTAAAACTATGTTTTAAGTTGGACATAGAACTATGTCCAAGGCCTTCACCAGCTGAACCACTCCTGAATACATTAAGGTTTGACAAATGCACAAAATAGCAACCTTTAAAAAAAAAGCAAGGGCAAATACTAGGTGTATAACATGGGTCTAAGAACTATTAATAGATTATTAAAAACATCTAGTGGTAAAACTGCTATGTTTTCATTAACTTCACAAACACAAATGACCCAATAGGATTAGGAAGGGATTAGGAAGCATATGGATTTGCAAGTATATTACTTTCGAAACGATTCCCTCATTGTAGGAAAAATAAACAACCGGCTTAAAATACAAGTGAGCTCTTGTTAGTTAGTAAACATGTTTTTTTCAAACTTGAAAGTAACTTTTTTGAAAAAAATGGAATACCAAAGAAATAGCAATTATAATTATAACAAAAATGTACATTTCTTTCATTTATTTCTTAGTATTAGAACTTTGGACAATTATTGACATACATTTCTAAAACTGAAATAAATAAACAAATACTTACTGGGCAACAAATCACAGCTTAAATGCCTATTTAATTTATCTTCCAGTTTCAATAATAATGTCAGCTGTAAGGGCAGAAAAACAGGAAAGTTACAAATTATTGGAAAAGGGGAAATCAGCAGCTGCACATTGTTTTTTAAAAAAAGAATTACACTAGCTAAAACATTAAAATGGTGCTTAAAATTTAAGAAACTTTTGTAAATCAGAATAATATTTGCCAGTAATTTTCCATTCAGTATTCTGCACAGAAATAATTTAGAAACACTAAAATCAACCTACAGTACAAGTTTCTTGAAATTCTCCCCTCACCAAGTTAAAAAAAAGGTATATTACCCTTTCTTTAGGCAAAATACAAACTCTGATAAATCCCCTTTTTTGATTACCAGTGCCAAAACCACAAGACATTCTTGTTATTCATGGTGTTTAATAGAGTTTAATATATTTTGCAACCTTGAATTCGTGCTTCTATAACTAAGAAGGCCTACAGATTAAGCTGCCATTCACCGAAGGACACAATTTGACCCGTGTTGCTTAAACACACTGCATGTGGGAAATTCTACATTTTAAAAACCACAATAGAGTTAAAAGAACCTTACATGGTGTTTTGTTCCTTCGTCTACTGGCTCAATATTGCATTGCATCTGGAGAATCTGAAAGAGGAAGATTATAATTTAAATTGATATATTGCCTATGTAAAAAGGAAAGTTACCTCACTTCCAGTTGTCACCAAGTGTTTCTGCATTCTCCCAGCAAACATAAACATTTAGTTTTTAAAATGAGATACATTTTTATATTATGCAAGAAAGAAGGAGCAAATACTTTTCGTACTTCTCTATCCCAACTAAACACACAAAAGAAGGAGCAGTAGAATTCTATTTGCCTGAAATTTTCATTTCTAATATTATGTATTACAGAACGTTCTGGTTCAACTTGTGCTGGTGTCTCTGACTTAATTTTTGTAGAAAGCCCCCAAATTCAATTGTTGTTTAAATGTCATGCAGCTAAATTCAGTGTGCCAACTGAAGACACGGTGAAATAATGTGAAAAGAGACATCCATTTTCGACAAGTTAAAGACTTCGGTTATATTTTTGTGCTGACTGGTTAATAGAGTTATTCAGGCTAGGAAGTTTTATATATATTCCAGGTTTAATTGGAAAAAAAACCCACATTCAAGAAATCCAGGAGGTAATCTGGGTGGGCTCGCCCATGGCATTGTCAAAAAGCAGAGTGAGCTTTGAATTCCTTCGCGTAGTTTTCTAGAACTAGACAAAAAGCGGAAATTTCCTCAAGGTTTAAAAGACGCTTGCCAACCTTGAAAAATTACCACAGCTTATACAAACACAATATTAATGAGGACCTTGACCAAGAATGGGCAAAAATTCCAGTGCCAAAATGTGCAACACTGATAGAGACTTACAGCTGTAATTGCCGCGAAAGGTGGTCCTACCAAGTATTAAGTTTGGGGAATACTTATGCATTCAATTATTTTCTGTTTTTTATTTTTAATTAATTTAGTAAAATGTCTGATTTTTTTTTCACTTTGACATTATAGCGTTCTTTGTGTTTGTGTTCTCAGTTAAATACATCATGGTTCCATGCTGTAACAATAAAATGTGAAAAAGTCTAAAGGGGGTATAGAATTTGTATGGGCACTGCAATTCCAGCCATTTCCTTCAATTCCTCTAGCGTTTTTTACCTTTCTCATTTCCAGCTCAGCAGGCTCAGGTGTGGGGGTTTTGACTGAGGGAGGAATGATTGGGGACTTCACAGTTTCCTGCTGGGGCTGCTGGGGGCATGGCATTCCAAAAGCCGTGAGGGGATAGATACCATTCCTGTGGCATGGCAGAAGGCAGGGAAAACAATATCACACTGCAGTAACTATATTTAAAATTTTAATCCCACATACAAGTTTTAATTAAAGAACAAAATAACAATGGTTTATGGCCATTTTCCCCTTCAATTTTAGGTGAAGAGCTTAATGATTAGAACTTAGCAAAGAACTAAAACACAGTTGGCAAACATCAAAGAATGGGTTCTAGTATTAGACGGGTTATTTTATTAGCTACCATTTAAAAAGACAGCTGAAATTACAGTTTAGATGGAGAATATGCAGCCAGACTGAGAAACCTTTGGAGTTTCCTCTAATCAATTTTGATGGAGCCTTGCTGTTAAAATCAAATAGATTGCTGTCGTTGGAAGTATAGGTCATGACAACGACACTCAATGGGTTGCGGTTTCCATTAAGCTGCAGTGTACTGATGCATTATAATACAAGTCACGGCTCATGAAATGAAAGATTATTTTTAAGAAATTATATATTGAGAAATAGAGAAAAAGATTTCAATGAACCACCCATAGTACAACACCCGGTTTGATTAGTCTGGAAGTTAAAGCTTTTAGGTCTTTCTGGGTTTTATTTTGTATAAAGTGTCATTTTCCCTTTAATTGTACACTCATGCACATGTATACACGCTATCATTATTGTGAAAAGCAGGAGAAAATATTCTATGGAAGTTCAGTTTCTTTATAATGCTGTTAAAAATCTTTTGTAAGTACTTAAGTCTTACCTGACATCTTCTAAAAACTTGTCCAGCTCAAGAGCAGGAAATTGGGAAAGCCTAAAGGCAAGTTAAAAAGATTACTAATTTAAATGAACAATTTAGATAAAACAAAGTAGATAAATTTACAGTGTACAATATATAGCTCTTACATTTTCACACCTTCCAGAATATAAACAACATACTTAAAAATACAAGTAATTACTATTTTTAATGATAACAAATAGTCCAATATGATTGTATATAGACTAGAATTGTATCCAAGGTCCAGGTTACCATGACCCTTACTGGGAATACAGTGCTATTTCATAATCAAAGCAAGATCTTCAGCAATACGTTTGGGATACACTCAAAACAGGACATGACATCCTGCTTTCAAAATAACACAAATATAAAACACCAGTAATTCAGGTGCATATAAGGTTTAAACTAGTACTTTGCTAAGCCTAGAAAGGAATCACCCCATGTTCAGTCATTGATGGTTCCGATATCACTGATCACACTGGCTGAAGATCAAAACACGCAGGATACTCACTTCAGCTGCACCCCTTCCTTTCGCTCAGCTATTACCAGGTTAGGGTCCATGTTTTTGGTTATTTCTTCTAATGCATTTTCAGGAATCATATCTAGAGGAACAAGAAAAGAGCAACAAACGGAGGTTTGAAACAGCCTTTTTTGCTAGCATATTCAACACAGTTCAATAAAATTCACACACTGTCTTTTTGACCGATTACCTGGCTGAAAGACTCAACACTATTAAGGCTTTGTTTTGCTTCTGTTTCTCAGTTGGAACCGCGGCGGTGGGTTTCTGCACGTCCGCCTGAGCTCAAACCTGTTTTCTTCAGGAACAGATGAGTCTGACACTTATTTGCACTACAGTATATCTGATGGAGACTAAAGTTGAGATGACGAGATCCAAAACAAAGTTTGGTGATTTTCTTGATAAAAATGTACAATTTATCACCTGTTAGTAACACCTTCGACACTTAATGCGTTAGACCTCATAAGTAAAGCAATCCTGGGCATGTATTGGTGTAGTGGTGGTTGGGACACTCTTCCTTTTGTATGAATATGTTAAAAATCAGTGCCTTAGTATGGTCACTGGGGACACTGTTCTGTTGGCAGTTGACAGTTGGACACTATTCCTGATCCTGATTACTTGATCATGAAAGTTCCATGGCACTGTTTGCAGGATTAGGGATGTTATTCCCCATTCTGGCTAAATTCCATTAGGTGCCTACATTTGTCCAACCCAAAGCTGTACCTTAATTCGATGTGATGCAATTTCTAACCTCTCCTCTTGACCTGAGCTGTTGCGCACACTGTGCCTTCAAAGAAGAGGACGTTGGGCCTCTTCCTATACAGTATCTTAAATATTTTGGAATGCTTCAGGTTGAAAACTGCTACATAACTCCAATTGTTTAACTGTAATATTCCAATTATTTCAGTTGATCTTTTTCTTTTGCCGTCTGCTGTCCAAGTGTACTATTTAAAAGTATTTTCTTTTGTCAAGTGCAGGGAAAAAAAAACTATTTCAAATACAAAAGCAAGTTAATTTGGAAAATGTATATGAGAAAATCAGGAAGTCCTTCTGACATGAAACAAATATTAATGTGATATTTCAATAAAACTCTATGGTTACAGTAATGCTTCACAGTGAATGTAGATTACAATGATGACATGTGTTCATATATAATCAGCCTGGGCTCATGCTATTCTTTCAAGAATTTCACTCAGCCTCTGCAGAGTTTCTCATGACTCATATGTGCACTTCATCCCTACAATTTGTCAGAACTTATCTTTAGATTTGTCAGCCTTATCAGAGTCATGCCCTCTGCTTGCTAGTAACAGACTGATCAAACTGATTAGCCAGAATGACATATCCCAGGCTAACCATGTTAAAGTCATTACTGACTCCATCTAGAGAATGTATATCCATATCTAATGAAGCTCAAGGAAGAGGGGTGGGACTATCTGGCAGGAGTGGCACTGGATCATGAAGGTGAAGCTGAGTCAGACCATCCCATCACTTGAAAATGACTTCATGGCTTCAGGTTATAAGGTTTCAGAATGTAAAGTCCACTGTAACTGAAATGCATTAATTCACTTACTATGGTTTAACTTACAGAATACTAAACATACCTCCTTTGTAGAAGTAGTATATATGATACCAGTTCAGAAAGAAAACGTGGATGCCTGTTGTCCATAAACCTGCAATTGGTGGCTTATGCTAAGGACAGCCAGACTGCTGAAATACTCACGCTGATGACTGACGATGCAGTGGGCAGCCAGTAGTTTCAGCTGGGGCACTTCAAACAGGGCCTGGTGGAAGAGGAGCTCCCTCGCTGTCGGACGTTTAAAAGGATCTGCTTCCAAACACTTCTGAATAAATTCCTGTAAAACAGGACATCCAGATGTCAATGTACCTTTCTCCAGAGTTCCGAAAATACCAAAATAAATGTCATAGTAGCTTAAATGGAAAACATTAGCACCTTCTTGAGTTATGCAACTCAAAGGTAGTGAAAAAAGTATTAGCAGTATTACTTGAGGACAAGCTACTGTATGATCATTGGCCATCAGAACAAGGCAATTGCCATGGAGGAAAACAGAAAAAGTGTTTCAAAGACAGATACTTTATTGATCCCGTGAGGGAAAGTGCAGAAATAGGTATAGGTAGAAATACGTATAAAAAGATATAGGTAACACAAACGTGAAGAACTAAATGATCGCTATCAAGTCTTGGTCCTTGATAGAATTTCATTTCAGAAAAATATCTGAAAAGGGGCCTAGCATTTTTAGACCCAAAGGGCACTGAACAAGGAAATGAGAACGAAATGACCGGACTGCACTTTATACAACATATTTCCAAAGACAACCCTTTCTGAAGAATTTGTAGATCTCGTGTTGGTCTTATCAGTCTCCTTCAGGTTCATGGAAAGATCATTCTCAGCCATGAGGGATAGGCAGGGTATGAATGGGTTCATTTTTTCCAGAATAACCCCAAACGCCCTATAAACTCCTCCACTCTGTGCGTTTTATAAATAACCGAACACATCAACGGTTTATTTTCTATTTACTGCCTTTCTGTAAAGGCTGGCGTTTCTGCCACAGAATGGTAGTTAATGAGGTCTTTATATCAAAAGAGTGATAGCTACTAAATTAAATATTAATTTTACACCAGAGTCAAACTGAAACTCAGTCCTACAAATATTTAATTCAAATTGTTCAAATACATTCTCTTTGTCACTTTTCTGTATTAAAAAAGGGTTTTATAGCACACAATTCTTCCTGTTTGATGTGATATCAGTCAACTTCAATAGTAAATAGTAAGGAGACAGTATCAAAACTGTATCTGACTCCATATGACTGTAGATTATAGAGTTCTGAGTTCATACACTTACTCTTTGCAAAGGATCTTCCAGGGATTGAATGGCACTATTTATAGCTTCCTGTGATACATAGGAAGACTCTCCATTGCTCTGGATTTCAAGCACAGCCATCTGAAAAAGAAACCAATCTGGGGTCATCAAGGTTTAAAACTAAGAAATTATGTCCAATCGAGACCGAAAAATAATAATGCTCAAGTATTGAGCTATATATGATAAATTAAATACTCCATGGGTCTAAAACAATGTGCCTTTTGCAATGACCTAAAAATCACAGAAAATGTAACGAAACCAAGCCCACATGGACTAAATTGGTAACTCTCACAAGCAACACCTTTAACTTCCAGCCGGCCATTAGCTGCTAAACCACTAAGGACATGAGTAATCTTAAGGAACAAACAGTAAGGTAAAATACACTCTGTTCCAGTGGGTGAGGCACTTCTCCACACTGTTTGGCTAGTGCATATTGGGTGACCTATTTGCTGAATATGGGATTTTAATAACACATTGTTGCTAAAATTGTTCACTTACCTCTAAGGCGCACATTCCAAAGGAATAGATATCAACTGCAGTTGTGACATCTGCAACAGCTGCAACAAGATAAACTATGATGAATCGGCGAACCAATGACAACTGAAAGTATGATATATATTTCTACATTTGACATTTCTGATTTTCATTTGAATAAAAGAAAAATCTACTCAGAAATCATGGATATTTAGTATTTAGTGTAAATTCTACAGCATTCTAATGCAAGATGTGCTACACTCTTGTAGAAAAATAACTTCCAATGCTTATTGTATTTAAAAAGAAAACCCTTACATTAGAACATGACTAGAAATTTTGCTGGCATAGTTTATACATGTTCTTTACAAGATGATTGCACACGGAATATTATTAACCATATTGTATTTATTTTTTACTGTATCTGCTAATATCTTAACACCATATTCTTCAACTAATATTTGGTGCACTCTCTCCCATACCTGAATAGTTATCTGGCATAATATCTCAGGATACAAAATATAAAGAAAAAACGTATTTACTTTCGATACAGATGTATAAGGGTCATGCAACATAACATACTTCTCGATCATACTTCTGGAAACAGATGACTTGACAAACGGAACGTAATGCAAAACTTTATTTAGATGCCTACAATGCTGGAAAATAACAGTCACTTAAACCTCTAGGATTTAAAAAGGATAGTTCTAGAGGTTAGCTCTTAACCCCTGTGGAATTTACAGAGTAAGTTCACTGAATATTAAGACAGTTCCAATTTGAAAGAACTCACCTCCATACTCAGGAGCAAAAAAGTGCAAATTCTTCTGCTCCTCTCGACACGTTTTGACATGGTTATTGATAGTATCAGGTGCCACTGTATGGAGGAAAAGAAAAATTGCATTTCAGATGCTGCCATAACCTGTTTTTTTTTTACTTCAGGTCAGGCTGGTAATGGATTTTGCCATCTAAAATATTTTATTGAATGAAAAACTGTTTTGCTGAAGCATGGTCAGTCTGGTTGACCTATTGCAGTTTCATCATCTGTGAATTTGAAACCATTTCTTCACGTAGGTCACTTCACAAAGATGCAAACTGGCTCCCAGCCGTTCCTATCCCTGAAACCCTACACCTAGTGTTATGAAAGGGCTTTAAGGTCTTCTTTCCCATCCACATCAATACAATTACTGCCTACATGCTAAAGCCTCACATACCTGAACCAATTTTGATAAGTCCGTTATGCTGAATAAAGATGGTGTCACAGGTTAGGTTGCCATGAATGATTGGAGGATCACATGAATGAAGGTAACTGGAAATAAAAAATAAATAAAAAAATGAGAGATCTGGGACATTAGACCAATGCTAAAGAACATATTGTAGAAACTATCTTTGCTACACAAAACAGCGCATTAATTAACAATCAATGTTTGCATTTGAAATATCTGGCTAGAACGTCTAGTCTATGTCACAAATGAACAGAATTGTGGCTTAAACTGGTATGATTTAAGAAACCTTTTAGAAGATTATATCAACTTGTCTACTCTGACAAGGTGGAGCAAAGCCCTGGAGCACCAGATATGGGCGGTCCCTCTTGGCGTACATTTTTAACCCACAGAATCTGAGACAGCCTTCTAATATTGTTATACAGAGTGGGCCATGTTATGTAACTTTATTGCAGTTTTCGTGAAAGTGTAATGAAATCGAATATGCTTATTTAAACACATTCTGCCAGACTCCTTGCAGTTTTCATACTTTTTTTCTTGTTACTTAAGAAGGTTATTTTGTCAAGTTAATTTTCATTTCACATGAAAAAGGGAAAAACTGAAGGCCAAAAAAATTCACTGACAGTCCATGTTCCCTCTGCTCCAAACTACCCACTTTCAGATATGATAACGCATAAAGACAAGGCAAACTGCACTTACATACAGGAAGCTGGAATACCATATCAGACCTAGACAACTCACCTGAGCGCTGACAAGATCTGAGTGCACCACCTCTTCCAGGCCTGGGAAGAACAAATATATCAAATAAATAAATAGAAATAGTGTTTCGGTAATAATTATGTCTACAAACCCAAACTTAAAATGCAGTAGCATCATAATATATAATATACCAACATAAACCGGTTAACCTCTGTTTAACAACTCAAACTGGTCTGATTTATGCTTTAGCTGTCATTGACATTTTTTTAGTGATATTTATAAAAAAGTATTCAAAAGATGTATCATTCGGCAAAGGGCCTATATTTAGACTAGCATCACTAAAATATCACTAATGTCAATTTGAGAGAAACACCAATATAAACACCCATTTTAAAAATTAGAGATTTAGATTATTTTACATTTGATTGTAAATTCACATTTTTGTACTGGAAAACGTGTCAAAACGTGTTTTCCAGTACAAAAAAATGTTAATTTAGTAACACAACATTCAGAAAAGGTATTAGTGGGCTGGCTGCCCGTGAAAGCAAACTGAAATTTGGTATACAGGTCACTACAGCAACACATAAAAAAGGTTTTTCACATTGCATTAAAGGGTTTTAATTGTCCAATTAATTTGTTTGAAACTAGCACAAAGATGTAGCACAAACTGGCTTTTGCAATGAACATTTAACTACTTCAAGACTACTTAATTAAGGTTAAAAATCCTGTTTTTATTACTGGTTTAATAACACAACAATAATACACCCATTTGAATCATTTTACCACATATTCTAAAATAAGTCTATATACAAAATAAACATACAAGGGATAAATTATCACAACATACCTTCTCATTCATAGTCTTGTGGTTCTTCTTTGTCTTCTTCAAAAACTGCTTCAAACTTCCTGAAGACATGTATTCTGTAATGAATATAACCTGGAAAGAAAAAAAGTGAACATGCTGTGGTCATAATCCAGTTAGTGCTTATTGTTTCATAGGCAGGTTGCTTTTTCCACAGAATTCAGTCTTCACAGATGAGACAAGAGAACAAAAAGGCCTGAAAAATCTTCAGTGTGCACAGATCATTAGTCTTCTACAATCTATATGTTTGTTTGGATGAACCTTAGACCGCACTCAAAATCCCAAATGCTGTACTGAACTGTAAATTTAATTTATCGCCAACTCATTATTTTTCTGGACTGAACCCTGATGCAGTACTGTACCATTGGAGAGAGCCTTCTCAACATCTTAATATTTTTTTTTCTGTGGAATTTGGATATAGCCTTAATATAGCTTTAATTTTTGTATCTCCCAGGCACAAGTATAGCCTATAAAAATCATATTCATGACCTGTGATTGAACATGATTTGGGATATACTGTTCACACTTTATTAGTATATTGAAAGTGGAAGAGTAGAAAGGTATCATCAGTTGATGTATTACATTGACTTCCATGAGTTAATATGTAATATTTGTTATTCGTCATTATCTGGAGCATCTTATTTTTTTCGGTTTGCATGACATGCTTCATTGCTATGCTTTAAAAACAAGTAAACAATGTAGAAAGCTCTACAGCAACAGGTTTAGACGTACTTATACTTCCAAGTAAAGTACACAGTATCACTTACCATAAAATGGTGCATAAGTTTAAAACGTCTAAAGATTTAGTCCTCAATATCAAATAGAAACTCAGAAAACATGCTCAGTTGTACTGAGGAATACTTGCAAGGGTCACTTTATATATGCACATAAAACTGAACACTAAAGGTGTTTTAGCTCTACTTACTCTAGCCCGGTTTTCTTTCACATCTGCCCAGTATTTGTGGAATTTCACAATGTTCAGGTGCTCCAGCTGGATTAGGTTATCAAAAACTGCTTTGACCTTCTCCTGAAAAAAATGAATTAAAACAAATGTCAACTTTACTGAATAATCAGTTATTGCAATTTTGTTTTATGTTAAAAGTCATTTTTTAGTGTACAGTACATAACAGCACTAGTTGCTGCTTAAACATTTATCACAGCCAAAATAAAACAAAATAAATTAGATAATGGAGGAATGCAAAGCAAAAAGATAATACCACTAGCCCACAGAGATTATGAGAGACCACGTGGTTATGCCTGAATATATCAGGATTCTAATGACTGTAGGTACGGTATACTACATTAACCACACCTGATTTGGAAGTTTAAGATAAAGAAATATATTTTATATTTATGTAAAAAGAACTAACAGCTGAGAATGTGTTGTGTGCTTCAGGAGACATTTGTGAAACCTGATCTGAAGACATTTGCTTTGATATTAAAATAGCTGGATCTCACCCTGACAAGAAGCAGATAAAAGCTGTTGTATTTTGCTGTGATGTACACAATATGCCACATCACAAGAAGTACTATGTGCAAGCACATTTCTACTTCTCATTTTAACAGATGAACATTCATTTCTCCAAATTTGGTTGAGTATAATGTTTTTAAAATGTGAGAACTTAAAACCAGAGATGCAGTCCCACAATTCTATTTTGTAGGTTGCAGGTAAGATTTTAGAAGGGATATCTGAGACAAATAATTTTAGGGCAGCACAGTGGAGCTGTGATTAGAGCCGTGGGCTACAGACTGCAGGGCCAAAACATTGGCAAGACACACTGCCTCCGTACCCTTGAGCAAGGTATGTCATTTAAACTGCTCCAGTAATTATTCTGCTACAGTATATGACAGAGTACTCCCCAAGTCACAGATGTAAATGAGAATGTGTTCAGTAAAGGTATCAATACCTTGCTTAGAAAATTGTGTATAATTATAAAAATCAGTCCAGATATACACAACCGGATACATTCCAGAATTATCTCTATAAAAAACGAACAATCACGAACAGATCAAATTGCACATACAGATACAGAATTTTCACTGAACATTTATCTCTAGCTGAAGTGCAGTGAGGTTCAGTGCAAAGGAACATCCAACTTCGACTTTTTAGAAGAACTGAACCTGCTTAGTCTACAAAAGAGAAAACTACCAGAGGACCGTTTTCAAGTATTCAAAATCCACAGGACACTGACAGTCAAGACTTCAGACTTCTTAAGAATCAAAAATGAAACACAATGCGCAAGCAATTAGTGGAAAAGCAATTCATATTCAGTCTGAAACAAGCCACCCAACCATGTAGTTCAAGAGAGATTGTTTTACTGAATGGGTGGATGAAATCTTTAGATCAAACAGCTAGCTACTAGCAACAAGATAAACGAGTTGATTGGCCTACTCCTGTTTCTGATTTTTTTTTACTTTATTAAAGATACTGTTATCAGTAGTAGCAGTGGATACAGTAAATTATTTCAAATGTGCAATATATTTTTTACTGTACCTGCCCTTCTTGTTTAACACTAACATCTATTGTACCTTTACTTCTGACATATAAGCCATTCACAAATATGTAGTGAGTAGAAACAACACAGTACGTTATAAAATACTATTTAACATTGGTCCAAACAACTTAATTCACTTAACTTAAGAGAAATCAATTCAATTTTAAATCTACTCCCAGTATCTACATGACAGAAATCCAGCAAGACATAAATGAATGATGAAAGCTCCAGTTCTAATAAGAAAACATATCAGGTAATATAAACCCTTGAACATAGGAGGGCAAACTCAGAAGAAGCTAAAGATGATAATCTCACCTGATGATGTCTGCCGAAGCATAGGAATAAGTTGTTTGCATTGCAAAACTGATGGGTCATTGGAATTGTAAAACGTAGCAGGTTCGAATTGTGTCTCACTCACGTTATGTACAATACACACATACTAGCTGATCAAAAGCGTCACCACATGATTTGAAATCCGGCCCAGTGTTTATTTCAAAATTTGAATAGACATGGTTATCAGGCTGAACCTGCATGAGCTCATGAATAATCACTGACAATCTGGACAGGGGTGTTAAATCATGTCCTACCTCTTGCAGTTTGAAGTTCTTCCTCTCGGAGAACATCACCTCATTCCACACGACCTCCACCCCTTCCTCGGTGTCCATTGCCAAGTAGGCACTATCAATTCCTGGCACGTTGCGCTGGTTCACCTGAGCAGACAAGATGGTTCCATGAGGGAAGAAAAAAAATACTTCAAATGCTAATCGGGACATTTAAAATGTACACAGAGAACAGCAAAAACAGGCTGAAACCTGGCACAAGACATAGGGAGAGTGGCTGCAACTGATGTTTGATTAAAATATTTGATATTTCCATTTGTGAGCATTAGTTTAATGTTTTCTTGATTAATCTATGTATTTTTAATAAAGGCAGTAGTCTAAATGAAGTTCTCGCATAGTAATACTTTCATAAACACCAGGCATAAACAAACAACACATTTTATATTTACTGTTCACTTATGATTATAAAAAGATGAGACAATCACAAATTATTCACCCTTCATTAAGGCATATGTTAAACTCAGCAGCCACAGCATTACAATTCTAGTAATAATAAGAAGTTACACTTACTTCTATGGTGCCTATATGTTAGCTGGACAAATACAAACTATGCAACTGTGGCTGATAAGCCAATTAACGGAGATCCTGCGGCAGAAATCCTATTGCAAACTTCAGTCTACAAGAGTAGCAGTCGTTCTGTTATTTTCTTCAATTTAAGAAACTAAAATTGTTCTTCAAGTCATTTTCCTTTTTACTGATCACAATATATACAACAGGAGACACATAAGAGTGGCAAGTGAATTAAAAGTCTAATTGACTCAAATGGCGTTCTTGGTTACATTATTTCTTCTATCTCAATTCACAGAAAAGCTTCAGATGTGTGCCGCTGATCATGGGAAATGATCACAGAACGGTTAGACCTTTATCTCGATTTATCAATGATACTGCTAAAATGTAAGCAGAACTATTACTGATGTCAAAGTATCAATGACACGCAGATTTGCAAATACAAGTGAATAAGTTCATTCTTGAGGAAACTGATTTACAAGACGCACTAGATTCAAGCTACAGTGTAAAACACTCTGAGGCCCTGAGAAAAGTGTGTGATACAGTATGTTAATTTTTATTGTAACAGTTGCACTAATTAAGAAAATTGGAGCTCAGGATACAAATCTGTTGACTCTGTGACCCACCTGATGAAACCAAAAATATGTTTTTGCATTTTACAAGAGGGAAAAAAAATGGCCATCACTCGCTGATCCTCCAAATCTTCACTGAAGTAAAACGTTTCACTTTCAGAAAACAAAAATCACAAACTATTTTTTACAGTACCTCTTCCCTTCGTTTCTGCCATCGCCCACACGGGCTTTCCTCTAGGATCTCGGACTCATCCTCACTCTCCTCCTCTTCGTCCTCCGTAGCTGGGGGGCCCTGGGCAACCGCCGACACCGGAGGAGACATGGAGGAGACTCCCGGAGCAGCTGACATGGACTCGGGCTTCCCCTCCAGGCCAGAGGCTGTGGCCGACTTCCCATCTCCCTCAGACATCCCTCCTCACAGCTGCTGATCCGGGCACCTTGCGTCTCGACACGGACAGCTCCGCACTGCAAAACACAGCAACCACACTGCTCTTCAGCTGCAGGTACTGTAAGGCCCCACATACAGGAGTGGGGCCTGAGGTCACCTTTTAGTAAAAAACAAGAAACTCAGACTTGATGGAAACAATTGATAGCTCTTAGGTTTGTTTTAAAATGGAGGTATCACCAAATTTAATGTTCTCAAACAGGCAGATAAAAAAAACTAAAAAATTGCTTTAAGTGTGACAAAAAAAATTCCACAGCTATTAGTAACAGACATTAAAACATTACATAAGCAATGATGATATGATCTGCGCTGTCTGCAAGTTGAACACACAAACTACTTCTAGTTTGGGCTTCCGTTTCCTTTATCATGCATCTCAATCTTGATATGTTTTGTCTTGCCAATGTGTTTTCTGAGATTACATGTCACATTGTTCACCTCAAAACGTCTCAAAAGCATGCCATTGCTGAAATACTGATATAATGATCTGGAACTGGTCCTACATTGCGTTCGTTTCTTTACAACTCCTCCCCTTCAGCTGTGTTAGCAACTTGGTTAGGCGGCTCAATCTCCTGGAAAATGTGCGCTATTTTGACTTATACATCTGTGGGACTACAAACTGAAGGCTAACTGATAATAAGTTGCCTTGGATCACTGCACTCAGTTACTTTCACGTGGGAATTTGTCACAGGCATTTCAGATATTTGTAAAACTAAAGATAAAAAAATTGGTTAGCAAGACAGTAATAAGCTGTATCTTGGACTGCTGTTGCATGTTTCTCACACAGAAGAAGAAATCATGAATGATCCAAACAAGCTGATAGTACCTGATGAAACTGATGTTCAGTCCACAGATGATAAATAGGTTGAATGCGTTAACTGCGGTGATCACTGAAAAGTTGTTATGTTTAAGAAACATCAAAATGTCCATCAGAGTTTCTTTTACCTCCACTAGTAAGTTCCATGAAATACATAGGTTTTTTATTGTGGTGTATATTTCACCTGCCAAGGGTGAGCCTCTGAATTCTGTATAACTGGCAGGTTATGGGATCAAATCCCTGCTGTAGACACTGATCTAGTATACCCAGATGTTGACACGGACCAGCATAACATGGATTAAGCTTACAATGTACCAGTAACCTATCCATACAGTGGGTCACATGCTGTCACACTTAACACTACAGTAACCCGAATCACCTCTAGCCCCATAAGACATAATGCTCTGACACTTTATCTTTAGATATATTTCACAACTCAGACATCCTATAAATATGCTCCTCATACCTGTTTGCCTATAGCCATACTTACAATTTAGTAAAGTCAGGTAAATGAAAAGAGAAATTGCATTGGTTACACACAGACATGTCACAGAAATGGTTAATTATTAGAATTAAAGCACCTAATATTTTTTTAAACTCAGTAGGAGAACAACAAGCATTCTAGGAGACTATTCACCTCTCCTCTTTAATATAAATTAACATCATGATGTGCTACAACTAGCCTATTTGAGTTTTCAATATGTGTGGGGACAGCATTCGCTGGCACTGGGAGTTAAAGAAATCAAGAATCCTGGTCTGGTTCAGGGCAGAAGACTTATTCCATTCCACAGGACCACTTTAGGTTGTTTGCTGAAATGCCTTGTCAAGTCTAATCCAAATTTCTGACTGTTCATCATTGCTCTTAGAGTCAGTACCTGGCTACACGTTTCCAGAAGCCCCCAGTGCACTGAGACCACCTAGGTGCCTGGCACTGCTGTGTTGCCACAGTAACAAAGCTTTAGGGAAAGTGCCAGAATACATTTGCTACAGTAGAAGACTGTACAAGCAATACACGCACATAGACAAAAAAATACTTTTTCCTGTTATTTCCCTCAGGTGTTAACAAAAAGAAGCTGGAAATGTTAAGCGATGTCAGATGTATAAAAAGGGGAGCCACTCTGGCTATTAATCCTCACCTTTAAAATAAAAGTACTCCAGTTGTCATTGATAAGATTCAGTGAACATGAAATCAATGGTGGCTTTCACTGTATCATGCAAAGGTAATAATTAAAATTGGATTTGTGCTTTAATTGCTTAATGATGCATGTCTGCCACTGCATAATGCAAAACGTTATAATAAAATCTAGATTTATGCTTTAATTCCTTAATGATGGATTTGGATAATCAATATCTCCCACTAAGCACGTACTCCAGGCGTTCCTGAAAAATGAAATAATTTAGAACAGTCAAGAGACTGTACAGTACAGTATGTGCCTATATGTTATCCCAATACTTATAAGTGTAACAGCAGCCCGCGGAATCTTCAGGAACTCCCACGGAAATGTCCTTCAGGTGATAAAGTTTTCTGACCACTCAGAATGAAGAAACCCTCTTGTCAGTGGTATTCCCCGGCAGACAGCTGTTTTGTTTCCAAAAACCCAGGGCTGCGGTGAATTCAGCTACTCATCTGCGCCATGTGCTACTTCCACATAGGCTGCTGCTACTGGAAGGCCAGTCTATGGCCAAAATGCGCAATTTGTGGTTAAGCGATACAGAAATGGAAAATTATTAAAAAACGTTTCAGCAAACGAAAACTCTAAAAATTACAATGTAATATAAATCCCACCCCCAAAGAATGACTCCAACCTCTATACTACTGCAGTACGCAAAACTATAAAGTTGATCCTGACAGTCACCGATAGCTTCAGCTGCGAAGCATAATCAAAAGCTGTGTAATAATCATCACATTTTCCACATTCCTTTGAAGAAGCAGAATCCCTTCGATAAACCTTTCTTTTATGAAGCGCATGCCTCTTTTTTCTCGGTCACGAATGCGTTTACCAATTTGAGCACAAAACAGCCAGACCAGCAAACTAAATCAGAGCGGCGACTCAATCAAATGCAACGGTCACTCGGCCAGACGGCAGTTGACCAACAAGTCTGTTTTTAACACGTAAAACCCGTTTTACAATTTTGATATAAGTGACTAAATTGCCATTCCTATGCTAAACAATGAAAGACCAGTTTTTGTTCTTCTTAGATCGCCAACTTCTCTGATCAATTGCGCAAAAAGAGCTGCGATATTTACCTACATTAAACTTCTGCTCAGCCGCATCATGACAGACATTGGGACGCTGCTGTTTCGCAGGTTTCAACCATTTTGTAATAGACAATTAAAATATATACTGATCAGTTTTTAAAACTTAAATAAATCAGTCACCTTTTGCTTTCCGTGGAAAGATCCGCTCCACTCAGTAGATAAGATACTGCTGTCAAGTCAGCTGCGATGACAAGCAAGGAAAAGGAAGAAACAGCCGCCGGTAATTCCGTCAATGAAGATTTTCGTCTCGATTGGGCAAATGTTCACCTCTCGTCTTCTTTAATAACCCTGAGAGTATTAATGTTCCCGGATTTACTGATTATGACTTTTATTACAAAAAGGTAACAATTATTTCAATCCTATGTGCTCCATCAGATGGTAGTTATTTCATACATTCGTCAGTTAACTAGAGCTATCAATTTGAACACGTTCGGATTTTAAAAACCTTTCTACCCACGAACAATGAACGAAAAAACTTGTTCCCATAACCACTATTTTTGATCTACTTTGACCTAATAACGACGCCTACAAAGTCTGATAATGGCGACTGATAATACACAGAGAAACGCCATTTACTCTCTAACTTCATCACATCCTACACTGTTTTATTACTCAGGGCTGAACGCTGATTGACAGTACAATTCACCAATCGTAGAACAGTCGCCTGGAAATTCTAAGGGATGATTGGACTACGGAGATCTCGCTCCGCCTCCGAGTCCTCTTTGCTTTGAGGAAATGGCAAACCGGGCTTTTCACGTTTGTGTAGGGCTGCCTAAGAAGGCGGGTCCAGGTACCAGCATAGTCAATGCCAACGCAGGGGCGCGTGAGAAATTGAGCTGCGGCCATGTTGGAGCAGAATGTTGCTCCACAGTGCACCAGCTTCCTTTTTCAGTAGGCGGTGTTTGAGCAGTTCTTAGTTTGTGTCCAAAAAAGTTTTGATATACTGCTTTATTACGTCATGAGGTTCGCATATATGCATTGTTTATTGTAAATTAATTATAACACCAGATTTAAGAAGAATTTCCTGAACTGCAAGTTTTTTATTTTAAAATTTGTATTAATTATTATTGTGCATACTATGATATAACTAAATGGGTGTCTCATGCGAGCACTTTGGCTACTATGTTTTCATTTATATACTGTGTAAAGTCTTTACGCTTTTTACTATATCATATCTTGCAATCTTCCAAAATTAACAAACCTGCTAATAAATTTATACTTTCAAACTTTAGAAATTTGTACATCATAATAAATGAACATTTCTTAAATTGGAGCTTTGACCGGTCACTCTGATCTTGCCAAGGTTTTGAAGAGGTTGACAATTTTCTTGATAATGTTTGTGTGGCCCATGCATTATAACTAAATTGTTATAGTGCATTTAGTTTAATTTCTGGGCAGGATTATTTAATGGAAAAGCTTTGGGTTTTGATTGTTCTAAAATTCACATATGAGAAGTATTACTAAAGTGAGTTAGAAAAAGGAAAAACATTGTTTTCGAATGAATCTTTTGATATTTATTTCATAGATTGTTTTTCATGTTTTAATGTGTTTTAGAAACATACTTTAGCTAATCTCGCAACTAATTGAATCATAATACTTATTTCTTTAGTTTATAAGGCACACGATGTTGGAATGAGCCTATTGTCATAGAGTTACTGGCAGATGGACCATTCCAGTCAGGCTGCCATTTAAAAGCTTTAAATAGTTAAGCAAAAACTGGCAGATAAGAATACCTGTTACAAGACAGTACTTGTGCTAAATGGATCAAAGTTAGTAGTCCAGCAGAAAACTGGGAACCGTACTGTTAAAAATACATCAGTCCTGAAGTTTTCTTCTGAGGCACATTTCTGTCTCAGAAGAAAACTTTAGGACTGATGTATTTTTAACAGTACGGTTCCCAGTTTTCTGCTGGACTACTAACTTTGATCCATTTAGTCCTACGAGGCACATTTCTGTCTCAAGTGTTAAATGGCCATGAATCAGAAAGCTACAGTGCAGTGAGTAAAAATGTACATTTGAATTTAGACTATGTATTGCATCTATAGTGGCTATCAAATGTATTCACTCTTCTTTGGACTTTTCCACATTTTATTGATGTAAGTTTTTTGTCACTCTCCCAGGCAGTCCACATTTGTGAGGCAGCCACACAATTGTCATATGTACAGTTTCTCCCATCTCAGCCATGGAAGACTGTAATTCCTTTAGATTTGACACAGGCCTCTTGGTGGCCTCCCTGGCTAGTGTGCTTCTAGTGTACTAGTACTTATTTTTTAGGACGCCCTGTTCTTCACAGTTTCACAGTTGTTCCATTTTTTCTATGTTATTTTATTATGGGCTTTACTGCGTGTTGGGGGATAAGTATGTTGATTTTCAATAACACTACCCCAGATTTACTTTGAAAGTTCTTTTGTCTTCATGTGGTAGTTTTTTTGGGGGGGAGCTGTACTATCAATTGTGGGACCAATATAGGTATAGGTATGAATAGATATATTAGTCCTGAACTCATGTGATTGTGTGCATGTTTGCACACAGGTGGACCCTAATTGCACACAGGTGGACTCCATTCACCATATAGGTAACTTCGGAAGATATTTGGTTGCACTAGAGTCTATTTACTGTAGGTGTGTCATAGTAAAATAAGTTGAATACTTATGCAATCACATATTTTCTGTTTTATATTTATAATTAATTTAGGAAGATCTGTAGAATGTGTTTTCAATTTGACATTCGAGTGTCTTTGTTGATCAATGACAAAAAATCCTAAATAAATATATTGTGATTCTATATTGTAATACAGTAAAATGTGAAAACATCTAAGGGGGGAGGGGGGGATACTTTTGATAGCTACTGTAATTACAAGATATCAGTCTAAAGTACATGCATATGAATTGCTCTTCAATCACACAAACCAAGTGTAGTGGGTCCAGTTAGAGACCAACTGAAATTTGGTTTTCTGTAGGTGCCTATTATGGAAAAAAAAGCATGGAACAACCTACCCTATGTAGAGATTTTAGAGCTCACGACAAACAAAAATGCAATGTAAATAATGCATGTATATTAGATTAGAGATTTTTTGGAAACTATATTAGAATGAATTAGACTAGATCTCACAGGAAGTAAGACAAGAGGAATGGTGAGAAATGAAAGCACACTTTCAATGTAGAGGAAATAAAATAGCAAGTTGCAATATTAATCAGTACCTATTTGTAAGGAGTTTTGAAATTGTGATTTTCAATGCACCATTTTCCTAATATAAGAGATGATTGTAAGTCCATTGTGAACATACAGTATGCAACCATCAGTACATAATACCAATAAATTATTTTAAAAAGTGCAGAAAGTAAAACAGACTGAATAGCCAAAATGTAATAAAAGACTTCAACTATAGTATATCATAAGCCCTTTGAGAAGGCTGCTATCTGTGCCATGACCAGGTGCTGAAGGTTTTAGCGGGCACTACTAGCAGGGGCACCAACAGCAGTAAAATTCAGCATGCAGCAAATCGGGCCACTGAGTTTCTCAGAGCCGGTCAGATGCCATAATCACAAACGTAAAAGCAGGTCTCCTGGCAACGGCAAGAGATTGGAAGCTGAAGTTCCCTGACACCTTCATAGCCACCACACTCAGGCCAGACATTCTACTGTTGTCTGAAACATCTAAGTAGGTGATCTTACTAGAGCTAACAGTTCCATAGGAAGAACAACGGATGGAGGTGCCCAGTGAAAAGAACAGAGCCAAGTACAAAGACCTGGTTAATCAGTGCAATGGGAAGGGGTGGAGAGTGCATTGTGAGCCCGTGGAGGTGACCTGCAGGCCAGTTCTTCTGTTGAGCCTGCATTCTTTTGGGCATAACAGCAGTGAGTAACAGGAAGGCCATCAAAACCACCACAGAGGCTGCAGAAAGAGCCTCAAGACAGCTGTGAATCAAGAGGCATGATTTGTGGGTGATAATGCCACCTGGACACAAGCCAGAGTGTGATCATCCTTGGCTGGGTTGCCTGGGTGTATGATCTTTAAAGACTTGAAAAACCCAGTGACCCCAGGTAACATCACTCACTGATGATGTATCCAGGTGCATCAGAGGATGTATTTCTTAAACTATTACCTCAATATTCTTCTATTCAGGATTTCTGAGGGTGAATTTGTTTGTGTACTGAGGCATAAATAAAGCACCACAATTTAGGTTTTTATGAGCTGAATGTTTGGTTGATTGTCTAAATAGTTTTGCTCAATGGAGCAGTAAAGTCATGACTTTTTGCCTTATACTCAAGTCATGAGATTTGATCCAAAATTCCTGGTGTTCCATGTTTGATATTTGAGTGAAACTAAAATCACAAAAACAAAGAGTCATTGTTGTATTCACAAATGAATGGTCATTCAAAATGATTTTAACCATCTGGACTAATTAAGAATGCCTGGCTGATACTGGCATGACCCAAGATGGCCTGTCTGTGAGAGAAATTACCCAAAGAATGGCATTCTGTGGTTCAGCAATAGGCTGATTAGTTGAGAAAAAACAGGAAACTGGCGCTCTGACCATTTCCTGGAATGCAAAGAGTCACCGCTGGCTTAGGTGTGAAACAAGAAATGTGGGACTGAAGGTAGGAGGGAGTCAAATAATTGACAGAACGATAGGCAAGGATGAGAGTTTTGAAGAGATTTGTATCTGTTCATTTCAACCAATCCAGCAGTGTGATGATATGGGGATAATCTCCTTTGAAACAAGAATTTATGGCACAGATGTCGGCAATCTTGATGCTTACTGCTATTCCCACTTGTGTTGGAGTTCTCTTTGTTGAATTCATTTCTAACAACACACCAGGAAAAAAATATTTTGAAAACAAGGACTGGAATGGCGAAACTCAGTAATTAAAAGCTCAGCTGGACCAAAAACTAGAAGAGCCAGAGGTCTCCCAAGAATGGAGCTGAGAACCATCGCTTTAGTCAACAGTCTTTATGTTTTAGAAAGCCAATGTGGAAATGTTGATTTTTCAGTAGGTTTATGCCAGCCCAGATGATATTAGGATTGCAATCATGAACATAATGTGAAGGTCTTGTCTTACCCAACTTTTTCACTTCACCTGAGTTGCCCAATAATACTTGTGTGACCAAGTTGCCAATGCCAACAACAGGAGACCAACCACAACTGGCACAACTAGTTTGTCAGCGTGGTACAATGTGTACTGAAAACATACTACAGTATAATCCCTTGATACATGTATGTATATTTGTTTTCATTTTCTGTGCTTTCATTTAACATGTATTTTTAAAGTACAGCACGGGGACACTGTGCTTACCATTGTTGCTTTGCAGTGCTGGGGCCCTGGGTTCAATTCAGGACCTGCATTGGAGTTTGTATGTTCTCTCTGTGTTCAAGTGTGTTTCCTCCCATAGTGCAAAGGCATACTGGTAGGTGAACTGGCTTCTGGGAAGATTGGTCCTGGGGTGTGTGTGTTTTGTGTCTGTGAGTGGTGGACTGGTATCATGTCCAGGATGTATCTTGCCTTGTGCCTGTTCATTAGATAAAACAGTTTGAAAATGGATGGAGGGACTGCTTATATTTAAAATATTTTCATATTTATTTATATTTGCTGACTATTTGATAGTACTGTACATTATACTTGTTTGGAGATTCCCTTAAGTAAAAAAAATGGGAGAGGTAAAACAGTTACTTTGTCAACATCTCAGTCAGACAGATTTTTATTCTATGTGTGATCAAGACCAAGGATTTCAAGCTCAGTTCGTGGAAGACCTAGTGTCTTCTGGATTTTGCTCTACACAAGTTCTCTGTTACTTAATTTGTCTAATAATGTAATCAACTGCAGAATTGTAATATATATATACACCCAGGCTTCCAGCTGTTTTATCTAGGTAACTGTAATAAAGTTATCCATTTTCTTTATCAGGTTTATTCAGTACAGGGTCCTAAGGGGGCACTGGAGCCTAACCCGGCAAGCAATGGGAACAAGGCAAGATACACCCAGGACTTGATGCTAAACGCTTGCAGAGCACACACAGACACAAACACGGACACATTCACACCAGGGCCATTTGTTTGCAGAAGCCAATTAAGCTACCAGCATGTCTTTGGACTGTGGGAGGATACCAGATGAAATGGATGTGAACATGGGAAGACCATACGAACTCCACACAGACAGTACCACAGATATTAAACCCAGGATCCCGCTGTGAGGGAGCAATACTAACCAGTGTGTCACCATGCTGCCCTCTTAAGCAAACAGTAAACTGGAACATGCTGTATACCCCAGGAAGCATTTAATGGAATGGAATCAACACAGTTTACATAACCTCCTCTGGCACTTTCTCTTGAATCAATGCACTCCATTATCTAACCGGATGTATAAATGGCACTAGCAGATCCTGTTTTTCAGACACATTTTTTTGTGAGAACCATGGTTCACTCAGTCATTTCCAGGAATCAAATGTAAACCTTTTAGCCATTTAAACATTATTACCCTTGCTACACATTTATAGTCTACTGAAATGAATCAGAAGAATGATGGGTGGATGGAGCAATGTCCCCCTCTTGTGTCAAAGCTTGGAGTTGCAGTCTAGTTCCTTTGTGCAGGTCCTTACCAAATGCATTGCTGTAGCACTACAGAGCGAAATGCATTAGAAACAGCAGGGAAGGGAAGTTCCAGAGTGAGTTAAATGTACAAGCAAAACCACCAGAAGTTGAGGAGATAGTTCATGGGCTTATAAAGAGAATGCAAAAGAGACAGCAGGGTAATAAAAAGATGTAGGAAAAAGCCAAATATGTGTGATAAATGTGAACGGTAAAAACATTCAAGGATATTTTCATTCTTAGATGCCACTGTCATAGACTTCTCATTTCTACCTTTGCAGGCTGTTTCATTTTGTTACAGGAATATTAATAAAGTACATTCTTAAGAAGAGTCTAATAAACCATTCCATACTTCTATTTTTATCAGAGCCATAAATATGGGAATATGGGGTTCATTCTAAATTTAAAGCGACAGTTTTATGTGACATATTTGAATAACCAAAAGGCAAGAATAAGCATTGTCAAAAGTAATCAAACAGGTTTTAATAATTTTCTATTCACATTTTTTAATGACTCTAAGATCAAGGAAATAAAAAAAAACAATATTCATTATTAACTGCTGTTAGTAAAACAGGTTATGTAGAAAAACATGTAAAACATAGACACATTTACATTTCTGTTTCTAAAAGGATTATTTAAACAGAAACTTGACATTTACAGAATTAGATCTATAGAACAATATCATGGATTAACAAATACAAATTTACATGATTTAATCTACTTTAAGACGTTCGTTCAATGAATTTTATCTTAACCTTTTTTGAATTTCATTTGTTTTTTCTTATGTTTCTTAATCCTCCTGTTCAGTATTGTCTGTAAACGTGACTAGTTTACTCGTAATACCAGAATCTACAAAATTGACATACGTTAGGAAGAGCAGAGGTCCTAGTACAAATTATGGTACTCTATTAATTATATTTCCCTTAAGGTGATGTAATTATCTAACATTATCACTAGAGGTAGGTAACCCTTAACACTAATGGTAGATTACAATTGATTCAATGCACTAATTATTAATTGCCTGAAATAATGAAAACTATTGTGATGTTTATTTCAAAGCTAACATGGCTCTGTGAATGAATATTTCACTATGTTAAAGAACTAAAATATGATTGATAAAATTACCTACACTCAATAAAATACCTGTAAATAAGGAGAGTACATTATTTGTGAGGTTAGTATAAACTGTACACAAGCAACTGTTCAGAACATGAAATTCATAAACAGAAATGCAATGCTACTTAAACAAGTACCATATTGAAGCACACAAAAGTGAAAGCCTTAGGACTATACACAAATTCATACAGTATGCCTGAACTGTGCATGTCTCCATAAAGCCTGACAAGCTCTCTGGCAACAATTTTTAAAATCAAAATAAACAAGTACAAAAACAAAACTGAATTATTTACATATCAGGGAATTTGTAGGTTTTTCAACCTACAAGGTGTTAATAAGGTATCAAATCAACTCAAGCTGGGAAGGTTAGAACTTGGTTTATTTGAAATCATTAAATACTGACCAATAACTATCAAATAAATTGTTGGTACTTCAGTCCTGTATACCAGTATGTTGCTCAATCTATTTATTTTTTTATCTTTTAGGCTGCAGTTTAAAGTCACACAAATGCTGGTAACCTCCTGAACCATGAAACAGATGATGATCACACTGATCAGCTATTAACTAGTTCTAGTCAAAAGAAAGAGTCAAGTGAGTAGACTGAATAACTTATTCCGACTGACTTATATTAGCACACTTTACATTAGCAGCAAACATAAGAGTCAAAAACTTGTTTTTGTCTGAAGTCTTCTGGAATTATGGGATAAACTGGCAAGGCTAAATGTTTATTGACTGCTATTGGTTTCATTGCAGTGTAGGCCTGCTTTGTTTCTCAAAGACTGTGATATTAAAAGGAACTTTAAAGCAGCAAAGTAGCAACAATTTACAAAATGGTACAGAGCTTCACTTAGTTTAATTGTTTACATTTCATCTGTTTATAAACTATTCAGGTATTATCTTCAATTCCTACTTGAGTGTATGGTTAATGTGAATAGACCTGTCTGGACTCTAGAAGAGAATTTGGACCATTTCAAATTTCAGCAAATAAATTATTATAACAAGAATACAGCCCTGTGGACAACTGAAATTTCTTTAGGGGACAAACATCAAATTGAAGAATGTACTGTACATTACACCTAATTTAATGGATTGTTCTGAAGGAATCCATGACTGTTATGAATCCCTCATACCAAAATGTACATGGATGTGTTTAAATAATAGAGAACAATTTAGTTCACTGCAGACGTGCTGACAACACATCCAAAGTTACTTTTTTATGTTGCTACCAACAGGGAAGACCCAGAGAGCAAACACCCTAAATGCGTCTAAATACGAATGTATATTTACTGTATTCTGGAAGTTTGTTTAAAACATATTGTAAAATGTATTATCTTACTTTATTTCTATTTTCTGTAGTGAAAATAAAAAAAAATTAAAACAATCTGTATTCTAGTAATGATTATCCAAGTATAACAATTGGGGGTTGCTGGGAGTTCATGTTAAAACTTGTATTTTGATTCTAATCTAGGTCTACAATCCGGCTGTTCTCTGCCGTGTTGTGCAAGAAAAATGATAGAAATGACTGTGCTAAACATCCCGACCTTTAGAAAATGGGAATAAAAGTCTCAGGATCAGTGACTGAACAGTAAGAGAATCAGTCTAGGAAAAATGGTCTTGGACTTCAAAGACCGACTTCAAGAAGGTGACGTCAAGACGCCGCTGCCTCCAGACGGGAAGACTAGCCCTCGGTGTAAAACAGGGAAGGAATGAAGTAATGTGCAACCTAGTGGCTGCTTTACGACAGTACGAATGGCGTCTTCCCTAATGAGACCCCTAAGTATCCCCCAACACATACACATAACCTGTACAATACATCACTATGAGATTTTAAAGTCGAGTTATATTCTAACCACATCCTTCCCCTTCGTTTGGTTTTGAAAACCGCTGTTTGGGGGGGTGGGTGAATAGTTGTTCCCTGTTTGCTCATCCTTTCTAAAAAGAAGAAAAAACTAATCCTGACGGTGGTATAGCTGGGGTGGGGGAAAGATGGCCGGGAACAGCAACAATCTTGCCTCGGGATTTGGGGAAATAATCCAACTGAACGTCGGTGGCACACGGTAAGATGCTGATAAAAATCTGAATTTTACACGGTATATTTTTGAGGGGAGCAGTGAACAAGACTAAAATAAAGCAAGGAATCGGGATGCAAATACGAGTTCAGCACCATAGGCCTTGATGTGGGGATGTCTTGGTCTGATATTATTGTAGCCTCTGCCTTTTCCGAAACACATGCAGTCACGGGTATAATTGTTCCTTTTTTGAACGATAAAAATTATGGAAAATCTTTTTCCTCGAAACAGATTATTTAGGACGTGTAGCTACTAATTTATTTTTTAGCTTCGATGCAGAGGAAAATCTAAATATGTGTGCTCCTACAATCGACACAGTCCCTTAAATATTTGCTCGAGTTGCGCTCCAGGTGTGTTTATATGAATTCCTACTTGAATGTTCTGTTCTCTCACAAACTCATGAATGTTATTAAAATGTTCGCGCCACACAATACATTTTCACAAGTTGTCGTATTATTACGAACGGATCAATTAACATTCTAATAATAATACTAATACAAAAATGGTAATTCTTCTCCTTTTACGATCATTTGTTAGTATGTATCACAGTGCGTCACTATGCCAACTATGAATTTAGACTGAGTATTGTAGGTGAGATACCCATTTTTGAAATTTCATTTAGAAGAGATTTGTCAATTAACAACACAAAATAGCGAATATTAGTAATTTTATAAACATTAAAAATACGTAGTTAAAATACATATGACCGTTTTACTTTTCCCATTTAATCATTTTGCAAATATGCCAGGGTATTTTTAGAATTATTATTTTGAAAGTATTTTGAAATCACACTATCAAAGTACAAACCATCAAAGGGATTATTAAATTAATGTTTGTGAGTGCTTTAAGATACTGATTTGAATTCCAAACTTACACCAACATTACACTTACACCAACATTCCAGTGGTTGTACAGACAGGCGAGTTAAAAAACTTTAAAAAGACTGATGAGAACATAAGAAATAAACAAGATGCAATATTCAGTAGTGTCAAGAATAGAGAAATTATAAAGATGTATTTGTTATTAATTTTTCTATGTGTTCTTTTTCTATATTTTCAAATATACCTGAGCAGTTGTTGCCTCATTTTGCTCAGATAACTAGAGAGCAGCTTTTGAAAGAGGTGAAATGTCACACTGTCATGTTGTGTTCAATCAGAAATCGCAGTGAAGGACCTGTTCAGAAGATTGCCATTGTTCTAGTAGCAGACAAACGTATGTAAAGATAATTGATCATTCTTCCAATGAAAACTGTGCAGTATCCTGAAGAACAAATCTCGCAAAATGGACAACACATGCACCTGGTTTAAGGAATTCTTTTAGTTGTTTGCAAATTGATAGCTTTTGCTTTGTATCTCTTGCCTTCTCTGTCGCATGTTTTCCATAAAATGAATCCCAGAATTCATCACTGTTCCTGATGTTGGCAATGTTGATCTGTCAATGTCTGTTGTTTTGTTTTGGATGTCATCAGTAATATGTCGGCTTCAACTGATGTGAAGTGCATCTTTCATGGTGCAAGTGTTGTCTTTCAATAAACAACATTTTTGAAGAAAAGGGATGTAAATTAGAAGCTAGACAGTGATGGTAGGCAAGACAACTGCCTCCAGTAATTGTTGAAATCTAGAGCTTTGTTTCATTTTCTGCACTGAGTTTTGATCATGAGATGCCCAGGCTACTTTATTTAGTTTTGTTCTCTTAATTACAACAGATGCTTAAGTTACCCATTAATAGTAATTTAGTTACATTTTAAAGAGTTTATAGAATGCATGCAGTAGTTTTAAAGAATATTATTAAGGATGCTGTATGATTTATTGTTTGCTGTAGTGCATTTTTTCTTATGTTAATTCCGAGTTCCAGCCATTTTGCTAATACAGTATAAATCCAACTTGTAAAATACACACCTTTCAAAACTGCTTTGACTCATTAGTTTTGCACTAGAGTGTTTTAGGAAACCAAAGGTTTAGCTCTAAGACAAGCCTTAAAAAATGGCATTTCTTGGACAGCAGTATTTATTCCTAAAGAAATGTAGTAAGCAGTTTTTGTGGTTATCAATTGACCTAAGTGTTCGGTTAGTTATTTACCTGAAAGCATTTTAATTCCTAAACCTATGTAAATCTTCTTGACACCATCTGACATTAGAAATGAATAAATGTGGGAATGAAATCCATGTGCCTTTGTAGTCAAAACATTATTTAGCATGTGCCTGTTTGCTCAATTTTGACAGTAGGCGCATTCACTCAGGTTCCATTGTGAGCACAGAGATCTTTTTTTGTCATTTCCATTTGTTTTTTTTTTTCTCAGAAGTGAATAGAAATGTCAATTTTGGTTATATATAATGAGGTTATATTTTTAGCTACACGTGAAATGAAGGTAGCGCAGACATAAAATAGGAAAACAGGGCTTATCAAACAGGTTGTAAAGATGAGATAAAGCATCTGACCATTCTGTCCATTTTTGCATTTGTGAAATGGAATCTAACCTTACTTCTTTCCTTAAGAAAACGTACTTCAAATTAATACAACCAAGTGTGGTTTAAGGGCATTTTAATATCCACCCTGTCAAATAGATTTCATGGTAGATATAGATATATACCATCTAAACAAAAGATAATATGCTTGACGATTGATGGTTGGGAGTTGTGATTGAGGAGGAGCAGTTGAGAGCTCAGCGGCACAGTCACACAAGCCCATTAGTCACATGCCCCCAAAAGCAGTCTATTACAGATGTGTAGATAGCTGCTGGATATGCCCTGGGCAAATCTGTAACAGAAAAAGTGCGGAACATGCTTTTTGTCGCAGGGCATAGTTGAGCAAGTGCCAGCAAGCCAGGGTATCCATGACCTGATGTGTGCCAGCAATCTCTTTGAAATGCTGTGTGCTAGTGATATGTGTGAGGGATGCATCACTGCCATTTATAGGAGATTTCGCACTAAGGCACCATGGAGCTCACAGCATGTGAAATGACAGATGACTTTGATAGGCTGGTGAGCAGGAGGAGTATCTGCATAGGTCCTCATTCTCCCCAATAAAGTGCAGGGGTTTTAGCACGTAGGTGAGTTCTTGACTAGGAGGCATTTCCAAAGTAGATGAATATAAAACAAAAAATACTGCCCATTCCATTCCAGTTTCACAAAGAAAAGTGTGAGGTAAATATGTATTTCAAAATGTATAAATAGTTCATTGTACACAGTCCTACATTCTTTCTGTTCCATAAAATGCCATATCGAGTAATGTCTGTTGTGATGTTGCCAGAATCTCAGCTTTTAAATATATAATCTTCTGTTTCTTTTAAGCTTAAAATAAAGTTACCCACTTATTTTCAGTGTATGGAGGACAGATTAATAAAAATCATCCTGCAATGGCCTGAGATTGTTACACTTACATTTCTCTTACTATTACATTTTCTTTATTTTGTTGTATCTTTACAACTTTCAGGTTCTGCACCTCAAGACAAACTCTAATGTGGATTCCAGACTCCTTTTTCTCAAGGTAAACTTTTTTCTACACTTAATGAACCCCTTTAATTCATTTTGTTCAAAATAATAAGGAATAATGAGGGAGGAAACATTGACTGAAGCAGTAGTATTCAAAAACAACAGGGAATCTAGTAAAACTGAACCATTAGAGTTGTGTTTTTGAAGGGATTCTTTCCCCTTCTTTTCCCATGATTTCTGAAAACCAAATCTTGTTGTTTTTTATTTATATCTCTACGTATGTTATCAGTTGTAATTCAATTGTGTGTTTTCAAAGACATTCTGCATAATCACATTTTCAGAAGATACGGAAGAAAAGTATTTAGATTGTGAAATTCAAATTCTTTCTGTATGACTACACCTGTTTAGTGGAGTAAAACAGTTCGATTACTAACAACATAATCAACAGTTGTTTGTCTGAAAAGAATGTGTTGTGGCTTTAATGCAGTTTTTCTGTATAGCTTACTCAGTGGAAGGATCTCAACACTACGGGATGAAACTGGAGCTGTGAGTACATTTCCTGCTTAGACTCCTGTATTACAGATAAGGTCTCCTTTAATGCTTAATATTATTAATAACAGTATTTTACTAAGCAGGTACAGGTAGTCCTTGATTTACATATTCCATGTTTTTGGTTAAGCCCATCTCAGGAATATGTACTGCGTCTTAATTTAGGACACATTAACATGCTTGGACATTGGCAGGACCACGCAACTTGATTGTATGTTTACAACAGTATAAGCTGTGCGTACACAGTTGTGCACCAGAATAAATAGTGTTGCTTCGATGATTCATGGATGGCTGGGCTTTCTATGTCTAACTTTTCAACAATTAAATGATGTTCATGGATTAAATTGACTCCATAGAAATAAAAATACAAACAGATGGATTGAGTAGCACAAGGTACTTTAAGATGCAGTATGTGGCCATTAGTCATTTCCACTTAGTACGGTTTGGGTCTTTATATTCATCAGGGTTTGGTGCAAAGAACTACCAGGATTACCGTAATATAACCATAGCCACATATGACCTAGTCCACCCCTATATTGTTGCATGATATACTACATTATTTAGTATGTTTAGTTAAAAGACATAAGTAACTCTCCCTTATATGATAGTTAAAGTACTAATTCATTGGTTTTAAGTTAATTTAAATTATATTGATAAGCTAAAAGAAAGTTTTGTAAGCAACATTCTGATAAATTGAACAAAAATAGAACAGCAATATACAGATATGTTATATCTGTCTGCATATAGCAATAGTGAAACAAGTGTTGGTTTGTAGTTGGTTTTTGTTGTTCTGTTGACAAAGTATTTTCTGAAGTTGAAAAGATCATTACCTTAGGTAAGGTTGTATCTGGGCTTTGAAAGCACAAGACAAATATCAACCATGAAAGATATTTAATATTTACTATAACCATTTTGAGATGTTCATAAAGTTTTCTTGATCTTATGGCAGGCTCCTTCGTCAGCTATGGAGTCCTTTGAAAATCATTGGGGAATGGGTTTTCCATAGTTAACAGTGATGAATACAGTGATCAATACAAAACTCTCCGTAATGCTTTTAAAACTTTTTTTTCTTTGCAGATATTTATTGATAGGGACCCAACAGCTTTTGCACCAATTCTAAATTTTCTTCGAACCAAAGAGCTAGATCTACGGTAAGCATTAAAAACATCTTTTTTACTTCTGTTGAAAAATCTTTGATATTTTCAACGAGTATTTCTCAAGTTTTCTGTTTTAATGTGAAATTGGAAATGGCTACTTGCTTTAAACTGGAAAGTAGGGCATTCTGGAAAATTTAAGAAGGCAAACCTTGAGAAGCGAGAAGTAAATTCAGAAAAAAATAGAGGATTGACATTATTATACAGCTGCTGAAGTTTCATGCCTGTAGTGTTTACCATTGTTCGCATGCTGATAATTTTTTTAAAACTTGCAAATCCACTTCACTCATTTTCAAGATGTAAGAATGTGTGCAGGTGCAGTTTGTGGCAGGTTTTTGTCCTGAAGGCTGCTGTCTGTATGATGTGTCTTTCAACTGCTGCAGAGATGCGATTCTCTAACAAAGCTCTATGTGACGAAAATACTAGCAGCCATGATAGATAATTAACAGTATTTATCAAATATAGTTTAGATTTGTGTAGTGCTTTTCAACCCAAAGGATCCTATATCACTACAAATGTAGGAGGGGCAACACCATTCTTGGTGACCTTAAGCAGTCAGTATATTCCAGGAGCTGTACAGCAGATCAGATAGAGTCAGAAATTACTTCACCTATTGAATAATGGAAAGATGTAGAATCCAGAAATCAGTCATTATGATTTGAAAGTCATATGAATGCTATTGAAGCTTTATATATCGGTTTCTTAGAAAATTAATGTAATATTTTTTGGTTCTTTTAATCTGCAGGTTATTTTTTTTCTTGAAAAAAGAGGGTATTGATTGATGATGTTGTCTTCTTGTAAATGAAGCTACCAAGTTCTCTATTATGAAAATGGAAATTATACTACTCAAGAAATAGTTGTGCATAAGTAAAGTTTTCTTCTCATTGCTTATCTAGTTTTTGTGTCTGCTCAGATGATAGTCTGTTTGTGAATATGTTGTTTTTATTGGTTTAGACTCAACCTTTTAAAAATAATAGGTTGCAGTTCTAGAATGCAATTTACAGAATAGCCATGTTCACTGGATTCAAAAACTAGTGTAACTAGTAACTGTTCTTTTCATACAGACTTAATTTTAGGTGTTTTTGGAATTTGACAGGACTTTTAGTACTTAAAACACTTGTACTATTTGCTTTTTTGACAGGGGGGTAAACATAAATGTTCTCCGACATGAAGCTGAATTTTATGGTATAACACCATTAGGTACGTGTTTGATTAAGTTTATTAATCTATAATCATGTCTATAAAATGTTTTTTGGTTTGTTTTGGTATCTAAAACATAAATTAATGCATTAAAGATCCTAAAGTGGAAAACCACAAAATCAATTATGGCAACCTCCAACCAAAAAGAAGTTAAGCTGTTTAAAATAATCTTATATCAATGAGTGCACTTCATTTAAACATTTCTAGAGTACTTGCTTTTAATGTAATTGGTACTATAACTGATTACTGATCTTCACTCCTGGTCCAGGGTGGCCACAGAGTAGTATTGAGATTGGTTGTGCAGTTCATTTTTTAATCCTCTAATAAAATCAGTAATTTGAGAACAAATCAGTAATTAACTGAATGATGCCATTTTTACAACACTGCATTTACAGGAGCAGTTTGAGCAAAGTACCTTGCTCGGGCATACAACAGCAGCATCCCTACTGAGATTTGAACACATGACCCACCTATTGGGAGCATTCATTACCACTACTCCAAGCTACTGCTCAAATAATAAATCATTTCCTCTCAGAAAAGAACAGTGTCTTAGACACCACAACGTTTTGCTTCTGGGCTTTGTCATTACCCAGCTGTGACCAGAATACCTCAGGCAGTACACAGCATGCAGTGAGTTGGCCTGAGTTTCCTGGCTCAGTATGTCATGTGCTTTGCACTTGTGAACCAGCAGAATTATCAGTGTGAGCTAAGTTGCTCCTTTAAAGAACTGTGGTGCTCACAATGTTGGGTGTGTTAGAAGTAGCATTCACAGGTCTTTATTCTATGCAGTACATAGCTTGCTTGAAGCAGTAAGCTTAATTGTTAATTCCACATTTTCAAGGAAACTGCAGAATTGTAGCTAGTGAGAAGCATGGGTGAGGATCTGTTTAATTAAAAAGCGTCAGTTTATCTTACTCTTATGTCAGTCCGAAGGTTACATCTCTGTGAGGAGCTGGAGCGATCCTCTTGTGGAAGTGTCCTTTTCCATGGCTACCTCCCACCTCCTGGTAGGTTATTGTTTTTATGCAGATACTTAAACTTTTAGCAACTCCACAGTTGCATTACTGCTAGAGAACTCTTGTCCCAGTATCATGCCAAAAACACCCCTCTGGCACTCAGCTGTAGTCCTGGCCAGGTCATGATTGATGTCTTCTATTTTTACTTATTGTTTTAAAAGGGAGGAGCTTGATAGTAAATCTTAAGACAAACGCATTTGAAATCTTTCAGAACTGAAACTTATAGTATTTTGCACAAATGATGCAACATACAAAGTCCCATGTGGAACCTGACATGCAATTAATGTTTTTTTTTTATGTTTCCATTGTCTAGCCTATTTGATTCAATGCTAAAACACAAGGCAGTGACATATTCACTATGTGTCAATTTTATTGGCCTGGGACCATGGCATAGAGTACCTGTGATGTGAAAGCTGAACTCAACACTGGCTCTTTAATGATTAATTAATGACACTCATAAGCTGTCCCCTAACTGATCTTATATGAGTGCAAACACATTTTTTTAAAATATTTGATGACAAAGGAGACATTTTTTACATTAATGTGTGAATTGCATCGTTACTGGAAGAAATTTTACTGCTAGGGAATTTTAACAAAGAAAGTGTTCTTGCTAATGTTTGGAAATATAGGTATGTTTTTTCTGAGTTTTTTTTCTGCTATGCTATCAGCCATTCCCTGCCGCAAAGAGAAAATGGCCAACGCAGCACCCAATCTTCAGGAGGAGAGAGCAGGGCCCAGTGTGCTTGAAGTGGGTCTTCCACGGAGCAGCCCACAGCCCTCCATCCCAGGACCCCCCAGCACTGAGGGGCCTCAGCGACTGGGTAAGATCCAATACGGCCACAAAAAGTCAGAGCACAGCTCAGCTCAGATTTGAAATTCTGTTTAATTTGTTTAATGAAAAAGACAATTGTCCAGAGCATACACACACATGCACAAACGTGCATTTTCCTGTAATACTGTGCATTTAAACATCATCAGAGGGTTTTTATTATCTCAGTGTGGCCAATCCGTCTCTGTTGTTCCTAAAAATGGGTGTTTAGAATCAGCATATAATTTGAATTAAGCTCTTGGTTTTGTGTACGGATTGGCACATATGAGACAATGCAATGCTTTGCACACCTTAAATGATACATTTTCGGTAAAAATACAACACAATCAGCATTTGTCTCCCTGCTTATGCATACTGTAGATGAAATTCTACAACAGTATAAGTGGTTGCAAATGCAACAATTAGACAAAGTCGCAAAAAACAACGTAGAATAAGACAAAGGTGCTATTGAGGACTTAACAAATACTGGACAAATGCAAGTACAAAGTTTCAAAAAGTGCAGCTGGCTGTTATTTATTAGGCAGATTGTGTAATTCCTAAACCTTTACCATTTTAAGAGGGGAGCTATGTAAAGGATCTTATAAAATGGAATTTTTCTTGTCTAGGGTCCCCTGTAGATCCAAGGAAGGTGCTAATCGTAGCAGGTCATCATAACTGGATTGTAGCTGCATATGCGCACTTTGTCATCTGTTACAGGTATTTAACCTTAGATATAAGTTCCAAACCATTATGTCATATACAGTACATATTTTGTATTGACTTCCTGTTTAAGATGGCCTTCAACAAATGATTTTGTTTAACACTTAAGTATTTTGCTGCTGGATATTTCTCCCAAGTGATGCATTGCGTGGGTATTTTTATTCTCGTCCTAGAACTTTTTAGTGTTTTTCTGAGTGGAAAACCAGTTCTGTATGACATCAGAAAGAAGAAAAATATTTCAGCCATTAGCTTTTTGTAAAACAATAATTAATACTCCACTTTGTGTTTTCCAGCAGATGGATGGAATTATTTGATCAAAAATATCTCCATTAAATTTGTTTGCTTTACGCTACAGAATGCTAGATAAATCCATAAGAATATACAATGTGTTTATTTCAGATCCACCAGTAAAGTGAAAATAAAGGGTTCAGAAAAAATACTAATTTCAAAAATATCTATTTTAAAAAGATGCACTTTTATTTAGAATTCTATGTATTAGTAATTTTCAAACCTTTTTTCCCTTTTGAAGGGGCTTAAAAGAATAATTGCAAGTTCTCTTTCTCCCACCACCGTAGGATCAAAGAGTCGTCAGGCTGGCAGCAGATATTCTCCAGCCCTTACCTGGACTGGGCCATCGAGCGTGTGGCTCTCAATGCCAAAGTGGTAGGGGGACCACACGGGGACAAGGACAAGATGGTGGCGGCCGCATCGGAGAGCAGCATCATCTTGTGGAGCATTCAAGATGGAGGCAGCGGCAGTGAAATAGGCAAGAGTGGCTCTGGGGAGGGGATCACTTTCCAGTTGTGTCTGCTCAGAGTGACAGGCGTTACTTTTAAGATCACTTTATTGGCCATATACAATTCCATTTATTAGGAATTTGCCTTTTCGCATACAGTGACATAGACAAGCCGGCAGTTTTGTAGTCTGTGGTCCATTTTAGGCCCACACACAAATAGCAGAATGAAACAGTAGAACATTATTCTGTTATGAATACCTGCTGGGTTTTTTTTTGCGTGAAAATGTATTATCTTCACACAGCACTGCATCAGAAATATTTCTTTAAAAAGAGACTGCAGGAAAATCAACCCGTTTCAGTGTTAATTTAGTAAATGGATATTCTGTAGTTACAGACATGTTTTACTCACTGCAGTATTTTCTTGAAAACCATACTTTTTGTGTGCAAAACTATAACCCTTCAGGATAAAATTAAAATAGTTTTGTTAAAATTGGGCATTTCTCTTTATCTGAAATGAAATTCCTGCTTTTGAAAGGTAAACCTGCATGTACAAAGTGTGTGTTTCAGACAAATTCTGTGTTTCAGAAACAGTACATGAAATATAATGTAAAAAGAGAGGACAGAGTTTTTACACTCATATAATGCAAATATGCATATATAATGTGTTTAATAGATATAACTCAAACTATAAGAAGTATGTGACAGAATAATATATTTTGTGTAAAAATTCGAATGTAGTGTGATTAGTTGCCGGACAACGAATCCAAACCAGTACAAGACCTGTGTAAGTGCAGGCAGTAGATGTGCTGAATTATCATTCATATTTAACTAATTATGATTATTAATTTAACTTTATTAAGGAACATTATAATTTATGTTGACTTAGGTTTTTCACTTAATGCAGAAAAACAAAATAGAAGACACCCCCCTCTTTGCACTAGATAATATTCTGTATTTACTCTTAATTACTCATTTCTTTTGAGCAGTACCTGCTACTTTTACCTCGTTGGTATAACTAATAATAATAATAATAATTGCTTACACTTATATAGCGCTTTTCTGGACACTCCACTCAAAGCGCTTTACAGGTAATGGGGACTCCCCTCCACCAACACCAAATGTGCAGCATCCACCTGGATGATGTGACGGCAGCCATAGTGCGCCAGAACGCTCACCACACATCAGATATCAGTGGGGAGGAGAGCAGAGTAATGTAGCCAATTCATAGAGGGGGATTATTAGGAGGCCATGATTGGTAAGGGCCAACGGGAAATTTGGCCAGTATGCTGGGGTTACACCCCTACTCTTTTCGAGAAATGCCCTGGGATTTTTAATGACCACAGAGAGTCAGGACCTCGGTTTTACGTCTCATCCGAAGGACGGATTTACTTATCTCTGTTTTATTAGTAGTTAGTAAGATTTAGTACTAAGATATACTCTTGAGTACATCTGATTTACTAAGCTATGAATATGTTAAAACATGTCTCTGCAGGTATGAATATGCTAATGATAATTACACTTGTGGATCAGATAAAGGTTTTCAAAGCTTTGGATGGTGGCAGTCAGAGAAATAGTTGGATACTTTATGGGTATTTTAGAAACATTGAGACCATCTTATCCTCTTGGGTGTTTATGGAGAAAATAATCACCCAAACTAGAAATTCGTTATCGGCTAGGCATGATTTATGATTTGAAAGTGTGCAGCTGAATTTGCGTTTTGAAGTATTGGATTTCCAAACATTCTGAACGTTCTGAACAAACCCGTTTATCGAATGATTGGTTTGTGAATAAGAAATTATTTTTCAATTCCATTATATTATATTGGTGATTTAAATATACTCTCATCAGTAAGTATGTGCACAGCTTAATTCAGAATTACTTTTTAAAACTTTGCCACTTAACCGGGGGCACTGAAAGGAAATATTTTTCCATGAGTGACAATGATATGAGTAGCAAAACCCAAATAAGATTTCAAAACTGTAGTGTACTCATCTGCAATGTGTCATCTGAGCATGTGTTATATAGTAACAATATTCTTGTGTTTATTTGCAGTTATTCACAACATCCTTAAAGGTGTTAGGTTTTGGTTCATCGCTATCTCAGTAAAAAAAATGAGAAGCCTTACATTACATGTTTTGTTCCTACTCATATAATGATAGTTTCTGGGAGAGTCTTAATCCCCTTTTCTTTGTTATCTGGTGTGATCTGATGAGTGTCATTAATGGCACAACAGGTTTTAAGCAAGATTAAATTAAAGGGACAATCACTAATATCTATATAGATTTCCTGCTTCCGCCTCTACTGGAAGTCTAGGCTTAATTAGCTTTTAATCACAAAACATTGGCTGGTGTGCAGTCAAGTAATATATTCTTTGTAGTGCATTTTATTGATGTTGAAAGCATTGCTACAAATGCTTTTTGGTGTTACTATACTTTTGCATTGTTTTTTTCCATGTCACATACTTCATTTCTAATAGTCTGTAAAAGCAATTTTAATAAAAACTAACACAGAGAGAGACTTATGCTTGAGGCATGTACATTTATGGTCTGGGAATGAAAACTTAGTGGTTTCAAAAAATTGATGAAAAAAAATGTTGTAAAAGACATTCTGGACTGCACACATGCAAAATCTACCCCTGAGTATCATTCTGCTGATTGTCATTGACATTTAGCACTCCTATGCCAGTGCAATTTTCAAGTAGACAACAGCAAAAGAAAGATGACATGTGAGCAAACCTGCAAAATTGATGGAAAAAACAGAAGGATTAGGTTACCTGTTTATAAATGGAATTAATCAGTACACCCTTGTCCAGCGCAGGTTTGTCCAAGGTGGATTTGATTATACAAAAAAATTTAACATGAACATATATTTGAATGAGAACAACTCATATAAGTATACTGTACAAAGTCCTGGATGATCCACCAGAAGCAGTATATGAAGATGTATATCAAACACTCCCATAGCACCTCTTTAGGTTTGTGTGAACAGTTCAGTGAAGTTGTAATTTTTTTATTGTTTTGTACTTGAACTTTGGTTAATACCCTTACAAAGCCGTTTCGCATCAAAACAGAAGGCACCTGGAAGTGATAGTTTAGAGGAAAAAACTTATAACATTGTGAGAGTAGCAGAAAAAGTAAAAATTTTACATAGTTTTTGTTGCATGGAGGAAGATTTTCGTTCACTAACATCATGTTTGTTTTTAGTGTATATGTTTATTCTATTTTAATTTTAATATTGGTTGGTCCTTTCGTTTGGGTGAAATAATATACGTTTATAGCTAGTAATAGTCTACTTTACACACCCGCCTTTACGTTTTCTTGTTGCATAACCTGTTGAGTTTTTCCAGTGGAGACATGGCACTGTGGAGGAACATGAATCCCACATTAGACAAGGCTCTACCTAATCACCCTTATCACTCAGCTACATAAATGAAAATGATTTGCAAAAAAAAAATCACCCTAAAAACTGGTTAAATACACTAGCTTATGGTGTTGAGCTGAATAGCTGTACTAAGATATGCAGTATATGATACATATGCAGAAGTGCTGTATTTATGAAACATTTGTTCATGTATAGTACCTGGGTGTTTTTTTTCTGTTGCCTTAGTTTATTTTTGAATGATCCAACAATATAACGAAAGGCTTCCTTTCATTTCAGGGTTTGCTCTCATTACAGTGAAAACTATGTGTGTGGGAAGATTTGTGCTTTCACAAATCAGTCTTCTCTGTGTAATCAGTACTGGGGGGAGCTACAATTCTCACTCTAAAACCACAAAAAAATAATGAGAACTGGAGTGCGTTACTTTTGTACACTTACTCATGGCAGTATTTTGTGAGACATTTTAAAAGTTTTTCTTTCTCTCCATTACAATTCAGAATGATTTATTGTAGCACAAAACTGCATTTGTTTTTTTTTAAATGTCCATATATCCATCCATTTTCTTTATCCAATACAGGATCTCAGGGAGCACATCCCAGCAAGCAGTGGGGGCAAGGCAGGATGCACACAGACACAAATGTACACACAATAGGGCCAATTTTAACAGAAGCCAGTTAACCTACCAATATGTCTTTGGACTGTGGGAGAAAACCAGAACACCCAGATGAAACCCACACGAACATGGGGAGAGCATACAGACTCCACACAGATAGTAAGCCAGGTCTGGAACTGAACCCAGGACCAAGCACTGCGGGGCAGTATTGACCACCTCACCACCATGCCAACTTTTAAAAATATGATTTGATAATATATCTGTGTCTGTTTCATGGATGCTGTGAGACCCTAGATCTAATCCTGGTGTGTTGGTATGTGTGTTTGCGTGCCTTCATACTCTAGTAGGATTGACAGTAGGTCTTGTACTTATATACCTTTATATAATATGCTCGGTGACAGCAAGACTCCCAGCACTCCAAATAAAGAACAAATAAGCAAATCAACCAACCAAAAAAACTGCTATTCACCTTGTTTGAGCAGTCTTCAAAACTTGACAGCAGAACTGGAACAAAATTACATGAGCTGGCATCTCCAGTGATGGAGCTCTCCTGGCGGCTGGCCTCCTTTCAATATTACTTACCAGCAACAGCACTCCCGCTCTGCTGCTATAAGCATTATTTCTCATGGAGGGCCCCCTAAGACAAGGGCCTGTCAGTCTTCATCCACTCTCCCTCCCCCCCCGATAGTCTTCAAGGCCCACTAGCCTGAGCGGGAGTGACATTTCAAATTTCTTGCGACTGGCACAGCTGTCTAGGTTGATTTCCTGCCGAACCCGTGCCTCTCTCCCGAGTAATCAGCCCTGGTTCTGTTTTTATTAGTAACTATTCGCTTATAACCTGACCATCTGAGTATCTGAGAAAATGGGATCTGTCAGCATGAGACTGCTTCCCTGAGATTTGGCTGGAGCAGTCACTGTTGTTTGTTGATAAAGACCTGTGTGCCCTCTCCGTGTGCTAGTCAATGGGGAAACCAGGTCTTGATTACAGCAGAAGAGATCATATATTTTTTTTTAATATTCTGATGGAGTGCATGGGATACATTCTAACTTTTTACATAGCCAGCCAATGAAATGACCCTGTAAAGGAGGCACTCCCCAATATGTCCTGTTGAAGCTGTAGTCTTGTGAGGAAAAATGTAACAAGGAATTGCAACAAAACCAAATTCAGGAATGCTTTACTTGAAGACCACTCCTTCACAACACAATAAAACAGCATGTCTAAAAGCCATATAGCAAAAACTTGGACACAATTTAACACAAGCATGCCAGGACCATACTGACCTGTATCTGAAGAAAGTCTTTTGTCAGCTCTGAAGTCCTTAATGGTGTCTTTCATCATTTTCAGCTTTCTTCTCTCTACCTGGGGTTTGCTCTTAGCTTTTCAATGCTTTTCATAGAGCAATACTTTCTGTCTTTATTGGTGTTATCGATCAATGGCTAAAGATTTTATCAGTCTACACTAATAGCTTCAATAACAAGTTCAATCAAGTGTGTGAGATCTTGGTTAAAATGAAAACCAGAATAAGATACAGTTTGTGTTGAAGGTTGTATTATCTGATCTTAACAGTGTTTAAATTTGGAATAATCCCAGGTTAGAATTTTATAAAAGGATGTAACTAGTGCTTTATATGGTGTGCAGGTGTGTTCAGCCTGGGAGTGCCAGTGGATTCCCTGTTCTTCATTGGAAATCAGCTAGTGGCTACAAGTCACACAGGAAAAGTGGGAGTGTGGAATGCTGTCACCCAGCACTGGCAGGTAAATTCTGTTGAAAGTAAAATATATGTTTTTTTATTATATTGTATTTTTCTATGAGACTGTTGTGTAATCAAAGTTAGTCCTGGTTTTTACTTTTAAATGCAGTTGCTTTGTTTTCTTTTTCCTCAGCTTTCATTTCATTATTAATCTTGCAGTAGTCAAGTCACAAACTGTCTCATCAGAGTCTTCTCTGCCTAGGATTAAACAAATTCTTCCCAGATAGCATAACTTACTCAAATCCAATTTTGCCGTGTGAGAGGGTAAAAGCATTTGTATGGAAACTGCTTTTCTTCTTTGTCTTAGGTTCAGGATGTAGTACCTATTACAAGTTATGACACTGCAGGCTCCTTCCTACTTTTGGGCTGTAACAATGGATCCATCTACTACATAGGTAAACCCGCTTCTCTTTAAAAAATGTACTATGTCAGGTGAAGATGCTAATATTTACAGAAATAAAATATAATTTCTGATTTTTTTCTGAGTCATTGTCCAGCAATCCCATGAGCAAAGATACTCCACACTAGGGTGCTAGAATTTGTGTACATTTTTGATTGGCATCACAGTCATTTCTGTTGTCTGAATTAAACCATTTTTAGCCATAATGTTAGAAAAGATGCTACACTAACCATGAAAGGCATTCAGCCGAGCACAGGTTGAGCTCTTTATGGTCCTGACGTCATTGGCTTGAGTCTGGATCATGTCACTAGCTGACTGTGACTGTGATTTCCCGAGTGGAGATCCCCAATTGACTGAGGGTGGAATTAGTCGATGTCTTGGATTTTAGCTAAACTGCAATTACTGCAGCTTCTTGGGTCAGTGTGGGAAGCGTCTCTCTTCCAGTTGGTGCTTAACCTCCAATATAGAACTGTTTCCATTAACATGTTAACAAAAAAGAGTTTGTCGGAGGGGTGAGCCTGCTATTCCTCGTTCATTCCTCTGTGTGATTGCATAACTGTGAGCCAAGATGGTAAAAAAACAACTGGCGATTTAAAACAGAGTGCATATAACAACATAATCAGTGATTCTAAATGAGAAAAACTAAAAAATACATACTTGTCAATTTTGACATGATCATGTCAAGATGAATTACTGTTTAATCAAGTAATGTTTATGAACAAGACAGCTGTCAGAAATGTAATTTATATGAAACTTTGTGCTCTCAGACATTTATCTTATTAGAGCATGACTCTCTCATCCTAGCATTAATAATCAGCCTGCATCAGCAGGGTCCGCTTGTCAGCACGCCTGTCTCCATTTGGTGGTTTGAACCAAATCTTTGAGCTGACGTTGCCATTAAATGCGACCGAGAATACGTCGCTCCGCCTACTGTTGGAGGGGTGGGGGGAGGAGAACAAAGTAATGTAGCCAATTCATAGAGGGAGATTATTAGGAGGGATGGGAAATTTGGCCAGGAAGCCGGGTTACACCCCTACTCTTTTCGAGAAACACCCTGGGATTTTTAATGACCACAGAGAGTCAGGACCTCGGTTTTGCGTCTCATCCGAAAGACGGCACTTGTTTACAGTATAGTGTCCCCGTCACTATACTGAGGCATTAGGACCCACATAGACTGCAGGGTGAGCATCCCCCCAGCAGTGGGGATTTTTATATGACCCCCTGCTGGCCCCACTAACACCGCTTCCAGCAGCAACCTTAGTTTTTCCCAGGAGGTCTCCCATCCAGGTACTGACCAGGCTCACACCTGCTTAGCTTCAGTGGGTTGCCAATTGTAAGTTGCAGGGTGACATGGCTGCTGGCGATCTTAGTAGAGCATGACTAATGCAGAAAAATAAATTTCCCATTGTCTATTAATTTCTATGCATTTGTCCCATAACAGACATGCAGAAATTTCCTTTACGAATGAAAGACAATGATCTTCTGGTGACAGAGCTTTATCATGATCCATCAAATGATGCCATCACTGCCTTGAGTGTTTATCTCACACCTAAAACAAGTAAGTTCACGTGAATATTGTCCCAAACACCAGAGAAGGAGAAATAATTATTTTCTGTTTGTGAATTCATGATTCCTAGTAAATATAAGGACTGTTGCTGTCACCTCACACAGGGAACATTCCTTTGCAAATAGCAATAGGTTTTGTATGCCTGAAAGAGTCATGAGGTTTTGTGAAATGGCAAAAGACCAGTCGTAAGTTCTGCAAAGTTTCAAAGCAGCAAGTTTCAAAGCCTCTCTCTAGTTGTGTTTTCCCTGGTCTTCTTAGGCTTTTAAGCATGAAAAAGTATTTAATTTCCATAGGTGAATCCTCCTTCACAGCCTGTTTATTATGTCCTTTGTCCTGCCCACAGACCTATTTGTCAATTTGGCTTTTGCAGATTCGTTTGTCCCCCTTCCTGTTCTTTACATAGCTAGCAAATTCTAGAACTGTAGATGACCTGTCACTGAGAGATGCTGTGTTTTTAGGTGTGAGTGGGAACTGGATTGAGATTGCCTATGGAACCAGCTCGGGGGCAGTGCGGGTGATCGTGCAGCACCCCGAGACCGTTGGCTCAGGCCCTCAGCTCTTCCAGACCTTCACAGTCCACCGAAGCCCCGTCACCAAGATAATGCTCTCCGAGAAACACCTGGTCTCAGGTAACTGTCCGTTTGTAGGTAATACTGGCTGCACAGCTTCTGCAGATGGGCCTCATCAACCAAAAATACTTTTTCTCCTTAAAAAGCTCCAAACATTTCTGTACCCTCCACAGTCTGCAGACATGATACATTACAATGCAGTGAAATTAACCTGTAGCGCAAAGTTTGCACTTCACCATCACGGACATGTAATAAAAGGCTCTAGTTTTTAGCCCATTTGTAGGGCAACAAAAGGGTACTATAGGATGTTTTTTTAAATAGTAGAAAATTTCACACAAATGTCACATGCAAATATTCAATGACATTTCAGTGATTCAATTATTTCCAAGCTTTAAAGCTTTTAAAACTCCATGTTTCCTTTTCACTGGTAATTCCCTTGTTCCAATAACTGTTTGTGCTCTGTATGTGATCCTCCTTTGTTGCTTCTCCTGACATTTTTAGAGGTGCTCACCTATCTCTGCTAGTCCTCTGCTTCTGCCTTCTTCATTCTCCTTCCTTGCTTCCTTGCTCTGCTCCTATAGTCTCATCAGAGCTGTTCTGAGATATCTGGCTGCTTTGCAGCTTACAAACTGTTTGCTCTAGCACTGAGCCGTCTGTCTGTCTCAGTCCCATTTGGACAAACTTCTGCTCGATGCTCACTGGTGACACGTATTTAGGGCTTCTGAATTTTGGTACTTATTTTTATATGATGCTTTTTTAAAATTACTGAGAGCCAATTCAGTTTAATAATTAACACAAAAACTCAATAATTCTAAAACAAGACTGAGTCCTGTTAATTTCCAGTCTTGCTAGGACTACTGTTTCCCCTTCGTTTGTAATTGGAACACATCTGCCTGGCAACACTGATGACTAGTTCTAAATGTCTTCCATTTCACTTTTGTAATAACCTAATTTAGCCTGCAGTATTTCTTTGCACTCCTAATTTGTTTTGTCAGTTGTATGGTTACAAATATTTCAGCATGAAATATACATGTACTTGCAAGATTTTAATGTTTCAAAAAGTAAAATGCAGACAGCAATTTATAATGTTCTGATAAAGTTCTAAGACAAAAAACATAAAATGCTTAGAAAGCAGAAATTACAATGGAAAGGGAGGTGGTTTATTAGAAAATAAACACTGAAAACCAGAAGCCCTACACATTATATTGTTAATATAATTGATTGGTATGGCACTGCATGTTTTGTGTTGCACTGTAATTTTTCTTCACTGTGCAACTTATTTCATTAGATTTATTCTATATCTTGCCAACCATTGCACTTGGTAACTTCCCTATAACCGTAATGTTCCTTTTTATGTAATGCTGTTGCTGCTCTGGATACAGGTGACACTTCAAATGAAAAATAGTCAATAACTAAAACTGCACAAATAACTACCTGATAGATGGAGCAAAGATATATACTGTATTATATATGCAGCAAAGACTGAAGGGACAGTAAATTATTACTACTACATCATCATGGCATCAAAATGCCATCCTGCACCAAAGCCAAGATCTTAAATATCCTAGTCATAAATTTTGATTTAATCAAAGGTTATAATAAAAAGGTATTTTTAAAATAATTTATGAATGTTGGGTTTTAAGGTATTTACATTCTTTTACATTAGTTTGATTTATTCTTTTGATGCCTCAGTATGATGAAGGATTATGTATAAGAAAGTTTCTTATATTTTTAATCATTTGGGTTCCACTATAATTAAATAGTCATAGTCACTAGAAAATCAAAGGAGCAGTGTTAATCAAGTTGCAGGTTTCTCAGTCAGGCTTACCTAAATTTAATCTTTAAGGTGGCAATTAAATTCTGTGCCTTTTCACTTTATCTGTGGTGTATTAGCAGCTGTTGAAGGTGCTGAGTCAAGCTATTTATAAAGTAGGGATATTTCGGGATGTCATTATGCACACACTAGATACTGTAATCATGGTAATCAAAGTCTGGGGCTATGTGCAATTTATTAACCTCCTTGGACTCTAGATCATACTGGACTATCTTGTCTGCTTCTGTAGCATTTTCCCCATTCGAATCAAGTGAATGTTCATGAGTGTTCAGTCATGTGGTGTTAAATTGTCTACCAGAAGTTTTATTTTATTTTAGTACATTAGGGAAAACTGCCATATTTTGAATAGGAAGGCTTTAAGGCTCAATAGAGGGATTGTTTTTCTCTTCTTCAGTCTGTGCTGACAACAATCATGTGCGAACGTGGACGGTGACTCGATTCCGAGGAATGATTTCCACCCAGCCGGGCTCCACTCCCCTCGCTTCCTTCAAGATCCTGTCCCTGGAAGAAACCGACAGTCATGGCAGCTACTCATCTGGCAACGACATTGGTGAGAAAAGAGAATTCATACAAGCTAAGCTGTTCTAGGGGAGGAGCAGTGGCACTGTGGCTGAGGATCTGCGCCTGTGGCTGGGAGGTTGCCGGTTCAAATCCCACAGCCGGCAGAGGAATCCTACTCCATTGGGCCCCTGAGCAAGGCCCTTAACCCCAACTGCTCCAGGGGTGCTGTACAATGGCTGACCCTGCGCTCTGACCTCAGGCTTCTCTCCCTGTCTGTGTGTCCGTGTCTCATGGAGAGCAAGCTGGGGTATGCGAAAAGATGAATTCCCAATGCTAGAAATTGTTTAGGGCTAATAAAGTGATCTTATCTTATCTTCTCTCCACTCTTTTTTATTTATAGCTACCAGTAGTTTTCATTAGACTTTCTTGCTCAAATTCCTTTACCTCATTTTTTCTCCATCTCTTTATATATATACACATTTACTTTTGGAAATACACATTCTAATGAATTTTCCCTGCATCTCATTTAATTTATTCTTTGACCAAAACGCAATTATTTTAAAATAAAAATACTGTTTCTGTAGGCCCCTTCGGTGAGAGGGATGACCAGCAGGTTTTTATCCAGAAAGTCATCCCAATAACCAATAAGCTCTTTGTTCGCCTTTCTTCAACAGGGAAAAGGTACAGTATATTATCCACATCATTCAATTTTTTTTGTTTAGATCAGACTTAATCTGATTTTTGCTTTAATGTTGTGTGCATTTCAAAGCAACATCTACACTGAAGAAAAGCATAATGGCAGGTTTGGTTGCCTAAACTTGTTAATTTTCAATAATTCATACTGTTTTCTAACTGTGGTTTTATGCCTGAGTCTACACTGAATAATCACTTTAAGAAATAAAAATGAAATGGACCATTTGGAATGGCAATATGTTTTATGACAAATTGCCATATGTGAGTTGGCTCTGAGTTGCTAAATCATGTGCTTACTCAGAGCACCTTATGGTAGAGACATCGCTGATTCATGCCTGGGCTATATTGCTGGCTGTAGTCAGGATTATTCCAGGATATTTACTTCCTTTTTCACACAATTGTGACCTAAGCATGCCTGTGTCATAGGGTATGACTGGGATGTTAGATTAAAGGATGTGCTATAATAAAGCAAATTGAAGAAACTGGATTATTTTGAACTCACCAAACATAGGCAGTGGTCAGCCAATTGTCAGCTCCCTCTTCAATGAGTATTTTCATCTTTGTCACTGTCAGTTAATGACGCAGCATACATTTTACTCTCTAACCTCTGGTCTATTGGGCCCAACTTGTGTTGCGGCTGAATTCCTGGTATGTGTGTGCTTAAGGAATTCAAGAGATCCAAGCAATGTGTTTCATTACATGACTCACATTCACCAGTAAGAGCTCAAAATAGCCAAGATGTAAAATTAGAAATATGTATTTTGTTTCACAAGCTGTGATGTATACACTATGGAATATGAGGGTATCATCAAGCTGAAACCAAGAAATTCCAAAGATGCAATAAAGCTGACAATGAGTATTCAAAAACCCCACACAGATTTGTCAAGATGCACAATATATATTCAATATGTAATAATATTAAAGCAAATAAAGTATAACTTAATAATGAAATACTAATCCTAGAGGAATATGAAAGAGCAGCGATAAAGAATAATGGTAAAAAAAGTAATATGGTAATGTAATGATAGTAAAAAATATGATACTTAGAAAAGATAATATAAAGGTCCAAGTTTTAAAACAAAACATAGAAGAAAAAATATTTTAGAATGTATTAATAGGAACAGCCTCATTGGGATCAGGATGAATGTCATTTGCTTCGCAGTCCTGTAGTGCCAGGAGGTCATTTTTGTGATGTCTTCTGCTGTAGAATCTGTGAAATCCAGGCGGTGGATGGCACCACGATCTCGTGCTTCACAGTGCGCGAATGTGAGGGTTCTAGCAGGATGGGTTCCCGGCCGCGCCGGTACCTTTTTACTGGCCATGGAAACGGCAGCATCCAGATGTGGGACCTGACAACTGCCATGGATATGGTGAACAAGGCTGAAGACAAGGCCAAAAAAGAAGCTGGTAAGGAAGCCGAGGGCCAGCTTCCTTTCTCAAGGGTTTCTTCTGGTTTGTGTTTCCATTGAATTCTTAATTAAGCTTATTACACTTTGTCAATGAAGTACTGGCTGAATTAGACCTTGTTTTTTTAACGGCTTTCAGGTCTGAATCGTTCTAATGGGATTAGACATTAGCATTAACACTTTGACAAATACTGGTACAAGTCAACTCATTTAGACATTGATTCAGAAACAGGTGTTCACTTACAGCTTTAGCAGTTCCCTAACGTAATTTGGAGCTGAGTTCCAGCAAACACAGAAGAGCAAGAGTTTTGCTTTCAAAAAGAATTGACTGTGGCCACAACTCCAGATTTCTTGAATTTTGTTCATATTTTTAGTAAGTGCTTTGCTACTTGCCTAGTTACCCTGTTTGCCACTCCACATATTTTTGTGTCATCTGGAAACTTAACTACGGCAGAATCTTAAATTCTTGGAATTGATCAGGAAGACCAACAGGACTAAAGGGCATTCCTGCATTTTATCATTTCTTGCATTAGCCTAATTATAGGTTGCACTCCTTAAAATAATGTGAAGTCTTGATTGATTGATGGTTTAAATGTCACCTAGGGTGTTTGCTCAGTTTTTTGCTGAGAAGTTTTTGTTCTGTGGTAGATGTGGGTGGACCGACAGAGGAGGAGTTGCTGAAGCTTCTGGATCAGTGTGACCTGAGTGCCTCTCGCTGTGCCACCCCCAACATCAGCCCTGCTACGTCTGTGGTGCAGCACAGCCGCCTCCGAGAATCCAGTTCTAGGTGAGACTGACTGAACTCTCACACTCTGAAACCCAAGTTTCCCCTGGAAGCTCCTAACTCTTTATATGAATTTTCTCTGTATTGTTTGCAAAATACTTTCCCAATCATGTGTCTTAAAAGGGATGCCTTTCAGGATTAATAATGCTGCAATGCGTATAGTTATTATAAGGGTTCATCATTGTTACATAAAAACAGATATATAATAACAATGTCATAGTAACTAATATGTCAAATTTAGTTTCAACAAGCAGCTTTGAAATTATGCCCCGTCACTATACTGGGGCATTAGGACCCACACAGGCTGCAGGGTGAGGGCCCCCTACTTGCTCCTCTAACACCTCTTCCAGCAGCAACATTAGTTTTTCCCAGGAGGTCTCCCATCAAGGTACTGACCAGGCTCACACCTGCTTAGCTTCAGTGGGTTGCCTGTTGTAGGGTGATATGGCTGCTGGATTAAAAGTTGCATGGGTGCCTATAGCTTCTTGAATCTGACCATCAGACCAGTCAGGTTTGGTAAGAGGTTAGGTTTTATCACCAGATTATCTTATGTCGTCTTATGTCGTGTTCTTTCACAGCCTACAGCTGCACCCTCATGACACCATTCCCGAGACAGCCACCTACGGGGCAGTTCGGCCTTACAGAGAGAGCCCACTGCTGGCAAGAGCCAGGCGAACAGAGAGCTTTCACAGTTACAGAGACTTTCAGATGTTTAGTCTGGGCAAAAGCCTGCTGGAGAGGGGCAGCTATGAGCACGGCAGCCTGTCTCTGGTGCCCGCAGCGGAAGCCAGCCGCCCTCTAGCTGAGAGCAACTCCGCGGACAAGAGGAGCTCCGTCGTGGAGCTCTGGGCCGGCAGAGCTGCAGAAAGCCAGCCAGAGCCTCCCAAGGCGGTACCAGACAGCCCCGGGGACTCCAAGAAAAAGGGGACGGAGGAGGAGGTGGGAGAGGCAAGGCCGGAAGTCAAGAAGAAGAGCGCATTTGAAGGAAGCTTCCTGGGCAGGAAGAGAGCACCTCCTGTGCCACAGCTAGCGTCTCCGCCTCCGGGAGCAGAGGGAGGGAGCGAATCCCCCGGCACTGCCTCCCCCTCCCCCACCAGGATGGCCACCTCTCCTCGTCACAAGAAGAACGACTCCTCCTGTCAGGAATACAGTTTATAGGACTGGAAACTGGTAACAAAGAGCACCTGGAACTGCATATGTGCCCATGGGCTAATCGTGTTACTTTGCTGACCTAAGAGTGCATCGGCATTTGACCAAAATTTGGTCAATAGCATTATACTTTCAACCTTATAACCTTTCAAAAGATATAATAAATAAAAATCGAATGCTGCTTTCATAAAAACAGTTCTTACATGTTCCAGGAAAGCGGCTTGGGCAGAAGAATTTTATTATATATGTATTATATTAATCCACGGTTGAAGAATGAGAACTGTGCTTTGAAGAGCTAGTTTTATTGTCCTTTCAGTAGCTAAAGAGTATATTATACATATATACTTACATACTGTTTGTATGTATCAATTACACATATGGAGACACCCAAATGAAAAAAAAACTGTTAGGAACTCTAGGGAGTTTTCTCTGGGATCATGAATTCATGGTGAGTGGGAGTCATGTGTGGTGATGCACCAGGCCATGACACAGCCGTGATATCCCTGCTCATGGGAAATGAGAATTTATGCCACCTTGATGGTCATAGCTGATGGTAAGGATTCAGCAAAAAATCTGCATGTGTGTTCTGAAGGCCATATATCCAAATTTGTAGTCATGCCCAAACTTAGCTTACTCATGCAGTACAAGGACAGAAAGAAATGAGGGAATCATAATTTTTTTTGTCAAGACCCAACCAGCTGCTGTAAATAATCCCCACTGAGCATGTATGAGCTGTCCTTGATTAATTCCCACATAAAACGTATTAATTGCAAACTTGGGTGTCTGAGTACTTACAGTACGTCTAGACTCTGTATGTGCAGAATGACTTAAATTCAATCTCTCTGCCAAGGTTTATGCATGATGTAAAGTCTGTTTCTAACTCTTGAGTTGTAATTTCTTATATGTGAACACCTTGTTCATAATCACTAAAAGCTTTAAAATGACACTAAATATTACAACCCATATCTTTTAGCATTGAAGAAAAGGGACATTGAAGGATGATGCTATACAACAGTTAAGGAACAAAAGGCTGCAAAGGGTCATCTGTTGTACCCATAGACTTTGTTACTCACTGGAAGTGTGAAACCTAAAAAACATAACAGCACAATATAAAGCACACCTCATTGTACCTCAGCTAAGGATTCTAATTGGGAATGCTTACTGTCAACATCTCATTCTTGGGTGCTAATTAGACTAGCCAAAGCTAGACAACAGATTTTATGAGACTCCGTTTGCAGAAGTAAAAAGATAAAAAATGTTCACTATGACTGAAAATGTTTATAGGTCTTTTTATTAAGTTTAATAAATTAACTTTATGAATTATTCTCTAAGAGCCTAGTTTTGATTCTTTCATTTTTTTCACCCCAAGGGGTACAGTGGGTTGTTTGCTGTAGCCATGGACCTTGTTACTGACAGGATAGCCTAAAATTATCAAAATTATTTTATTAAAGCACATCTCGTCATTGAACCAAGGGTTCAAATTGGGAAAATGTACTTTCAGCATCTCATTCTTTGGTGCTAACACAGCTAGCTAAAGCTAGACAACATGACTAAGCACAAGATTGGAAGGGATGGAGTTTATGTTTCTGTGTATCTTTTCTTGTACTTATCTAGTTGTGCCTTTTGAATCGGACATTAAAAATTAATTAAACCAAAGCAAGTTATTTATATTCTTGAAGATATCCTGCCTAATCTTGTGGTAATACATTCTGTAACTTGTGTTTTTATTTGACATACAGTATCACCTACCCCGTGAACTAACAATGCGCTGACAGCTTTGAGGTGAGATTTGTGCAAGGTTGGTTTCACTAGGTTACATTAAGGTGGGTGATTGAACTGCTAAGGATAGCTGAACTACATATTCTGGTTTTTAATGTATTGTCAAATTAACCAATTTTACAAAGATGGTTGTAGATGCCTTTCAGATATCTATTGAAACTAAAGATGGAAATATAACACTGTATTGTATATTCATAAGCGTTTGGAGTTCTAGGTTCCAGTATATGGTTTTACCAGAAATTATTTTGATGAAGAAATATATTATCTAGCAAAGAACTAGACAAAAGTGCTTCTTGGGTTAAAAGCAAGTCCCCTGTTACATGAAGATTTTTTTATGTAAAGTTGAACTTTGTTGACTGTTGTTGGCTGAAGCTTTGCTGACTGTTGTCGGAACAGTGTGATGTCTGTAGGAGGTACTGGATTGTCTGAAGCTTTCTTCTGACAATATCTACCATTTTGCACTGTGCTATGTTTACAAGTGAAGTCCAGGAGACAGTAACAATCATATACAATGCACTGCTTATAAACATTTGTACAAGTTGCTTTTTTTACAATGCATAAAATGCTCATGTTGGACTTGCATTATCTTACTAAAAAAATATTAACAATGTTTTAGGAAGGGTAATGTTTTTCTGCATCGTTTTGTGATGGCTGTGGAAAAAATCCCTGTTTTGTGCTGTTATGTAATTATACAGTATGTGACCAGACAACCAGACATTGTCAGTATGATTTTGACTGTAACAAAGTAGTTCTTCCAAATTTACTGATTTTATATATGCAGGCTCCAGATGCAGTAATAATAAAGATAACAGTGTTGGCTATAAATAGAGCTGTTTTGGATCTTGTCATTAAAGTTAATAAATTAAATTTATGAATTAATCCCAAAGAGCCTAGTTTCCACATTTCTTGTCAAGCTCCTGTCCCTTAATAATGTCTAATTTCCTCTACACATATATACTGTATATATACTGTAGATCTCCTACTTGATTGCCCGGCTATGATTGTACAACCTTTGCCACTGTCGATTTCTCATGTAGTTTGCAGTTTTTGGTCAGATGTCAAGATCTGTGGATAGTGGGATCAAGAATATAAGAAAGAGGCGGCCAGTCCTGCTGGGTTTATAGTTTGTAGTAGCTGGGTGAATTGGATAAAATGGTATCCAGAGTTTGGGCCTCCATCATGTGTTTTTGTAGTGTGTTCCACATATTCTCAGCTACAGTGGTGTGCTGATGTAGTGTATACTCACCCTTCCAATTAATGATAATTGCATTTTCGAACTGCTTTATCAAATACAGAGGCCTTACCTTTGATACTCCTGCATACTGTAAATGCCTCCTGTGGTATGTCTGCAGCTAAGCTTAAGACAGGAAATATCTGTCACTTCTCACTTTTTTTAGCAGAATTAACTTCTGCTTATTTCTTTGTGTCTTGCACACAAATGCAACTGCCCAGCTTTAGCTATTTTAACACAGCTGGTTCTGCACAATTTTAAACCACCTTATTTCAGACCTGTTGTATACAGTATATATAATCTGATTGAGTGCTTGACAAGGGGTCTTTTCGGTGGTTTAAGCAGCCATTTCACATTTTGGATTTTTTACTATACTGAGAGCAAATGTTTTCTGTGAGTGAATTCTAAAGTTCTAATAACTTTGAAATGTAGGTGGTCTGCATGACTTGATACCTGACTTTGTAACTGATGTTTTCTTACCAGATGTAATTTCCAGGGATAAGCCCTACAAAATGGACAGTCATTAAGGACTGTAATATGCCATTCAGTTTAGTCCAGGACTGTGCTGTTCAAAAAGTATTTAATTTCAATGTCATTATGAACAGACAACTTGAATCAAAAATGGGTCATTGTATAAGCATAAGGACTGTTCAGGGCCTGCTATTGGTCCCTGTACTGGTTCTGCTACAGGGACTATTGGTGGATTCCCAATGAATCCGTGCTGTTCCACTGAGTAATAATTGGTAGAAATCTGTAGAATACACTTACATAAGGCTGTGTGACAAGACAGAGGGCAATGCTCCACTGAAATAGCCATGGAAAGGGAGTACTTCAAAATTTGTATACAAAGAAATAGAATCTGCAGCACACATTTAAAAGCTTCATTGTTCTTTCATTTTTCAAGATGAAATGTTGCTAAACATTTAAATGTAAAAAATCAGACTGCTAGTATAACCTTTTTTACCGCTTTATTCCTTATCAAATATCACACATTCCTATTGAGCAATATTGTACAGTAGGAATTGGTCACAAAAAAAAATACAATAATACATTTCAATACAACATTACAACATAAACATTCAGAATACGGTAAGTAAACTTGGAAAGGTCCTGAACTTAGTCTCAGACTACATTCATCACACAGAAAATACTAAGAAAAATTAGTTAATTAATTAATGGAGGTAGGTTAGTTAGGACCAACACTATACAGTATACAAATCAGGCTACATTGATTTTTCAGACAAATTAATGTGGCTTTACATGCAGAGTAAATTTTAAAGCAAAAAAAACCAACACAAAACAGTAATTTTATCCACACCTTTCACATTGGTGATAATGCTAAAATAATACTGACTTTCAGGGAATTCCCCAGTTTGCCATGTTAATATTCAAGAAGATTAAAATACAAAGCAATAGAAATGAAACTGGAAAAATAAATCTGAGTTTTCCAGTACTGGAACATGAACATTTCAGTTTCTGTCTACATCTTGACGGTTCAACATAATGGGTAAGTCTTTCGATGGAAGATTCAACCAATATAAAGAGTATTATTTGATTTAGTTTTAAATTGTAGAGCCTAATTGTTGGGTTACTTGTGCATTTAGGTACTGTGCATGGTTAGTTATGAATGTGAATATCATCTTTAAAATGCTAAGTGCACTAAATTGTTCACATACCCTTCTTGCTTTGAAAATTGCACTGAATCATTGAAAAACCTATGTATTACAACATAAAGTATACACGTCAATGTGCATTTGCTAAAAATAACAAAATAAAAATATTTAACTTATATATTTATGGTGACAACATTTTTGTCCAAAATGATAGATCTGACCCTAGATCAACATGTCAAAATTGCAATGATAGAATGCACGTGATATCAAAAAAGGTTGAAAACATACTCATCAGCTTACACATTAGCACACCATTGTACTCAGTGGATGGTTCTTGTTTTCTGGAAACCTTATTAATATAATAATTTCAGAAATGAAGCTTCAAAACTAAAGAACCGAAATAATTTGAATATTGGTATAGGAAGCATTAGATAACATTTGTGTTTCATTCAGCTAATAGTTATTACAGTTTCCCATTGGTTAGGAACAGAAAAAGCTTAACAAAATGCCTTTTAAATTTAAATACAGTATTTTAGTTCTATGCCCTAAGTAACACTGTCATTTGTAAAAAAAACAAACAAACTTTAAAACATAACCTATACCTATTTTATTTTTAAACACAATAGGAAGAGGTTTATGTTCAATCCATTCAACATGGTGTAAGTGAAGCAAAACTCTTAAGAGATGATACACTTTTTGAAGTTGAGAAAACTGGAACAATACAAAATAACAATAAAGGTAGCACACTGGTATATACAAATAATAATAAAGAGTTGGCTGTTTAAGAAAATCATTTAAAATGTTAATAAACATGCTTCATCTTGCTCATTATGATAGGCACAGTTTCATTTATCCCTAATCAACTTTCATTCTCAGCCTCTAGAGTGAAAATGTTTGACATATTTGGGTCTTAATGATTAGGGTTATGATATGAAATTTTCATTATGTGTTATGCTGCTGTTACTTTGAGTTTCACTGTAAGATAGGGTTCATTTACACATTGATAAACACCGTAAAGATAAAAAAATTGTAAGCATTTTCAGCTTCTAACACTTTTTTCACATATACTAGACTGAAAATGCTGGTTTCAATAGCACATGTATGAATTCACATCTTACTTAAAAAACATAACATATATTTGCTCAATCATGGCTTTAAATCAGAATTACATTTGGTGTACAAAATTAGACTATTATGTCTGGATTGGACTAAATAATTAAATTAGAATTGAACAATAGTTAATTGTGGTTGTTCTGGATTGCCATGCTGGGTTGTCTGATTTTTGCAAGCAAGCCTGCCTTCACGCAGAGCAGTGTACTGTATTTCTGTTTCACCTAATTTGTTATGTACATTAATTCTGTTGGGCTCTGCTTTTTTGAGCCAGCTTTGTTTTAGGCATTGCTTTGGCCATGCTTTTTTAATCCCTGGATGAGTCTCAGATGCAGACTCATTGAGTTTCTATGAAATTAACATAAATCAGGGCTTTTCAACATAAGGCCCTCACAATTCACTCTCAGTAACCAGCTCCTTTGAACAGATTATTAGTATCATAGCACTGCAGCAGAGCAGATTGAAAAGGATAAACGCAAAGTAGACCTGCCTTAAACATATTTGGAATAGAGTCATCACTTTAAAGATACTAGAATGCTAGCACTTGCTATTTGGATACATATTTCATCTTAGACTAATACATAGTACAAGTTTATTCATTCACAATGGTTAGTATACTATGAAGAAACATACACATATGTGTCCAGGAGCTTGACATACTTTTGGGGTGTTTTTAAAGAAAGAAATCAAGAATGCACAAGATATGTATCACTAAATATTAACTATTTTTACAGTGGTATTTGTCTATGGCATTAGATTTTGGAGGCATTTATCATTAGGCAGGTCATCCTAAACAAGGATTATTATTCCTTGTTAATAAAGGATTGAAGTTCTCTCAAACATCAGGTGTTACTGTAGTGACTGTTGACTGTCAGTGAATGGCAGTGTTTACCTCCCAGACACCATTTCTGAATAGGGTCGCAGTGGGAGAAGGGATGAGGTGGATACCTGTCATGTTTCCATTTTGTGAATTAGGACCTTTCACATTTTCTAATGGGAAGCAATTAAAACAGTTAAATAGTTGATTCCCTCAGATGAATGATTCTCTCAGGTGAATTCTAAGTTTGTTGGCTGAATTCCATCACCTGAAATTAAACTCCTTTACTCAATTAAAATAACAGGCTTCATGAACCATATGTATTTGATCTTATTCTCTGGTTCTTTGAAGTACAGAATTATTTAAGGCATATTTTAATGCATTCAGAAAACAGTACTTCTTACAAATGCTGTATATTCAATTCAGTCATACAACTTGAAGTACCCCTGTCCAGTCACTTATTAATTTCATTCTTTTCCAAATGTACAACTTTAAGCTTTGTGCTCTGTTGAAAATATGTGCAACACCTACAGTTCATAAATCACAATATTTCTTCAAGCTGTTAGGGTTACAAGCATAATTTGTTGTTTTAAAGCTCTTAAATATGTCATCTTGTTTTATGAGCCTTCATACAATCCATAAAGCATTGGAAAGGATAAACTGAAATGTATACACCCAAGAAAGGAAAGCTGCTTACACTGCACAATGAATTGAAAATCACTTAAAACTCAATGTAAGCTTCAGTGTAAGCTCAATTTGGTACATAATGGTTTGCTTCTAGCAATTTGTAGATTACTTAAACCACTAGATGTGTTGAATCATTTCTTCAGTCTATTACAAATGAGTATCTGTAAACATAGTGTGCTCCTTTCTCACTGTGCTGAAGCCTTTTATAGTGTCAGTAAACTCTTCATCTTCGACAAACTGAAAAAAAAGTGACAATAAACTTTGAAAAATCTGATACAATTAACTTTTGTACTTTCGAATTTTAATAACTGAGATAATTGCCTTTGCTTTTACTTTACTGACTGTGCAATCTAGTCATTTTACTATATAGAGAAGGCAGGGCTTTAGATATATACTTTCCTATTCACTTGCCAAACATAACATTTCATGAATCTTACCATTCACAACATAATTTAATTTTAAAGCTTTTGGTGTTCCACAGCACTATTTCTAACAATATAGTCAAATTTATTGGCACCTAGTGTTATAAATAGAACGGATTAAGTATACAGTTAGTTTAAAAAAGTTAATTATAAATGTAGAACTCTTGAATTGTAGAATTTAATATAATTTTATTGTTCTCAAGTAATCTGATACATTACATGTAACAGGATGAACTCATTTTATCATACATATTTCCTTCAAATTAGGTAGACTAGAACCACAATGCATGTCCAGTCTTTTTTTTCAAATCCCAAGCTGTCACAACTGAGATCTTGCAATTGCAATAACATTGCATATCAATATGATAGAATGATTAAATTGATTAGTGAAGGAATAAAGTCACAAAACAACATCTCTATATCAACTAAATAATAAGAATCATAGACTGGGTTTAGCTGATCAGACAGTTTTCTTACCTGTGTACCTATAATTTTATTTGCACACCGAGTAACAGGTGGAAATTGTTGTGTGGAACAGTGTGATTATTGCTCTGATTATTTTGGTGATCCGTTCTTCTTCCATTCAATTAATGTGTTACAATCACATATTGCTGAGACTATAAATAATACATAGCTTATTTTACAAGAGACTCACCATTCCACTGTCATGGCCATGTAATATCGTATCCCAGACTGAGTCCTCAATCAGAGACTTCTTATCGTGGATGTCAATCAGCTGACTGACGCTGCGATGCAGGGAATTCTGAGAGTACACACGGCTCAGCTGAGTTTGGCTTGGCACTCGAAGAACAGACATGTTCTGATTACTGTGGTTGAGGATATGTGATCCTGTTCCAGGTATTTTTGTATCTGCCAGCCCCTGTGGTTCATATATGAGGAGAAAACACTCTGTTTAGGCTCATAAAGTGAATATAGCGAAATAAATGTTTTATTCTTTCATAAATGCCATTGAAGGAAACCTTTTGAAGTGCTTTACCCTCCATGTTCGCTTTAAACCATTTCCAAAGGATAAAACGTATTTGTCTTCCTGCATAAATGATTCCAATAAAAGTATGAAAGGTCGCTAATGCAGTGCCACCTCAGTGACCTCGCTGAAAGATCCATTAACATATAGGGAGTCCCTGTCATTATCAGAACTTTTATAACATAGCTTAGGAAGAATAAAGAATGGAAGGTCAGCTTCTTGCACTGGGTTGTATAACATGCAGCAGAAACATGCAATTTAATTTGTATGAAGAGAACAGATAGGGCCGATGCTTGGATTTGTTGGTAGGGAAGAACAATTAATAATTTGGGGAGATCTCTTGCTTTTGAAAAGTGGGGAACTGCTGAGTTTTCACCTGTCATACAAGTTCACATTGTTAAATGGGGTACCTCACTCCTAATTCATGCTAAGAGGGTTTGCTCTTCGTTTGTTGGTTGTGAGAACCAGATCTAAAAATGAGAGGACACTTTGATCCAACAAAAAGTTGTTTCATAACCCCTGGGGTCTCAGGTGTATCTTATATGGAGGACAACAGCCACCAAGTGCCTGATGGGGTGGGACTGTAAAGTAGCTGTAATTACTCAATTGCAGAGCTATTCCATAGCCTTGGGCCTGAGACAAAAGATCCAACCTAACTGGAGGTTTGGGTGAAAATACATGTATGAAATTTGCAACCAAAATCAGATGCACACAATGCCACTTAGATGAAGAGACGATACAGTCAAACTCACCAAAGAGCCTCCAATTTACAGTATAGACTACATTTGAATACACATTAATAATTCATGTTGATTCCTTCCCAGTTACTTGTACCAGAAAGGAACTATAAATGTGAGTGCATGTATTTGTATGATTGTGCTTTTAGTGAAAAAAAAATCCGGCATAAAATAGCCACTGTCAGAGGGCTTACCAACTTCAGGTGTAATAAAAAAACATATTGTTTGCAGAAATATACTAACCAGTGTCAGTAGTAGTTTTATATTGTACAATGTAATCAAAATAAGACATGGCATCAGCTTTGTGTACCTTTTGGAAGGAGTTATGTCTTAATATATGTATGAATCTATGTCTACTGATGCCCTGCTTGTTCAGATATCATTGTGTTGTCTTCTAGTGAAGTGATGTCCTAGATACTGCCTAATTATTCTGTAGGTCCTAAGGCACTAGTAAAGTCTGTTTTCACAGACCTCTTAATATGTTTTTACAAATATTACACTTAGTCCCCTTAATAGGCAGGGATCTGGTTGTACAAATATATTTTTACTACTCAATGCAATAACTCATATTATGCTAATTAAATTGCACTGCACATATTGTGGTACCTTCGCCCTTTTTCTTTGAATTAGACATTTAATTTTGGCTTTGTAGCACAGTTTTTATCCTTGCTCACAGTGAATGAATAATAGTTATTCTAATGTAGTTTTATTAATGTACTGTATATCGAATTTTAACACTCTGAACTTTAAATTCTAACTGCAATGTCAAGCATAATAAATGTTCATGAAACATGCAAGGATATTAGGAAGTGCACAAATGGCCCATGTGACAAGGCCTTAGCTATTTTTATGTTCAACATACAAATAGCTGGACGTTTCCTCAACAAGGCTCATTGCTTGTTCCAATTAAATACATTATACTATAAATACATATGTAATATGTGTTTCAAGGTATTATGGGATATTTACACAAATGTATATTGAAAGCAGATCACAGAGGGTGAAGATCTATGAAGCAACATTTCACACAATACACAACAAATGCATTTTCAGAATTACACATTCTTTGTGAGAAGATTATTTTTAAAAAGAAGGAAAGAATAGCCATAGAAGAGTTGCATATATGTTTAGAGAAAATAACACTTCTAAGTTTAAAACATGCACACTCTCCTAGCCATACCTCTAAATGCATTGTAAAGCTTTTAAGAGTGACACTGCTGGTGGAATCAGATGTATCCGGAACAGTATCAAACTGGAAACAAAAATTATGCTGTTAAAGATTTCTGTATCTTTGCATGAAAGCAAAGCATTTTTCAGTGACCTAGCAAAAGTCAGCCCTGAAATTCACAGGACCTCATTATTGGGCATGATTTTATTTTTTTTCTTATAGAAATGTAGCAAAGTAACTGTTGCTTGAACTCCACTTCTAAAAAGTAATTGCCTCAACTTTGATAACAGAACAGTTCACGTAACATTTCTATAGATCCTTTGGAAAGATAAGGGCCTAAAACTCTCTCACACAGAACATGACATTTTATACACAGTAGACAAGATTATAACTGTGAGCACATTCTAGCACAAATGTTGCATACTGTACAATTAAACCATGCCTAGTGGATAACAGGTAACCAGAAGCTTACCATCTCTGCACACTGTTGTGTTTGGTGAGGAGATGCAGAAGGAGCTGCACTGGAAATTGGATTAGAGGCATTTTCAGAGAAAGAGGTTTTCTGCTTCATGCGGAAATCCAGTTTAAAGATACCAGACGGAAAATTGGAAAAAAAAGTATCTAATTTCATTAACATTCAAAGAGAAAAAAAGATCAAACATAGAGTATAGTATATAGAAAAATTGTACTGAAAAAGCCATGTACTGTACATTATGAAAAGGTGAGTTCAAAACACATATGTGTTGTGTGCACATTCCTCTCCCACATCCCTTAAAGAGCTGCTTATTTTTTTTACTCCCACAAGGTGGCAGTTTTGCTAAGAGAGTAAAAATTAAATTTCAGAACATCAGGGCCCTCTTCTGGGAAATAGAAGAAAGGATGTTGAAGAAAATGAGATGTCAAAAGCACTGAGTAAATACATTGCAACAGACTTTTGTGCTTCCTTCGAACCATGTAATTAAAGGCCACAAAACAGGTGTGTTGACTCTAAGCTGACACAATGAAGTAAAGATTCAGATGTCCAGATTCTTAAAAAAAAGTATTAAACACTGTCCAGTTTTTATATACAGTTTGTTTTCTTCAGCCACAAATGAATGCAGGCAAAGCACCTGTGATAAAGAGAAGATGACTAGATTTAATGCAAATCAATTCTATGCTAAGTTGTTCCAGGCAGACCTACAGTATATTTTCAACAAGGTGCATTTTACCATGGTGCTTTATTAATTTTTCCTCTAGCTGAAAATATGTCTTTCCAAATTGTTTCGGTGCAAAGCAGCGAACTATGAAATCTACAGAAGTTGGAAGTACAACATTTCAGATCTTCAAATTCAATTACATAAAAAAATTCACCAAATAGTGAAGATGATTAATATAGTTTTGTATTTAAGTATTTAAAATAGGCAATGTATTATGTAATAAAGCCACACACACACACAGGGCTTTAGGAATAACTACAGTAAAATCCTATGATCTTACCACAAATGTTTAGTGAGAAACCATTTGTTTCCATATGAACTTTTGTTATTGCTTTAGGGTTATTGTAATTTTTGACTATATTATGTTTTTAAAGAGTCAACAGAAAGGTTTCCTCGGGCCAGTCATAAAATGTCCATCTAACCATCGTCTATTTTCTAACCCCTTTATTCAACAGAGTGTGGCCGAAGAGACGAAGCCCATCCTGACAAGCAATGGACGCAAGGCAGAATATACCCTTGATGGGATGACAATTTCCCAGATGTTAATTAACCTTCCAGTATGTCTTTGGACTGTGAGAGGAAACCAAAGCAGAAGCCCACATGTACATGCAGAGAACATACTGTACTGTACAGACTCCATGCAGATAGCACTACAGAATTGAACTCAAGGCCCCAGTGCTGTGAGGCAGCAATGTTAACCACTGACCCACAATGCTGCCCTCGTAAAATGTGTTAGCAGAATATTTTACATGGATTTCCTTCTGAGTAAAACGGAACATAGGTAAAAACTGGACACTGTTTCCTACATTTTTTGTGAGTGTGGAGTGTGGAGTGTGGAGTGTGGAAGCAATGAGTAAGCCTGGGTTTGGCTTTTATATTTAATTTAAATCTTCCTTATTTATATATATCTTCATTATAAGATGAGAATGTGGCTTGTCAGAGCAAACAAAGAAAACAGCTGCACAACAACAGATGTGAAATAAATAGAAGAATCGAGGCAGAGAAGATATTAATTTTCTTTGATGAACTTCTTAGCTTTGTACACTTCTAAATAAGCATACATTTTACACTTCCTGGCCTTTTGCTGTAAAAAAAAATACCGCATCATAGATTCACATACAGCTAACTCAATGGGATATTTTCAAGCACAGTAAATTTCAAGTTCACTTAAGTCATAAGCATGTCATGCATGCCAGTAGTTTGCTGCTTGGAGGCCTGCAATCCTGTAGCTTTTCCAGGAATCTGTAAATAACCACCTGCAGTAAAACCCAGACAAAAAACTTGATTTCTTTAATATGGAGAGTAACCGTTCCCTTTTAAGCAAGATGTCAGGAGGAATGAAATTTAATGTAATGTAAATACATTTTAATGCAAATGTATATATGTAAATGCATACATATATGTGACTGCTAGAAGCATTAAAATTTAACTTAAAAGTGGAATCAGCTTTGATGTATAAATGTTCTCTTATTGGGTAAACTTTTTCAACAGGACAGGTAAAGGGGCTAAGGTAAAACTGTATTAGTAGCACTATTAGCAAATAGAGAGATGGGTTAGTCTAGGCTCCAATGTGTTCTGAAAAGGAAAAGGCCAAGTCCTTAAAAGAATGCTAGGACTTACATTACTACCTACATTTGTAATAAATATACAAAGCACTTCATGTTCTCAATGTTAAAAACAATTCCTTTACTTTCCACTTGTGACCTCCAATTAATCTTTCACTGTTAATTTGTAGAAGCTGAATGGGATGCCTTTGTCAGTCCTAATGGAGATTTTGACATTCCTTGTTCAAAATTAAAACCACTTGGTTCTTTTACTTGGTTTTCTGGGTGAAACCCTGGTGCGGTGGTCCGTCTGTCTTCTGAGTTTGTAATAATTTGCCAATTGATTTCAGTTTTCTGTTTGGATCATATTTTAAAATGTACTTTTAGTTGCTTAACTGTATGTCTGTTCATCCTAAATTGATCACTTATTAAGGGCTGTGTATTCAGAAATAAGGGTTAGCAAGCTGAGGAGAAGCTGCTTAGAATTCTGTATACTGAAGATGTTGTAAACTGTAGTCACGAAGTAGGATATTTTTAGAATTCAGAACTTCATACAAGTTTTTTAAATGTCTATGCCAGTTTTGAAACAATTAAAATATTCTAGTTGATTTGCAGTTCAGTTGGAATGATAACCAGCAGACACAGGACCAGAATTTGGAGCCAGAATTTATTTTGGCCTATTAGTGTAGGAGATTCTTTCTTTCCTAAACCTGGGAATATATTGCTGGTCATTTTTCTTCTTACTGATTCCAGAGGTGCAATATATATTTTTTGAAAAATATTGAGCACAATTCTACAAACAATTCCAAATCATTACTTAGTAATGGATTGTAAAATTTAAAAACTATCTTACTCTAATTCAAGGGGAGAAGCTGGGGTTAGCAAAGTAGAGAAAAGAGTCTCATGAGAGGTTCTGCCTCACGACTGGGAGGGAATCCCTCAAGAGAGGAGAGAAAGACTGGAGGAATCACTTTAAGAGTTGCTGCCCGAGGGGTTGAGAATGAAGAGAAAGCTGCTCGAGAAGGAAACGAAGGAAATGGAAGAAGTCCCCTGACTTGCTTAGAGTAATTTTGATGAGCCACATCACAACTGGGATAAACCCTCAGGGGACCAAGAGAATGAGAATTAGTAAGTTAGAGATCCCGAGAATAATGGGGCCAGGTGTCTCCTCTGGCTCGCATTTGAGAACCTCCCCAGAAAGGGTCAAGGAGGCGCTGCCATCCTGAGGTCGGGGAAGTGAGCTTCACTGACCCCCCAAACATGACCCCAGGTCAACACTTTCAGATTTTGAAATGATCACTTATGTGACTTGCTATCCTAGCCAACGCATTCAAAGACGGTTGTAGTATAAAACTTAGAAGAAGGGCGGGTTCCAGGGTGGGAATACAAATGGGTGTAGCTGGAATTATGGCAATCATTTGAGGCTCAGGAGTAGAAGGAAGATTGGTTGTATGAACTTAGAAGAAAGAGAATCATTTTGGAGCAGTGGGACGGATCAGTCTAGAGAGGAAGAGACTGCTAGGTTATGAATATTCAAATAGGGGCGTGCTTTAGAACAGGAAGAGTGGATAAATTAAAAATCTGTTCAAACTGAAAATTTAATTGGGCAAAATAAAGAAACCAATTTAACAAACAAAGATAAGCAGTAGTAGTCCACTCTTGGTGCCGCGGAGGGTGGAAAGAACAGACAGCATCCCTGAAAATAGAGAAATTCAGAATAAATTTAAGAGAGTGAAACTTAAGAAGACGTGGATCCCATGATTTAGAGCAACTGGAGATCTTATGATTCCACTACTCAGTAATTGCGATCAGAGCGGTCTTATATGAGAGAAACGGAATTGACATCTTTACCTTCAAGGATCTGGCACTGAAAATGAGGGTGGCCTGAGAGCAGTATAGCGTGTGAGACTTTAGCTGTACTGAGGATGGAAAAAAAAGAGACTGGAGATGGTCAGGCTGAAGAAGGCAGAGCCGAATGAAAGGAATTTTCAAGCTTGAGCAGACGGAATTTAATATCGGCTACAGAGTGAGAAAGCGGTTCAAGAGTTTGAGAAAGCTGCTGGGAATTCTGCAGAGAAAGAGAATCTGCTAGAGAGCTGGTTAGCCATGGAGGAGGAGAAGGTGGAACTAGAGAGTTGACAGAAGGAGAAGGGGCTGTCCGATTTCCTGAAGGCGGAGTTGCAGGTACTGCTGCAGAGAGAGAAGGATGGATGACTGGTTGAGCTTAAACGGAATCGAATAAAAGTTAAAAAAATGGGCTAAACAGTCAGAGTGAGGGGGAATAGGAATACATCTGTCTAACAGTGATTTGAGGTGCCATGGAAGAGGCCATTACTTGTAAAAGAAATGAGTTGGCGTATCCGAGGTGGTGCAGTTGTGTTTTGAACGACGTAATGTAGAAGGCTGGATGGGAGAAACAGAAGTGTCGGCGATGGGGGAGAAGAGGATTAGGTTGAAAATTAGAAGGTTAAGATGGTGAAACAGTGGTAAATGAACAGGGTGGAAAACGAACAGCATGGAGACTCTTCAAGTTGCTTTAGGAGAGAAAGGCTGGAGATGACAGAGAATTAGTGCTCAGAATTCAAGTAAGTTGAATTAAAAAACTCTAGACGTGTGTGTTAGCAGGGTTAGGGTTTAATTAGGAAAGAGATAATTGAATGACAGAGCAAGAGGAAGAGCACCCCCCGCTTCTCCCATAGAACTTCACCTATCGGTTTCCGTTACAATTTAATATCTATGTACTGCCAACAATTAAGAGAAACAATTCAAATGGTTAGGAGATCCTAATGTTAAAAATATACATCCACAAACATTAACCAATACACCAGTCTATGGGTTAGTGGAACCAAATACCCAATTTAAGAAAGCTGATACACAGGTATCCTTCAATTAGAAAAAAAAAAACAACAATGACATGCTGGAATCAATAATAGGGCAGAGGGAATCTATGGCCTTCTCTGATTCATTACCATTCTTTTGTTCTTATGCAGGGGCAGCAGCAGATATTTTCCAATAGCAATAGTTAAATTACCACCACAATGACTGGTTTGTATTACTCTTATTCAGTGATGTTTTAATGGCACTGAGTAGCATTTTTAAATCAAACAATACTATTTATTTCTCTTTGCAAATTACTTAACTACTAGTTCTAAAGATTCAGCAATAGATTAATTACTAAGACGAGCATTTTAATATGTATAGTAAAAAGAGAACACCCACATGGTTGTTATTCACTAAATGATTTCATGATTTAGAACTACCTCATGGCAGAGATTTCTAAATGCCTTCATGGGCATTTATTAGATTACAGTGTAAAGGGTGAGGTTGCAGATTCCAAATGACGAATAGAAAATTTAAACCCACAGAAAAAATGCAACGTTTTTTACAGACTACAGAATTAAGTTTTGTTTTCTGAATAAAACCCTACTGAATACTGACTTGTGATCCTGAGAGATGATTTGGAAATTTGGACTGGAATTCACCAGGATGGGGTTTAGACTGGGACACTTCTCCCCTTTGTACTTATTCTGAAAATAATCCCTGAAGGCATTTGAAACTTTGTACCACAATATATATTTACCATTCAATAATAAAAAAAAACATTGTGTAGATGTGAACATTTATGTGCATGCACTTTTTGTCCTAGTTTGTTGATGTTTTGTTTTGCCCCTAAGCAAACCTGTTTTATGCACTGTTATACGTTTTGGAAATCCACAAGTGAAGAGATGGAACTGAATTTAATGAGACAGTCGTAAACTTTTCTATATTCAGAATCACTTAGGTCACAATACTTGTGAATAACGAAATAACGTCTCTGCCTAGAAAAGGAGGCATGACTTACCATGTAGGTGTCATTGGGTGGGTAGACAGACGTAGAAGTCCTCTTCTGAATAGGTACTAGTGGTGGTCTCTCCCTGGCAAATGGGGGCTTGTGGAGAGCCCTCTGCAGCAGCAGGGCCAGGAAGATGGCCAGTAGAATGAGGCCAAGCATGGCCATCAAGATGATGAACCACAGCTCAGTATAGAACTTTGAATCAGAGTCCTGCATTCCTGTTTTCCCCCCAGCTGTGGGGTCCACTGGACCTTTAAAAGAGAACAATAGCTGACTCAGCCTCAGTGTAACCCTTGGATTACAGTGAACTACAGTACAAAACTCAGCGTCGGATGTTGCAGAACAATCCATTATGAGCCTCCTTCTTTTGTTTCTTACTCTTAATATTACAATTTATGGAGTGGTATCCCTTGTCTGAACTTATGACCACATATTAAACTAATAAAAATAAAAAATAGTGAACATCACTGCTTCAAATGACACGAACTAATACTTGCATCTGAGATTTTGTTTCAGTCACATTATGAAAGACATCGTCTCCAGAAAGTCACAGAATTCATAGCATCCATTTTCATTAGTTTGAATAACCTTTCTCTCATGTCCAAAACAGGAGTTTCATAATCCAATCACACTTCATAGTCATGAATTAACATATTGTTAAATTTAGTTTTGTAAGCAGACCATTACCAGAGCACAGCAGCAAACCTATAAAAACTAAATGTGTCATCCATTATGTGTAGTTATATTTCCAATGCTACATTTAATGGAATTTGGTAAATTTTATCTAATTTCAAAGGTTCCTGAAATATATTTAATTTCAAGTCTGGTTTTTGTTCATTCCTATTGCTCATTCTTTAATCAAAATGAAATTCCTTATGTTGACTCTCAAAAAAGATATAACTGAACTGGTAACTGAATTATTATTTTACTTTTGCATACACTTGCTTTTTCAAAAGCTTCATTAAGCAATCACCTTGCATTTAGTCAGTCAGTGGCTTTCTCAGCATCTGCCTTCACTGATGCGGTGCTACATTCAGTGTGACATGGTACGATATCGAGTTGCTGTCTGCTTCAGTAAGTTTTGACTGCAAACATGATTTCTTTTTTTAAAAGGCTGTGTGTCTAGAATAAATACATGCTGATATAGTTCAAATTCTGTCTTCCTTTTTTCCAGGAATGGTGAAATTATATATTGGTATTTACATGTATACATCTTTTCACTCTCATTCCAGTACTCGAATGTCTATCTACATGGTTAAACCTGGTTGGCATGCAAACAAACAAGTGCTCCATGCTAAATCGAGAAAAAACTGAAAAAAGCAGAACTTACCGACGCTGGCAAAACTTACCAATGCCTGTAGCCGTGTTGTACTTAATAATGGGAGTACTGATACTACCCACATCAGTGGTACATGTAACCTGAAACACAAAGGCTAAGAAAGAGAGAATATACCTGTTACTATAATGAATATTTAAAGTGCATTTAAAACTCTCTCACTGTGAAATGTCCTTGCTGCTGGTTGTACTTTTAACTTTAAATCATGTTTTGTACTTGGTCAAGAAGAAAAAAAAAAAAACAACCCCCCCTCAAAAGAATAAAAGGCCAACAAAAATGAAAGGTAAAACTTCAAGCAAAATAAAAAAAGGCCAATTTGAAGGTTAGAGGGACAACTTCAAACCCTCATCTACTTGGCGCAATTGGAGCTACAGCAACAAATCAACAGGGTGATCAGTTTACCTCTGATCAGTCTAAGGCAACCAATTAGAAACGGGTGTTATTTTTTTTAAAGTAAAATAACAAAGAAGAAGGCTTCTGGGCTTCAGTTCTATTGATGCCTACATTGAACTGGTAACTGCTTTATTTTCAAGCATTAAGGAACTTGATTTGAAGTAGGTTTCTGTACAATATCTCAAGATTAGAGACTTTACAGAACAACAGCAGAAGAATGTCGTTACAGCCAAGTGAATGTCTATTATAAACACCGAAAAAAAGAAGATTAAAAGAATTAAGACTTTAGGTTTTCCTGAACACTTCAACTTATCCTTCACCTCTGCTCCAAGTGCCGTTTGGGCCCTTTAGCCCAGAGATTCCTGGTTCAGGTATGAGCTATAACATCAAATTGCAGGGAGCCACATTCCTTGAAAGAAGGTGCACATGGGCCACTGAAGTTGGATAGGTTCAAAGCTGACCAAACTCTATTAAAAGATAATTTAAAGGTGGGGCACATAGGGCAGTTCCCTGGGACTGTCACTAAGAGGCCACATTAGATGTAGAGCTGTTGTGTCAAACCACTGCACAATTACAGATACATTTTTTATTAAACCAGTTTCTCCAAAACAGCTGCAAAGCAATAAAATATTTTCATTTTTAAAGATTTAGATTTGTCAATTTTTTGTGACCCAAACCCAAATTATGTGTCACCCATCTATTTTTTAAGTAGCCAGTTTTGTGTTTGTTATGTCTCCGCTTGCAACTACATATCCTGGTGCCTCACATAGGAGTGAATAAAGATACGCCTCTGATCCATCCATGTTTGAAACATTTGACTTTAAGTTGTGACATTTGTCACAACTCCGAATAGAGGGTACATCTACCAAAACCTCAGTCTTGGAAGTGCTTGGGAAGCCTCTGGTGTGGCTTTGTTAATGACAGCCACGAGTTACTTGCCTGACTAATCCGATCCTACACTTGGTGGTGTTCAGTTAGTTGTATGCCATCACTTGGAAAATACTGATCATAGATGGGTATTGACATGACCCAAGTTCCAAACCACAATCAAGGAGAACATGTGAGTCACTCCAAAGTCTCCCAGTAAAGCATATTATAGTGACAGGACCTAAGCTATCGGAAATTGTTTTCATAATCTCTTGTGGCAGTTATCATTGCACCTTCCCCAATTTATCTGGTTAATGAATAATTCCTAAGTGTATTGATTGTGACGTTTCAAAAATTATTCTGAATAATGTGATTATATGCATTTGGAATTTAACACTCCTCAAATAATGAGGGCTTATATAGAAATTAACCTGACTACTAACCCCATGAATGACCAGTAGAAATGTGCTTTCATTATAAGAAATATTGGTAATATTTTAATAAGGGAGATGTCCATTGTCTTTATACTTATGGTAGTAGTGAAAAGCAATTTTAATCTGATGTAGGCACTATGTCACGCCCTCTGCAGCCAGAGGGCGCTCCTTCTCTGACCTGTCCCTAGTTTCCGGTCTGCTGTCCTTCTTGTCCCTCTCTTTCCCTTGGGCTATATATTTCAGGGTCTTGCACTCTGTCCTGGCTCAGCATTGACGTTCGGATGTCCTGAGACCCGCCTAGCACCAGGGCATAATATCTGTGTATAATACTTCCGCAATCAACTCATTTTAGTTTAATTTTTCGTTGCAGTTTTTGCTGATGTTTAACTTCTTTCACCCATAACAAAAATAATAATTGTGTACATTCAACCTGCAGATATTCCAGCTCTCCAGGGCCGGGATTGCCCATCATTGAACTAGGCTCTTCTTTTGTCTCTCTCATAAAGTAATAACATTCCACTGTCCTGCCGTCTGATTGTCTTCATCTCTGAATCTCTGAATAGTAATGATGTTGAGGGAAAAGGATATAATTTCCCTCAAAATACAGTGGACAGGAAGCAATTTATACTGATTTAAAGTTGGTAGGAGTTTGTGCTGGTGGTGTTTGAGCAAGCACTTGATGCCCAGAACATCATCACTAATTTGGCAATGGAAACTATGGCCAAGGCTCTGGTGCCAATCAATGAAGCATTGTGTGAAAACACCACAGTCCTCCACATTTTCTGATAGCATCTCACAACTTAAGTCACAGCAATGGAAAAAAAACAGCTTCCTTCCTGTGTCAGTTTGCTGAAAAAGAAATTATTTATGCAGTGCCTAGAGATCTCAGTTTATAGAAGTAGCTACAGTAGGCAAATGCAAAACTATACTGACGGTCCGGAACGAGCTCTGAAAAACTGAAGATTTTCTCGATTTATCCTGTGGTGCTGAGGGTCTCATATGGAGGTGAAAACTTGTATCAGATAAGGAAGTGCTTGCCTTTCTGTCACAGTTTCCAACCCGTGTTTCAAAGAATCTGTTGGAAGGGATCTCCACTATGAATCAGTCAGATAATAGTCCTAATCCTAAAAAATAGAGGACAACCATTTGTCTACCACCTGAGAGGATTCTAGTATTGATAAGAACAAATTTAATAAAGAATAAATAATAAAATTTATTTAGAATTTAATAAAGAATAACTCTTTTCCCTTTGAAATGTGAAGCAGATTCACAGTGTCAACATTCGATTCTGCCATGATCTTAATTTTGTCCTTTTGCAAAGTTTTTCCATGCATTTTGGACACGTAATGAATGTTGATTGCATAGATAATGCATGATAAAATAAAAGTGGGCATGCATCCTGCAACACAATGAGCACAACATAAACAAGTCTGAACAGTGGGCCAAAGTCCTGTAAAGCTGGGTACATTTCCTAGATTGTTCCTCCATGTACAAGTTCTCTGCCTGAAGAATTTTGTTCGTTGTAGTGAAAAATGTTGCTCACAGGGAAAAAATAGGTAAATATTTACTGGCTTTGTTACAGCGAATATTTATAAATGTGGGGTTCAGAAATCAGTAGATGACTATAATAAATTTATGTATGCAAGCTGTATTTAACTGAGAACTTTCCACATCATGAGCATGGTAGTCCACCTCATAGTACACAACATTTTTGGTCTGTGAAGATCAACATCTGACCTTGGGGTGCTCAATGCTTAGTAAGAGCTAAACCCATCTGCTAAGGTTTTATATTTAATTCGGCAACACATAAACCACATAAACCATTCCCTAGGACAGATTTCATTTTTGTTCTTTCCAATCATAGCACAATGCACTCTAATTGAATATTTTCATATAATCCATAAAAAGCCACAATATGGTACGTCAACACCACTCTATCAAAAAATGAATCATTTAAGCTCATATTCTAAACCCAACTTGATTAATTTCTCCCCTTTAACCTTGGCTTAGTGAGGGACCCTTGTGTTTTGTGGGTTGCAATAAATGACTTCAGCAGGTGCACAACAACAGTTAGGATCGCACCTGGCTCCATAATGCTCTGTTACTCCGAGACAGAGCAGTGTTTTAAAGTTGCCCTGAAACCAGAATAAATTAGTACATAAATAAGTGCTAAATGCTAACTTAATTGACATTAATGCTTAATGATTGTTTTACTTAAAGAACATCTGGAATATTTTTTATAATTTAATTAGAATCTACCTGTCAGTTGAAGCTATCAGACTGTACATTGTCTTCATATTATTGTCCTACTTTCCACAGCCTTCTGATTAATTAAGAAATCAGCTGTATGCTGGTCCTTTTACAGAGGAACATGTTGGATAGGTAGTCAGTGCAAATTAGGATTCTACTTTAATCAGGTCACAGCTTTTAAAAAATGGATAACTGCCAATAATCAAGTAAAATGGAAAGTAAAAATTACTCCAGATGACTATTGCATTGTCAGCTTCCACACGGTAATTAAGCAGCAGTATCGATTTAGTAAATGTTTGGCACTCAGCCTACGCGTTAATTTAGTCCTGTTTCAGGGCAACTTTAAAATCATGTTCTGTTTCAAAGTGTCTTGAGATTATGGTGCCAGGTGGCAACCTTAACTACATTACATGCTTCTAATCTCAATAAATCTTGTTTGCAAAAATTAAAGAACTTGAGTGTAAAATAGCACTCCTTGAGTGCACACTGAAACTCTTTCTCTGAACACTTGCACTTCACTTGAATATCAACAGGAAGGAACTTAATCTTTTGTTCGTATGTTTGATTGATTCTTATACATAGAGCTAAGCAGAATGATTATTTTCATTTCAGCAGACTGAACTGATTTGTTCTGGTTTGAGATTACACATCAATGAAAGTGCGTGAATATTTCCCTTATTAAGACCTTGAGAGGAGATGCAGCTTCCAAGCCAACTTTAATCAATTCTGAATTCTGACATTAGACATGATAGTGACAAATATAAACAGTTTCTTGAAGGCCTTCAGCTGCCACGTCTCTCAGAGATTGAATCTGTTGCTCTGAGTGCCCCAATTTCTCTGTCTGAATTAAAGGAAGCACTACAGACCATGAATAAGGGCATATCCTCAGTTTTAAGGCATTACCCTCTAGTTTTTTTCACCTTTTGGGATCAGCTGGGATCTTTACCAAAAACAATGACTCAAACTCTATAGATACCAATTTTTGAAAATATTGTCTCTAATATATTATAATGCTATGAGGTATGCAAGCATTCTTAGATATAGACCTGAGATTTCCATAGCAAAACTGATTCATTATGATCAAACAGGATTTAGTAGAACCCAACTACACACAAGTAGTTTGCCGTGTTTTTTATAGCATTCTTGCTACTATAGCTACCAAAACCTACCTGCAGCTGTAGCAGTAAACAGAATTGATTAATAATTGGTGATTTAAAATCTGGGGAGGTACACAGTTACTGGTGATATGAAATAAAATACACAAATATGTATAGTAAAAAATATATCAAGTGTACAGAGTCAGAAGGGAAATTGAGAAGATTTTACTGACTTTTGTCAGAGGTTCTGGGAATATACAAAGTGCTGTGAAAACCACTGTAGAGACGAATGCCATTCTCTGTTAGAACATAGTCCTGGAGTTGCCCATTCAGAATAAAGGAGTGACTCCAGTCGAGGTACACGGTTGTCAGATTGCTGATGATAATGAATGGAGCTCTGTACCTTGGTTCTGGAAACAAAGACAATATACATATAAGTTAGGTTTGCAGTGCATTAGTAAATTGTGAAACTGAAGGGGCTGTATACTCTTCTTCACCACTTAAAAGGTTTTGGCAATTTGCGGTAACACAAAATGGAATGTTTTGGTTTCATATTTGTAAGGTTTATTTAGGGTACAAGAAGGGTGCATTTACAAGTATATTTCCATTGAAACCAGAAAGGAACACTGCTGTGTCTACCTGAGGTAAGGCATGGGGTTCTGCATCAAGGAGATTAATATAAGACCGATCCTTTCCACTGCTTTTTAGTCCAGTGTTAATGGAAGGACTAGAGTGGAAATACTATGATCTTCTGTCACTCTGATTTCTGGCTTATTAAGTAGTTAATTTAGTTTAGAAAATATCTGTCTACCACTTATGAATGTACTATAGAAACTAAGGGTAAAGCCATCTCACAAGACACATTGGAGCATGTTCTCCTGTTTCTATGGGGGGATGGATTGCTGGTGTCTCGAAAACAACAGCTTATGTGTCAGTAACAGTGGGACACTGAATTTATTATTGCCTAGTATTTTCAAGTATTACTTAAATTTAATAAAAGCCCTATGGAGTTTTATGGACTAGATTGATAATGCAAAGGCAGCATTTGGTCTTTAATGCATATTTAAGACAAACATTAAACTGTATGTGTAGAATGTGCTTGTTTTTCTCCGGTTGAAGTATCAATGTGTTTAATGGTTTTCTTTCTAAATGAGCCCTCATTGATGTTATTGTACCCTCAGACAAAGCATAATAATTTTTTTTCAGGTCTTTCAAATTATGTTCATATTAGGACATTTTATTAATACCCTATAATCAGCAATAAAGAAATCAAGAAAAAAAAGTTTAAAAGTAAAAAAAATAAAAAAGTTTACTTTAATTAAGGGTTTAATGAAGCAGCTGAGTACTCATTTGTAATGAAATCCAGCAGGCCCTTGACCAGGATTGTTAATTAATCAAAATTAATGTATTTGGAATTGATCAATCAAAATTGGAAGTATTTGCAGTAATTACAGTGAAAGCTTTCTTACGCTCTTTTTGAGTAGTAAAGGATATCCACTTAGAGGCTGTGCTCCCTACAGAATTGAAGCAGATGATTCTGAGATTGTAGGTGGTGTATGGTTGTAAGTCACTTATATTGTAACTCTGCTCCTTTCCAAAGTACTTCATTTCACTCAGCGATGGGGTACAGGGAGTCAGGACTGGCTGCACTGGCTGAGGACAAGCAGTGTGGATATGAAGCTCACAGCTGGTATAAAACAAGAGAAAAAAGCTTTTTAAATCCCTACTAGATAAATCATTAGATATGGAAATGAATGAAAAAAGATCCATGTTTCATTGTATAAACAGCAAATCAACAAGCAAGACACTGAATACTACAACTCACCAATTACAAAATTACAGCCATGTGGGCCATTTGGGTTTGTATTTCTAGGAAATCCCAGCTCAGACTACCACTTTTAAGAGCCCTTTAAAACTGAACAGGTTGGGCACCATAATCATCGAACTACCCGTTCTCATATGGGCTTCTATCAGTCCATTGCAACTTGGTTTCCTGCAGGTGCACCACTGATTACTACAGTGTGTTGCACAAGGTTTTCAGTTATGTTTAAAAATAAATAAATAGTGCACACCTACTGCAAATTGATTTGATTTGAAGAACATACTTTTCCTGAAAATAACAAAGTTATGTGTCTTTTGATGTTCCATAAAATACACATTTTCTAAAGTTAGTGAGATAAGACTGCAAAAAAGTCTGATAAATTTTAAATAATACATTTGAGCTTTTAACAATTATATTTTTAAAATATTTCATACCACAAAAAGTGCCCAAAACGCAACCAATCTTACATTTTTGGGAGAATATTTCAAGATGGGAATGTTAGTAATATCTGTACCTCTCAATAATGCCATTTGGAGAGAGGGGATCCTGCCACTCCACACTGGCAGATCTGGATGTGACTCTGTGGATGTGGGGTGCAGGTTGATTGGAGGGGGAAGACGGCAGGGTGACTAGCTGGGTTAGTGGCCCTCTGGTGCAGCAGTGGAAGCAGGTGCAGGCCTCCACTCCCACAGAGTAGGTAGTAAAGGGCTGGAGCCCATGAATAGTTTGCTGTCTTGATGTTCCTTCGGACAGCTGAAAAAAAAGAGAACATCTAAAATATCAAAAAATTATTTGCTTTGTATACTGAATTCAAAGAACAAACAATAGGGGAATAAAAAACAGATACCACAAAATGCCCCAATTTCAGCATCCACAATACTTGGAAAACTGTTAGCAGTCTAGCACAGTTACTTTCTTGTATAAAAAAAGTCCTTTCTCAGGTATTCTTGGATTCTTACTCCAGGAAGACTTCAGAAGCAAAAATTATCTCCACAGTAGGTTAACATCTTTCCCAAACTCTCAGTGATAGACTAATATCTAAATCTTTACATTTATTTACAGATTTCACTCTTTCATTCTTCACCTGGAATTCATGTTCAAGCTTTTCATAGCTTTGGACACAATACCTCACTTCCCCTACTTAGTTTCGCCTTGCCTTTCTTTTGTCCTCCTTACCCATCTCTTGGCCTTATATTTCTGCTCCCTTCCTCATTCTCTGCAGAAAACTCCACAAGTGTGTTTTTTCCGTACGTTTTGGTATGGAATTAATTTGTACTTGTTCCAAAACAGAAGAATGTTAAATTTCAAAAACAAACAAACAAAAAAAAAACACAGCTTTAAAGTAAACCGTTATTTAATGTGAAACCAAAAAAATATTTAAAATGGATGGAAGGCTTTAAATCAAATATTTTAAATCCTGTTCCCCTAAAAACTATTTCAACTCTACAATTAAAGTTGGAACTCATGGAAAAATTAAATGAACATTTTAGCTGTGCAAGATAAACTTGTTCTGGAAGATAAAATTGTCAGATTATTGAAGATGATTCTCTGGGACTCCATAAACATTGGCTGTATGTGATCAAATAGCCACAAGTAACAAAATAATTAGTGGCAGAATGAACTCCTCTTATTTGCAACTTTTTTAAATCCGCACCAGACAGGACTGTATGCCGTTCCCAAAGGTGACCCAGTAAGGATTGGCAACCAGTTCAAATTAGGCCAGAATTGTAAATGTTGGGTTTCTTACCAAGAGGTGGGAATCCCTGTTGTTTGCAAAGACTCTGTAGAGGCTGATGATACCATTTGGCTTGGTGGGGAGGCTGATGTTGACTACAGCAGAGGTAGCCTGCACCTGGAGAAAGGTTGGGGGATGAAGTCCTTCGGGAGGTGCTGGACCTGTTCGGCCACGGCTCCAGGAGCTGGCAACTTGTCCTGCAGAATTCACTGCCCACACCTGGGGGAGAGGCAGCCATAACACACTGAGTAACATGCACCGAAAGGATGTCTTGTTATTGTATACAAAAATTAATTCAGAACTTTGCTTTTCAAATGAAAAGCACTGTAGGTAGGGTCCTAAACTGTATTTGTTGAAAAAAAAAAATGTTAAGCCCCAAAGGAACATATCTTTATAAAAAAATTACAATAGAGAGTGAAACATCAGTGTTGCTTTCTGATACCTAACCATATTTATTCAGTGAGTGAAAAATAAGTGACTTCTTCCCATATTCATGCTTTCTCTTTTGTGAGCTGACAATAACAAAATCTGCAAAAAGGAACTTTACAAAATGTGATATTATACATAATTTATAACGTTTATAAAATGTAATATTTATTTTTTTCAACACATTTTGATAAAGTACTGATAAATAATTAACTTTGAATGCTGAATCATGCATTATACTTTTGACATAGTACACCTACAATCACAGTAAGCAAAGGAAAATGTTTCTGTACTGAAATTTGTTGAGAGGGTTAACAGGAATTCATTTCTGATTCTCTTTATTGAAGCTGATACTACACTTTTAAATAAAAGCTGACCTTCACGTTGGGCCTATTCTGTGTATTTTATCAGAATGGTAACTCAGAGACAACTTTCCAAAGGGTTCACCTAACTAAAAAAGCTCTGTACGTAACAGACAAACCTCAGCATTTATTAAAACATTTCTTGAACAAATCTACATGAAAATTTAATTTTACCTTAATGAAGGAGTAAATTAACACATGGAAGGTAAGGTAATCTTATTTATCAGAAAGCATTTGTATAATTACACATGAATACCATAAAAGGTCAGCTGAGGTCAGCATTTGCATGAGTAAGTAATTTGTAGATTGTCAGAAGTAATAGACAGAACAGATGGATGTGCGTGCATATAGGGTTAAATTAGCCTCAATAATAGCCAATTACACTGTGATCAATCAGGATGATAGATCTAAATGGCAATGTAAAGAGACTCTCTAAGCCATTTGCCGTATGCACATTCTATACTAACCCATAGTGCTAAAGCTGCAATCTCCCCATGTGTCAGCAAAACTGTGGGTCAGAGAAAGGCTAACATGTCAAGTAAAGGAAGCAAAGGTCACTGCAAAGAGATTGGCTAAATCTGACTTAGTCACATATTTCACAATTGCTTTTTACTACTTCAACCTCTCATGATTACACATGAAATAATTTTTAAGAGTAATTAATACATTATTTTTGGTGCTATTATGTTGATTTCTGAAGTAATAAATATACAGTGTATATTGTGAAACGCTAATATGCCAGGGATTAATTTTGCTGAAAAAGTGCTGCCATCAATGGTGCAGTGTTGCAACATGGAAAATGATCTCAAATAAAGTGAAAAATGTTTTGGGCACTATAGGATAATCCCCATGTTTATTGTTCAAACTTTTATTCATATTAGAGTGAAATTGAATAATTTTACAGTTGTATCAGTAAAAAAGTTTTAGCCTTGATGCTTTATTTTAGAATAAACTAAATTGATGGTGTTTGAGCATCTTTATAATAGAAGGAGAAACTTCCTGAGTTTCTGAACACCATTCAGAGCATTCACTCAACAAAGACAATTCAATCAGGCAAACTAGGAGCTTTAATATGCCCTTGAGAGGAAGCACAGTTTTACTGCAGGCTGCACGGCATGCATACTGATAAATAATTACAAGAAAATAAAAAAAACAGCTTTAATTGATGGAGGTTTGTTAAAGCAATTTGGTCATTAGTGAGTCTGTACTGATCATTTTCACAAGTGGTTTCAAGTAACAGGAAAGAAGTCATCCGGCTCGTGCTCTCTTGAAAGATTTTTTTTTAATTATAGTATTAGACAACAATAAAATCTCTATCTTACAAACTCTGTATAATTTTCATTTGGGAAACTTGTCCTCATTGTTCATTAAATGCATTCATTGTATTGATACAACATGCCATTAAAATAATAATTTGATTTATGAAAGGAATAACCAATCAGCAAAGTGTGATATTGGAGCCAATTCTTGGTACTTCTATGTAACCATCAGTTTATAAGGCAATAGAATTATAACCACGTAAACAGGTAATCTCTTTAATTAACTTAGAAATTAATGGGAGCAAAAACATGATTACCTTGCCTTGAAGAAATAACCTGCTAAATAGATCTGATATGTAATTCTAATATTGTGAACGTGTTGACTTAACAGTGAGCTATAAAACCTTATGTTTCAGGGCTACACAGGACTGGCAATCTCAATACTGATAGATTACAGTGATAATGACAAGTAATACTTTATTTTGTGACCTTTATATTCAGAGGTTACAGTAGGGAGCCACATCTCTGAGTGGGAGCTGCAAATGAACAACAGTGTTTAATTCAAGGCTAAAATGTAAAAAGATGGAAGTAAGACTTTAACATTTGACAGATAGTCACATTATATTTAACAACACTGTTAAAGGAAATCTGGTTGTCACAAATCTTAATGACAGGATTACTGCCAAGAAAACTTCAAGACCTCAGACTAAGAAGAGACATCTTCCAGCTCCACAAGTATTGGGACAAGTAAGTCAAACCCGCAATTTTCTTTACAATAAAAATAAATTGTGTTTGTGCTCATGGAATTAATATGAATGGTAATTAATATGAAAGGCTCTGAAAGTAAATTTAATTTTATTTATAAAAATAAATTTAGCATTCACAGATCTGAAGATGTTTCTCTTTTATAGCCTATGACTTACTGTAAACAGTAAGAACAATGATTTTATTGTGCTGCTACAAGATCCAGAAGTTGTTTTTTTAAATGGATTACAAAGCTGTGAGATAAGTGAGATAGTAGTTAACTGTAGTGCTCATTAGGTTGGGAATGTCTTTATAAACACAGTATTAGTAAACACATTACCCACAAAAAGGCAGAGCTATGCAGGAGTATAACTTTTGCAGACAATTTAAGACTTGATATCCTATGGGTATATTTAGCAACCTCCCTGGAGACAAATAGCAGACTTTAAAAGGTCTTTCCAATATTTGTAATGGCTGAGGGCAACAGCTTATTCAATAGATTCGATCATAATCATCTGTGCTTTCACAGCTCCTGATTTATCACTTTGCTTACATTTGGTCATCAGTCAGTTTGCCGGCGAGTTGTCATAAATTATGTCTCATAAATAAAAAAAAAACAATCAACCATACTGTATCAATTCATCTCTGTTCTGATTATGCATCATGTACCTGACAATCAAATGCTAATGCTAGTTTTGTTGTAAAGGGTAGGCTGTCAATTAGACAGCTCTTGTAAAGTAAATCAGCTCTATGTACTCAAATTAAATACCTGTCTGCATGCATGAGTGTTAAAAAACTATCACACCTACTCTGTAGCTCCAGGATGTTAAGGTTTCAACTAGAAATAGTCTCCATACTTTTATCCCCACACTTCTTAGACTGACAGCATAAAAATATGGATAACTGTGGGGCAATAAAAACATGCCATAGCCAAAATGAAGGAGGAGAAGAGAGATACAGTATATGTTAAATCTTAATCTTATTAATCTGAGTCCCATCTTCTGGGCTATTATGGACTTGAACAATTAGAAATACAAAATTGGAGAAAAAAAATTCTCAGATCCATCTGATAGTTGTAAAAAAAGTTATCTAAAGTACATGAAAATTTTCTCTGATCTGACAGAGATGTTTAGTTTACTCACTACTGAGCAATTGAGTCTACCTTAGATTTCACACCAAAATAGATAAATATAGACCCAACACATATTTACCTGATAATCATACTCCGTGAATGGGCGCAAGTTTTCATCTTTGAATGACATTGTTGTGTTTTTGTAAACCAGGACTGCAGCTGAGGTGGTATCCATAATGAGGAAATTTCTTCTGTACAGCTCAAAGTGGAGAATCCTTCCATTGGGTTGTGTGGGCATAGTCCATGTTATCAAAAAGCCAGTCTGCATCCCATCTGAGGCTTCCTGGAGTTCAATTTTTGGTGCAGGTTGATTTGCAGGTGGAGCTTCCAATGTCTGGACTAAAGCCCAGTCACTTGAAGCACAGCCCAGTAGGGTACAAGCCTCTACTCTTACTTCATACCTGAGGAAACAGCAAACACACAAAAAAAATAAAAGAAACCAATATTTTAAGATTATGCTCCACAGCTTTTTAAATTAGGCTTTCTAGGATCAACATTTTGGAAGTTATAGAGAGCTCTACAAAATTGTTTCCACTGTAGCAATAAATCTCAAGACAGAGTTGTGGGTTACTGTTTCCCTCCATTTTAAGAGAAAATGTGTATGTTCCTGTTTATTACTCTGTTCTTAATATTCATGCATTTGTGAGCTCACTGTTATATTTCTGTAGGACAACTAGACATATTTTTTGTTCAGTCTTCCTCCTTCTGATTATAGCTTCTTAGATATTAGCTGCAAAATATGCTTCTTTGTCTTCTGCGTGTTTCTCAAGTGTTCTGTCTACCAATGAGGGAGTTGTTCTGCCCTGCGGTCTTTAAATGTCCCTAAAAATGGCCTGTTTGTTTCTCTGGAAACACATTAGGCTTGAACTAACCCACTCATCCATTAAACTGGCTAAAAGTTTAAAAATGTACACTTTACTTCACATGATGCATCTTAATTCAAGTGATGCTCACATATTTTAAAAATGCATACTCAATGAGAAAAAAGAATTATACAAAATTGGGTTGGGTACTTGATCTTAACAATATTGCAATAACTTCATAATGCAGCCATTGTTTATGTTCCACAGTTTCTTCAATTTCCACTGTGGTTTCAGGGAATCCCTTTACGCTCTTTCAGAATTCATTCATCACTCACTCAGCTAAATTGTGACATTTCAACTATCTTATCTTAGAATGAGATATTTTTAAAACATTCGCAATGCTTTTAAAATAGTTTTTTAGGAATCAACTTTTTAAATTGATTTTTTCTAACAAAATATAACTAGAAAACTAAAACATGATATTACCACTACCCAGCCCACCTTCCTGAGTGTTTCTTCCTGAGCACCTTAAAAAACAAACAGCCAAAAAGGAACCCCCATGCAACAATACTTTGCAACCACAGCAGCCCTGCAATCCACCACTACAGCCAATATTAATTCTAGCAATCAAAGGTTCAGTATAAATGATATTAACACTCACTTGAAAACTTTTAGCTGCAGTCATGCAGCCACTCAGATCCATTATTTGTATTTGCCACTGAGAGGGGCTCTAAGATGACTCACAATTTACTATTAATACTCACAAAAAACATGACTTTTGTTTACTAGTCTAATCCACAAAAGTATAATTTATCATGTTGGGTGGGGACTGAAATGAATGTAGATCACACCTGGTTGCATTCATTTGCAGAAATTGTTTTTATGTAAAGAGGTTTAGTATTGCTAGTTAAAACATTGTGACAGCAAGATTAGAGACTTTCTCTCGGCTTGAAAACCTGTTAAATGATTGCCTTATTTTCTTTCACTTTGTGAGCTCCCATTTTCATTTGGTATATCATTTGTTCTTAGGCTTCCAAGTAGTGGAATTCTAGTAACAATTGTAAGGAGTTTTCTTCTCCACCCTATTAAATCTGCTTGTGTTCAATAATCGGTCTGGCTAGCAGACTGGAGTGAGTCCTGTGCTCGCATGAATTGATATTACCTTCCGAATGCTTCAGAATTTGATATGAAGTACAATGATGATAGTTTAGAAATTTTATGGACAAAAGATACCAGCATTTACTTTTATCAAAGTGCTGGAAAATATGGGAAAGAAAGGGACTGGAGATGTACCAAAGGACACCAGTTCATCTGTGAAATATGATCTATGATCTATATGGGTATAAATGATTCACTGAAACCTGTAAACTGATGTTTGCAGATATATTTTGTCTGATTATCAAGAAGAAATGGTGGCACCAAGGTGCAGTGGTTAGCACTATTGCTTTGCTGTGCTGGGGCCCTGGGTTCCATTCCTTGAGTGCTATCTATGGTGTGTTTTTATGTTCTTTCAATATTAATGTACAGTAGGTTTCCTCCCACACTCCATAGACATACTTGTACTATAGGTTAATTTGTTTCTGAGAAAACTGGCACTGTGTGTGTCCTATAATGGATTAGTGTCCCATCCAGGATGCATCCTGCCTTCCAAACGTTGCTTGTTGAGTTAGACCTAATGTTAGGCATCTCCATGTGTTTTTTTCTGCTATAGAAGTTGTAATCATAAAGATGGGAGTCACTTTCTCCCAGCAGAGATTTGTTGCTGCCTCATTGTTTTACTTTTCTAAATAATGTAGCAACACCTATTTTCAATTCCAACAAATATTCTGTTAATCCCAAGCATACAGTTAAAACAGTATGTGTAGAGCCATTTTTACCTGCATATTTTTTCAAAGGCACCGCTTATTTTAAACTCACAAGACGATGTTTATTCAAAAGCAGAGGGAAATCGAAGATTAAAATTAAAAGCATAATTGAAGTAATGAATCAATGGACACTAAAATGACCTTACTCTGTTTCATCAGTACAAAGGAAGCAATTTGATGATCATTATTCTCAATTTTGTCCCATAATAAAATGATTTATATCTCTTCAAGAAGCTAGAACATTTGACATACCTGTAGTATGGCTTCAGGCTTGATAGAGGGAAGGACCGGCTAAAGTAGGCACTATGGTTGGGAGGAAAGACAATGCTTTTGATGTTGGTCTCTCCTGGATCCCGTTTGAAAATGGTATAGTTTAATATTTCCCCATTGGCTCTAGCTGGAGGATCCCACATCACTAGAACATCACTGGAGCTTGAAGCACGCAGTTTTGGGGGAGCAACACCAGAAGGGGCTGATGGATTTGTCCTTGCCTTAGCGACAGGGCTGGTTGTGCTTCCCTGACTATTGCTTGCAGTCACAGTATAGCTATATTCAATACTTGGCAGCAAGCTGAAGTCATGATACTCAGTGTCCAGTCCTGCATAGATGAGAACACCATTCCTTCTTAACTCATAACTCTTAATCACTCCATTGGCATGTAGAGGATCTTTCCAGGTGATTTCTACAGACTCTGACCCTGTCACCTTCAGTGTGGGAATTCTCATGTTGGAAGGTGGTGCTTCCTTTGTATAAGAGGACTTTGGTGAACTAGAGGTACAACCACCATTTGTACATGCAATTAAGATGAACTCGTAGTTGGTGTAGGGTTCTAAACCAGTAATCAAACTGTATTGCTTCTTCCCACTGTAATGTTCTTCTCCATTTATTAGTAGTGTGTATTTAGTTATTTCTCCATTCTGAACCTTTGGTGCGGTCCATGAGCTATTAATTTGCGTTGAAGTAATGTTGGTCATTAAAGGTGGATCTACAGCTGTAGGACTTGCCTCTAATGTTATGATCTTAGTTGGTGGGCTGGTAGTACACCCTTCCATAGTACATGCAATAATTGCATAGCTGTACAAAGTATAGGGTAAGAGGCCTTCATCTGTGTAGTTGAATACAGTGGCATCAAAACTGAAAGGATAAACAAAATCACCTTTCTGTATTCTGTAAAATTGCAGGATCCCATTGACTTCTTCTGGAAGGGCCCATGAAACAAATAGCTTATGAGGATTCCTTTCCACATATCTGATGGTTGGAGCAGCAAGGCCTTTTGGAGGAGCCTGTTTAGTCTCCACCATTAGCCATGGACTGTCTGTGTAGCCAGCTGAATTCCAGACTCGCACTCTGAACTCATACTTTGTCCAAGGTGTTAAATTTGTGACATTGTAGAAAAAAGTATCATTGTCTGTGTTATTTTCGGTAAACAAGACATTCCCTTCAAGAGGGATTTCCTCCATGCTGATGTGCCTGCCGCCCCTAGCAGTTCTGTAGATGACCTCATATTTAGATATTTTCCCATTTGGTTGGGAAGGTTTTGTCCACGTTAGCTCAATGCTTTGGGCTTTAATGGACTGGGTCACAGGTGCAGGCTGGGAAGAGGGCAGAGCTTCTTCTGTTCTGATTGGCTGCTGAACTGATCTAGAACAGCCAACTTCTGTGCAGGCCTCCAAAACTAAAGTGTAGACTGTGTAGGGCTCAAGTCTCCTGAAAAGAAACTGCCGAGACAAACCGCTGAATTCCAGGTTGTTGTCATTGAAAATATTGTAGGTCTGTGAACAAGAAAACAATAGGTTAAACATATCAAAACAATTGTACAAAAACTGCTTGATACAAACAAAGACCACATAAAGAATTTCTTAAATTTCCAAATAACATATTAGTAATAAAGAAAATAAATATTATGTTCTGGTTTTGATACATGGTCAGTATCACTTAACATTTAAAGTCACTTTAAGAGAACAGCTAGGTTCTAGGTGTTCTGTTCTATCTATCCCTTTCTTAAGGGATCCTATGGAATCAGCTTCAACAATCTGACCAGGATTGTTCCAGACCCTTTTTTCTCTAAAAACATTGTTTCTGTTTTTTTTTTTCCTTAAATGTCCCTAAGCTGCATTTGTCTTAGTGTCACGAGAGGCTGCTAATCTTAAAGTCACTTAAATTACCTTGTTAAATGTACTTGAATCAAATCTGAATTTTCACCTTACCTCACAATATATCTTTGTTTACCATTTTTTTTAAAAGAACCAGATTTATTAGGGAAAGTCTTTGCAAGGTTCCATTTGTCAATTTCAATAGATTGCCTATGGAATCACAGTCACTAGACAGAAATTGTCAGGCAGTTAGCTGAGAATAGAGCATTTTTTAAAATTCACATTAATCATATTTCAGATTTTCTTCAGAAAGCCATCTTTTTTCTTTACTGAAGGATTACAAAGAGACCCTCCCTTTTCTCTTATATTGCATTTTTACAGGGCCTAATCAATAGTTATTGATTGCTGTATCTTTATCTCCATTTTAAAACTCTTATTTAATATACTGTACCTTGATTATACCATTGGGTTTTAAAGGTTCAGACCATCTCAGCAAAAGTGCTCTTCCATTTTCTGTTTTCTCCAAGGTGAAATTGCTGAGCCCACTAGGAGATGCTTCCAGAGTGCGAATTGATGTCCATGGGCTCGAAACTGTCCCAGCACTGTTCACAGCAACTACATGTAGGTTGTATGTTGTGTAGGGCTCCAACCCAAAGACATGAACTTCTTGACTTGTTCCCTAAAAAGCAAATTAATAATTAAGGATGAAAGTGGTTGGTGAAATTGGGGAAACTCAGCATTTGTAAAATAATTACTATGTATTCCAGCAACTCCTAAGGCTTGTGTGTCTAATTTTGCAACAGGTTAAAGGATAAACAGTACTGTGGAGAGGATGGCAGTCCATTATAAGGCACACAAACATCCATCACATCACATGAAGAGAGCAATTTAAAGACACCAATGGATATTTTTTTTTAGGAAATTAGAGCATTTAGAGAAAACCCACATACAGTAGCTACAGTATAGGGACAACATGCAAACTCTATACAGAAGGTACATTATTGACCTCAGAACTCAAGAACTCAAAAACTAAAATAAAATCATTAACTGTGATTTTCAAGACACTTTCTGCAGCCCACCAAAATTTACTACCCATTTTCTACAAATATTTCAGGGTATAATATGCTATGAAGGTTACTCAGACTATTCAAAAACATTTAGTCAGTGACTGAAATGCTAATGATAAGTCTTTATAGACTGACAAAGCAGGAAATGTAATGTTGTAAGTGTATAAACGTATATTGGTTCTTCCCCACAATAAGGGATATCTGACATTTTAAGACCTTTTAGTTACAGCATGTTCAGAAATCTATTTAACAGAGTTTCTCTTTCCAAGTTCTTCTACCTTATTGTTTCTATGTCTCATGGTCAGGTCAAAGGGCTCATTGGAACCAATGAGTACTAAATCATAAAAGAACAGACTTAAACAGCTAATTTGCACATACTACACTACATTTTCCTGGAGTCTTATATTATAATGAAAAGAAAGTTCCTTAATTACAGTTATGTGAGCATAACTGTACCCTCTTCAAGTGCTTTAAATAAGTGGCTTGCAGAGGCATTTAGTTGTACTGCCTAAAATGAGGTGAAAGGAAAAGAAAAATACAGTGGTGAAAAAGTAAGGTTTGACATATTTAGACATATTTGACCTTAACCAAGTCCTCACCAAGTTCTAATAGTAGAGAAAACAAACTTCATTTTTAAAATAACATACACAAATTCTACTTTGTCATTATTTATTTAAAAAACTAGCCAGCATTCAATATCGTTGTGAGAAAATGTAAAATCTTAAGGGGGTGAACTTGCTTTTTTGCCATTTCTTGTATTTTACTTAAGTAATGTCTGCCATTTCTGACACGTCTTAAGGACATTTGCTACACTGCTTTATGTAAGATTTTCTATTACAGAACTCACTAGCAGAGAATATATAACACCATCATTTGGACTTCTGAAACTTTTACCTTTTGTCTTTGTAGCAGTAATCAAAATAATTGCATTTAAAAATGACATAACTATGATCTTTACATTTTAGCATAAGTCATGTTAAATACTGTACTTATCATAAACAATGTATACTGTAATTACAATTTTATTTTATCTTGCCTCCCATTTCCCCAAAATAATGTAAATTAATCTAATCTAAGTGTAATTTCAAGATACAGTACAGTCACTTTCCCATTCATCTATTCTTTAATCACTTGAACTTCACCTGAATGTAGTAGTATAGTGTTTTGAAAGAGCTGGAATATGGCTTGCAGTTAGTGTACTGTATGCAGTTTCTAAGTAACCCCAAAATATCCTTTACTTTGCCAAAGGTGAGATGAGCAGTTACATTTGTGCCATACACTACAGCATAAATTCTAGATATTTGGTTGTATTAATGACTAGCATATTAATAGATCAAGGCTTAAGATAATTTTTGTGACTTTCTGCAATACATCTTCTATTATCAATTTCTAAAAACATACAGAAAGCCTACAGTAGAAATTTATATTAGGAGTATTTGGTCTTGTATTTTTTCTTGCTAAATATTTCCTCATTTTCTTTTCGACATATTCCTCACAGTCTTTTTCTGCTCCCTATAAACTGCATAACTGTGTACAAAATCCTTCTTTCCAAAATTTCCCCCCTGAACATTACACAAACTTATATTTTCTTTAGATCACTATTTCTAAATTAAATTATGATATGTTAAGTTGACTCCTCAGAGATGGACAGGATGTTGTAGCAAACAAGACAAGCAAGACCAGGAATCCATAACTCTATATTAATATGTTGAATCAATTACTTTGATAATTATTGCAGGACAACAAGTTTTCTAGGTCTCTATCCCTATTAAAGGCTTTTTAGACACAAGGTTTCAAACCAGTATTTGATATAGTAGCTTAGTTGAAAGGAAATGTACTCACACTTGTGTACAGTATATACATATTATAATACAAAAATATGATTTTTCCTTATTTCCTATGCTTCCTGAAAGGTTATTGATTTTTAAATTTCTAAGCACTCAGACTTAGTTGGTAAGGCAATACATAAAAGCATATAACATCTAGAGCCGTAAACTGCAAATTACCATCTTCTCTTTCTCCTGGATTAATCAGGACATTTTACATTAGTTAGCTGATCACAATATCATGGTTGTGCACAAATTCAGATCGCTGCCAACAACATTAGCATAATAAGTGAATGCTTAAGATTCGAAAGAACAAAGCTATCAAAATACATGTCTGATAACAGTTTTGTTTCCAGTCATTTTTAAACTGCAAAGAAGATTAATAATGCAAAAAAGCCATTCCTTAGCAAATGCACACATTTAACTAGTGCCAAAAAATAACAGCATAAGCTCAAGCACAAACTGTAATCTTCCCTAAACAGATTAGACCAAAAAATCCATTTAATTGTTGGATGCTCTGGGACATCTAAAGGTATCTTTTTTGCTGTGAAATATGGAAGACATGTGGACTATAAAACACAAAACATATGCACATTGTCAATAGCAACAGCTGTCTAATTACAGTTTATTTCAGCACAGAGACTTGTTTGCGGCCCCTAGATGGCAATGCTATCAAACACTTTACTCAACATGGATACCTAACGATTAACAACCTGCATTCAGTCATCCAAGACACTCAAGGCAGCCATTAAAAAACAACTAAGAGAATTGATTTTGTTATAGATTTCTAAATAAATGTTTATAGCTTGGATCCCCGAAAGTGGAAGTGTTTAAGTTGTCATTAGCAAAATAGCTTGTACAGTTAAATTAAAAACCCATAGATAGCTAGAAAAAGAGAAAGTTTTATGTTAATAACTAAATTAAAGCAAAACAAAGCCAAAAGCAATGAAATAAATACTATCTGCACACTTCAGGACCGAATCATATTGAAAGTGTTGTTGCTATGTATTCATTCGAGGCCTCTAGTAGGAAAAAATATATAATAGTCTCAGAGTCCAAGGTGCTTCACATATGGTTGGGGACACACCCCATTCACTACTGAAGCACAACACCCACCTCGTTGAAACAAGACAGCCATTCTGCACTAGCAGCTCAACTTGACAACAAATTGGGTGGGGAAATGAGAATCGACTTTACCAGTTAAATTGCTGGAAAGATTTAGTGATGGCAGATTGTGCAGGACCAATCATGAATTTAGCCAGGACACTGGCGTTTAATGTTTTCTCCACACTTTTCCAGTTCTTTAATCCACTCAGTCTATTGCCTTCAAAATAGGAAAACTGAGAATGAAGGTAGAAGTCAGCACAAACATTCAGATAACTTAAGAAAAGTTAATTTGACAAGGGTTCTGTTTGCCAGAGGCTTCTTGTGTCTTTGCAAAGAAAGCCACCGTCAAGAACTGGGTATGGGATTTGTGACTGCTGGGCGAGTTAAAGTTTTTCATTGAAATAGGTCTAAGTTGTTTTAAATCATCACTTGTCTTCGCTTGGTTAAGGCCTATGGAAGAGGAAAAACTGGATCATTTAAGCAAATGCCTTGTTCAATTAAGTAACAAAGAGGTCAGATTGAAATGCAGAAGACCATGTGAGTTCAATATGCTGTATGTAAACAAATTATTTAACCGACTTATTATATAAACTATTTAATTATTTAATAATAATTATTTAACTTTTTAACTGACTTATTACATAAACTAATAATTATTACATAAACTAGTCAAGATTTCCATTGTCTTCAGGTACTTATTGAAGACTCTCAAAAATTGAAAAGTTGGTACTCTGCTTTAAGAATAATACTTTAATAGTCTGAATTATGGTCAGCCCATAGTTAACAGAAAGAAACATTAACCTGCAGTATGCATATTGATTTTAGAAATAAAAATGACTAAAATACAATAATTTTAATTAAATAAAACAATTTAACCTTCTAATATAACTTACGATGGTTTCTTACTATCATTATGAAAGAAAAATGTTTTTTTTTATAAATGAAAAGAATCTACTACAAGAAAGTACAGCTCACAGTTCCTTTCATACTTTAGTAAATCGGTATTTTGTTCTACCTGTAAAAAGCTTTCATATGCATTTGTATCAATGAAGCTACCATATACTGTATAAAAAAGTCAGATAAATTGATGCTACATTGGTTTATAGAACTTTTATAGAAACACAGAATATTTTAAGTGAAGGAGTTTGCAGATTCTCTTTAACATTCTCTTTTAATGGACTGCTTTGTTATTCATCCACCTCAGCTATTATTCTAGCTTGCTTTTCATTTTTGGTATTGATTACTTTGTGTACCGTTTAGATGCTATTTACACAGAGGCCCAAGGATGAAAACATTTGTTTTCCACAAGATATAATGCCTCATGAGATATTGTTCAGCAGTGTGTTCTATCCAAAATTTATATCAGTAGACAAAACAGGGCTGCTCAGGGACAAGGCTGCAACAAACAAGAAAAATGTGTACACCCACATATAGGTTTTTGACCAAAATGATATTTTAAAATTATTAAATGCTAAAAGTATCTTATCGCACAGGGTTTCAAATCATTTCATGGATAATTTTCAGAACGAATACAAAAGGTAAAACAAGGTCTCCCTTTTCAAAAGGCAAGGTGCAAGTGTATTTAAGACCAACTTTCTAAATCCCCTCTTGGATTAAAAAAAAGTCTCAAGGGAACAGAAGAAAATTGAAAAAAAAAAGAATACGAATGGAAAAATAAT